TCCCTCCACCGACCCGCCAGCGAATACGCCAACTCGATGGAGCGCCCGTTCGTTGTGCGATACAACGCCCTCACCCAGAGCATCGAGGTCCTGGACACCAAGGACAAGGTTCTCCGATTCGCCTCCAACCTACGCGGCGACATCACCAGGCTGATGAATGCCATCGACCGCATTGCAATGTAATGCCGCCCCGCCGCCTGGCTGCCCGGGGTGTGTCTTCCGGGGGTGTGTCTCCCCCCCTCCCTGCGTGATTGCGACTTGCTCGGAGCAGGGCCGACCCTGCCGCCCGTTGCTCTCCCCTGCGCGCCTCCTGTGGCTCTGTCCGCTCTTGTGAATACAACAGCCACGATCTGCGCGTCGTCGCTCCTTTGGGCCTGCTGTACCGCATGTGCGGGGTGTGTCCTGATGCACAGGGCCCATGGCGGCCGGTGTGGGCCTCTGCGCTGGTTGCACATGTGCCCCAGACGCAACAATCGCACAGCCCACAAGGAGCTGTGCCCGATCGCCTGTGCTCGCCGTCGAACGAACAAGCGACTTTCTCCCCCTGCGGGCTGCCAGGCTTGCTCGCAAGCAATCCCCGCCCCGCCAGCATTCCGCATCGGACGCACCCGCCTTTCCTTTTCGCTCGCATTGCGCTGTCCCCATGTTCCATAAGCGCGAGCCAGCGGGCTGTGTCTCGCTGAAGCCGTAATCCCATGGACTGCCCCGTCGATACCGTCGCCGTCATCGCCCACCGACCGGCGATCGTATTCTTTGTCGATAAGGCTGCGCCGATCTCCCCCGCTGCAACAAGCCCTCCTTGATCGCCTTGGGTATGAAACTCTGCTGAGCAGCTCGCCCCTCGCTTGTGGTCCAACACGCAGAGGGGCGGGTCCCCATAAATACCTCCAGGGGGGGGAGAGTCGCCTTCTCCGCATCCCGCTCGTCTCGGTTCTTCTGCATCTTGGTTCGCAAGCAGCCTCACCAGCCCGAACAATGAAAGCCTCGTGGTCGTTGGTTGGCTCCACCCTGCTCGCTGCCTCGTCGGTCTGGGCCGATGGTTCCGCCCGTATCCGTTCGTACTCGGGCAGCAACAACAACCCAGACTCGCCTGCCCTGGGCACCCCCGGCAACCCGTACCTCAATGTCCTGCCGGCCCAGTTCCGCAGGGGCTGCCGGATCCCCGCCTGGTCTCCAACGGCGTCCAGACTGGCACCCAGCCCAAACCCACGTTCTTTGGCTACCAGGACCAGGAGGAGCCTCTCTCGCGTGCCCAAGTCAACCTGTTCGAGACCTGGTTTGGCCAGGTTCGTGTCGAACTTGCAGATCCATGACTGGGGGAGGGGCGCTGCCCTGGCCAGATCCCACCGCCGATCTGCATGTCACCATCACCGTCTCGTCCATTGCCTGCCTGCTCTCATGGAACCTGTCGCTAACATCGATCGCTGCGTTTGGCTCCTCGTTTCCCAGTTCATCAACCACGATCTCGAGGGACGATGCACTCACGCCCGGCCGTCCAGGGTCGGTACCCCCAACGACTGCTTCGATCTCGGTCCTGCTTCTGCGTTGCTTGAGGCTGGACCATGTCCACCATATCGCCCGTCTCTTGCATTCCAGCTTGATCTCTGTCGCCAAACATCTCCAACGATCCCCTCTTCAAGCCCTCGGCCGACAACCCCTGGAACCCCGGTCACTCTACCAGTCTGTTTTCCCCTCGTCGTCCGTCACCCGGCTCGTCAACGGCGTCCCCACCCCCATCAACAACGGCAACAGCTTCCTGGATCTGTCTACCATCGTAAGTCGCCTTGCGGTTTGTCTTTGCGGTTGACTATGCGGCTGTCTTCACTGACCGGCCTCCATTTGCGGCATCTAACGCTTCCATCCCACCCTCTCCCCCAGTATGGCCTCGACCCCGCCACCAACACACCAAGCTCCGTGTTGGCACCGATGGCCTGCTCCTGACCGGCAACTAACACCGGCGACGGTGGTGCCTACAACCCCTGGTCGGCAAACATCACCACTTACAACCTGGCTCCCTCGACGGCCCAAACTGGTCTGCTGACCAGCTCGAACGGCGCCATCACCCCTCCTGGCCTGTTCCCGCAGGACATCCAGGTTGGAGGCGACTCGCGCGCCGTCGAGAACGTGGCCCTGGCTCTGCTGCATTCCTTCTGGATCCGTGAGCACAACCAGGTGCGTGCTGGCCATGAGCCGGAATGAGGGTGTGGGAGAGCAGAAGACCCTGGCGGGGCAGAGACAAGATCTGCGGCCCTTGTCTAACAGCCTCCTTGTGCCAATCATTCAGCGTCGCCAAGGCAGTCAAGCAGGTCCTGAATGGACGTCTGGTTTCCGCCAGCGACGAGACCATTTTCCAGATTGCCCGTGCCATCACGATCAGCGAATACCAGGTATGTCTTCGCACTCGCGGCGGGACAGTGCATCACTGGGTGCCTACCATCCCGCTCGGCCCCCTCTCCGGAGCCATGCAATTTCAGGCTCGCCTGCGACGCTCGGCATCCACCGGCTGACCAATCATCGACGCTCCGTTTCCAGTACGTCATCTTCAACGAATACGTTCCCACCATCATCGGCAAGCCTCTTCCGTTCTACAACGGCTACAACAAGAGCGTCGATCCCACGACTTCGAACCTGTTCGCCGGTGCCATCTATCGCTATGGCCACTCGACCGTCCGCGACTACGACATCGTGGATGTGTGCACCCACCAGCCCATCTACATTGTTCAACGCCACCAGCACCCTGCCGCAGATCCAAAAGTCGTTCTTTGGCACCAAGGTCAACGTGACCGATGGCATGATCGCCACCCGCTTCCCCTTTGGCGGCCAGATCGTTGTCCTTGGCTCGGGCCGCGACGTCATGGTAAGTGCGGCCACAGTGTCGGTGGGCGGAACATACGCCTGTCCATCCAGCATCCGGACGGCACTCGTTCCTGAGTGATCATGCGGAACAGAGCGACGATTCTCTGGGACTCACTGATACTATCCCCTTTCCACCCTTCCCCACCACAACGTTGTGGCAAACAGACCCCTGCCGCTAGATACCTGGCGCTTGCTTCCGGCTCGAGTGGCGACGGCTTTGCCAACATCTTCTCCTCTCTGATCCTGTCTCGTCAGGCCGGTATGTAGCCGACAGCTGCCAGCTTTGGATCGCGCACATGTGTGCTCTGCCTGCAAGTCACTGCCGGCTTTGCGCCTGCTCATGCTCCGCCGACTATCACTGCCACAGAAACCGACACCATCATCCACAATGCCCTTCGAAACTCGATCGCTCTGGACCTGTTCAGCACCGACATCCTTCGCAGCCGTCTCGACGGCCTCCCCAGCTACACTGCTGTTCGCGCTCGCTATGGCCCCTCGGATCTCCTTACGGCCCCCGAGTGCGTCAAATCGATCTCGTCGGTTGCCTGCTTCCAGCTCATTACGCCCTCAAACCCCTCCCTTGCCCAGTCCCTGCAGTCTCTGTACACCAACGTCACCAGCATCGATGCCCTCGTCGGAGCTCTTGCCGAGGAGCGTGGCCCCAACACCGACCTTCCTCTCACCATCGCCAACTATCTGGCCGAGAGTTTGTACGCAAGAGAGATGGCGATCGTTTCTACACCCCCATCGACCAGCTCTTGCCCACCTTGGCGGACATCATCTCTGGCGAGTTCGGCATTGCCGATGGAGCCGGCATTGCGGACGAGATCTCGTCTGCCCTGGACCTCTACAGCACCTCGATGTCCAACATCATTGGCCGAAACCTTGGTCTGTACGGCCTCCCCAACAACGTCTTCAAGGTTCCCAAGTATGCCAGCGTCGTCCCTTTCTACTCCGCCTGCCCGGCCAACTAATTGTCCCGCTCCATCTTTCACCTCTCAAAGCTCCCATGAATACGCGTGGGTCGCGATGGCCTCTACTCCCGTCTGTTTCCTTCTCGAGATTTGCTTGTTTCTCGAATCTATTTTCCCTCTCCTGGTTCGCTTGATGCATTTTTATATGACTTTGAAACCACCAGGAGTGCACTTTGCACTTGAACGAACGGGACACTGCCCATTCTATGAACATGTAGTATGTGATGAGCTTGCGTCAAGCAATGCCATAAGAAATAGAACAGATCACCTCCGAGCGAAGACCACCAGTCGCTCTCCGGTCTCCACAATCGACATGTACACTGGTCTCGGAGTGCCGGTGGCGAATGGTGCTCTTGGACACACTGGCGAATGGTCACGGCCAGCGCGCGATGGTATTGGGAAACAAACTATTCGGTCAACGATCAAAATCACGGGTGACCCGTTTATGAGTTGGATTGACTGTAGTTCGGGTCCTGCACACACACATACCCGTCATCAGTGCCGCCCCAGGACGATCACTGTTATGGAGGAGCACTCATGGATGCGTATTCCCCGTTTCGCTCCGAACATGCTGTATTCACAGTTTTTGCCCAGGATCGACGCAGCGATCACGACGGTACTGATCGACCGGTGACATATTTTGCTTCTCCATTTCACTTGGCCCACTCTGGTTGAGTTCCTTGTTCTTTGATTTGCCATTTTGGCTTTTGGCTCTTGCGACACACCGAATAAACTCAAGCCGAATAGGGCTGCGTACGCAGGGGTTGGCGTGGATCAGTGGCCTCAGACGGGCGGGTTGTGGGCGACTTGCCATGGGCACCGACAGTGGTTGTGGTTGTGGTGCCCGACTCGGGCTTCCAGGTGCTTGCCGACGCCGAGCCCTTGCGTTGATTCTGCTCCTCGGAGGCTCCCCAAAGCTTCGATCCCAGGACAAAAACGGTGGTGCCCATGGTTGCCGAGACGTTCATCAACGATCGGAGAGTAAAGAGGCCGCTCGGATCCGAGAAGGAGTAGTTGAGGGGATACAAAACCACAACAACTTGCACCCAGAAGGAGATCTGCGGATGCACCAGGAGTCACGGTGAGTATGGAGGTTTACCGTGCCCTGAATGTTCCCATATTGGGAAAAGTGGGCATGGAGTTGTTTGATATGGCTTTGTCGGGTCGCCACAAACGGCACCAGAGCGAACGCCGCTGCTCGAGGCAGTACATCCGTTCATGACTCCGGGTGGAAGGTGTGAATCAAGATGGTAATACCCCCCCCCATTGAGCGACATCACAATCTTGCCGCCGGCCTCACATCATGATGTGCACGGTTAGCCGCTCTGCACTCACACAGAGTCGGTAGTTCTGGACGAACGGCAAGAGACTGCTCAAGCGGGGGTCGACTGGAGCAGGCGGCGGTTGTGCCGTTCTTACCGAGGATCTCAGGTTTTTCTCTTCGTTGAACTGCGACGGGACATTTCGAGTTGAGTGCCCGATCCAGAAGCTGGTCAGTAGGATCGCCATGAATATAAAGAAGATCGAGATCGGGAATGGATCAAAGCTCAGCGTGGTGGAACTTTTGCAGAGCCCAGACGACTCGATGCTGTTCCCGAACGAATCGGTGTTGATGATGGTTCGGATCCACTCCAGGGGCGCCGTAAAGTTCCAAACGAGAATAATGCCCTGGTGTTGCGGTTGTCCCGTGTGTCAAAGGCGTTGCGGGCAGGGGTTGGAAGTGTGTCGTGACGAAATCCATGGTGTCAGTTCGAGCATGCATCCAGGCGAGCATGTATCAATGCGGATACACTCCAGCAGCATCAGCTTGTACCCTTGCAGTCCATCAAGCCCATCCAGCCATCCAACCACAAACCCATCGACACATCCAACCACAAACCCATCCACACGAACATTCGGGCACCCGCCCGCCAACACATACCAACGACACCAGCATCGGAGCAGCCATCGTGAAGAAGAGTTCGTGCGGCCTGAAGCTGATGATCTCGGCCTTGGGGTTCTTGAAGATGCGATAGATGCGCCACATCTTGATGAGCAGTGCGCCAAACATCAGCATCATCGGCAGGACAATCACATATGGCGTCGCCATGCAGGCGGCGTTGAGCGTATTGGCGTCCTGGATGACATTGTCATCCATGCCCATCAGATAATTGCCACACAGGGCGATGCTGGCGCTGAAGCCCATCAGCACCAGAAACGTCGGCGACCCGCCCTTGATTTGGGGCTGTTCACGGTTGAGGATGATGAGGAGGGTGATGCCAAGGGTGATAACCTGGCTGAGGGCCGTGATCAAGAATATAACGATTCGTAGACCCATCGAGATCAGGTGGCGATTCTCGTAGGGAAAGACGGGGTTGAACTGGCCCATGGGCACGATGCCCTGGAAGTACGTGTTCAGCGTGTTGGTGAAGGTGAAGTTCAGGCAGTCGTTGGGACCGATGATGGTGTTGCCGTTGACCTGTGAGTCCCAAATCGGCACGACAAGGGTTGTAAGCACACGGGCAAGTTGACTCGTCGCTGTGGACGGTGCGGGAGCTGCAGACCTTCTATCCCGAGCAGACTGCTGGCAACAACTCATGCGACACTCCATTGTCACTCATCTGCACTACTGCCGCCAGCTTATCTCTGGGTGTTTGGGTCGTGCTGTAACACTTACATCATAAATGGGACCGCAGTACCGGGAGTTGTCCGGGAGCGACTTGAGACGGGCAACTTCGGCCTGAATGGCTGCCACCTGATTGACGTCGAACCAGCCAGAGATCCCGGTGATGTAAGTAAGGCCGCTGAGCAGGCCAGAGTTGACCATGGCGGTGTCACTGAGCGGCACGCCGTCGATGTAGTTCTGAACAAATGGTCCAAAGATCGTGATCCAGTCAAAGGAAGCTGTCGCCAGAACGCGGTTGCCATAGTCGCCGCTGGGATCGGTGTTTGCGGCAGCGATGTAGGATCCATTTGAGGCTGCATAGGTCGCCGGGGGCGTGAGCGGGCGATTGGGCACAAATCAGCAAAGCTCCATTATCGTTTTGCAGGATGGTGTCACGGAATTGTGTCCATACTCACTGAAGACAGCAACAGGAATGACCGTGTCGGTCTGGTATCCAAGGACCTTGACGCCGTCGGCCAAGAACTGCTGCGAGACTAGATGTAAGGCGTGTGTGAGCTAAGTGCATCGCAAATGAGTGGCCGAAGGATTGCGTGCCCACCTTGGGTTTCGGCAAATGGATAGTAGAATGTGCCGATGCTTCGGGTGATCATTTTCGCTCCAGGAATGGCCTTCTGCAGACCCAAGAGAAACATATTGGCGTGGATCATCGTTCTTGGGATCTCCATTGGAAGTAGATACCCAATTGGGATGTTGCCATTTGCGAAGCTGACGTCCGACCGGCTCTTGGCAAACAGACCAGCGGCGTATCCAGTCAAGTACTTTGCTTCCTCCTGGCGCAAGGAGTACCAGCGCGTGTTGGCCGGGATGGGGTTGATGTTGGAGGTCGTCCAGGTGAGAACCTTGAGGCTGGGAAAGTTCTGGGTCAAGGTCACGGTGAGATTGAGCTGCTGGGAAATGGTCACTCCCAGGATGGCAATGTCGATGGAGTTTTGTTGGATAGTGTCGTGAATGAGCTGGTAGTTGGTGTTGAAGCCAATGTTGAAGAGCGTGTAGATGGATATAGAGCTTCCGAACTGAATCTTGAGGTTATTGAGTCCAACGTTGAGCGAGTGTCCGAAACCAGAGTCTGCGAGGTGCAGCATGGCAGTTCGCTCGGGTTAGTGTCGTAGCCGGACCGCGAGTGCTATCGCAAACGGGCAGAGTAGGGTGTTGAATCAACGGCAGCTATGGGTGGGCTCGCAAATGGGACTGCACCTGTTGGCGGACTCGAGCAAGTCAGCAGGATGTTGATCGGTGGGCGATCTACAAGCATCGTGGATGTGGCGAGTTGTCAGTGGCATGGCAAGCACAAGCAATATGAGTAAAACTACCGACGCCATTTGTAGCGACATCCACGGCCGATACCGATCCAGATACCGAGGATCTGGTCGAATGTGTCGGTGTGCACCATCGCTGCGGATGAGGCTCGATGGACATACATGTGAGAGTGTAGACGAGGCTCAGGTCGTGGAAGGTCTGCTTTCCGTCAAAGGATATGAGGGCCTTGGCCTGCTGCCCCAGAGACACCTGTGCGATGCCAGCGTCGGTGAAGCCTGTGAGGGTGTTGCCACTGAGCTGGGCAGCAATGTCGTAGTAGCTGGAGGCATTGGCCACGCTGACGATGCGAATGGCGGGCGATACGTTGGCCAAGGCGAGCAGATTGTTGGGCATAGCGGGAAGGGCAATGATGACTGTGTTTCCGCCGTTGGCAAGCAGTGAGCGAGCGTTGATGCCTTGGCCCTGGGTGGAGGCTGTAACGGCTCCGCTGAGACGCGAGGCTGTCGAGTGTATCGGGGCGATTGTGAGTATGAGCATAGGAACGGAGCTCAACAGCTCGTGACTGCAAAATTACGACGTGCGATGGTGTGCACCGCTGGCTTATAGCGGCGCCTGCGGTGGAACAGTGTCATAGCGTGTGATCGCATGCAACTGACAAAGATCCCCACGGAGATGCCAGCAGCAGAGTGGCTGCGGTGTGTGCGAACAGATTCAGGTGCCTGGGTATCAGCAAACCCAGATGCCCGAACAAGGCAGCGAGATGGAAAACTCACGATCGTAAACCAGCAGAGAGTCGACGACACCCGCGCTCACGGTAAAGCCGTCCGTGACATTGAAAACGCAGGCGCCTTCGTCCATCGCGGGGCTCTGGAAGACAACGGCGGTGGTGTTGACGTTGCCGCCAGTGCTTGCGGAGCTGAATGTGGCCGTTGCGATGGAGCTCCGGCCCGTGGTAGGGTTCCAGACGGCGACGCGGTAGGTTCTCGAGGGATGATAGTAGCCAGCGAGGGTGAGGCTGATGGTTGTGCCGCCGGCAATGGGGAAGATATTGGGCGAGGCAGAGAGGACAGAGAATGCAGCTGCATATGCAGCCAGGGCCAGGACGAGCAGGCACTTGGCCAGCAGCCGGCCAGTCGAAACAACGGACAGCATTGTCGCGACAGGCATCATCGACACCATCGACGTCGCGCAAGGCCGAGTATCGATGTTGGGGTGGAAAGGGCGATGCGGCCAAGTCGAGGGATTTGTACTGCGGCGGTTTCTGTCCAAAGCCATCGACACATGCGACACTGGATCACGAGCAGGCTGGTGGGTGATGTCAGGCTGGCAAAACGAGCTGCGTGCTGGGCCAGAGCAACCATCTGCCGGGCCTGCAGTGGATGCATTGGATTCAGTGATGCAGTGGACATTGGATGCATGTCATGCTTATGAACAGCAAAGTCTGCCCAGGACGTGTGAGTGCGAAAGCAGTGCGAATGGCGCTGATTGGGAGTCCTCAGCACTGATTGAGAGAGCCGTCAGCGCTGATTGTTGTCCGTGGGATCACGCCCGGGTATCTACGTCTGGATCCTTATCCCATCGCTGCAGACAGAGTGTGGCGAGCGGGGCTCGTGGAGACAGATTCGCAGAATCCAGGGGGACATCGCGATCTGGCCCGTGGGAACTGATGCCCGGCCGGGCTGCGCTTTTTTTGTTGGCCAAGCCGATCCGACAACCGCCGCCATCCCCCTCGTCTTGCTTGATCGCTACCACGCCAATCCCTCACTTGCCCTCCCCCTCCCCGACGGCATCCATCCGTCGACAATGCCGCCAAAGAAACCCGTCGCCCCCAAGATCGAGACTCTCACAGAAAATGAGGAGATTCTGCTGGAGACCCTGCGGTCTGAGCCTCGGGTGCGCCTTCGCTCTCGCCAACGCTCCTATTCAGCACCCAACCGGCGGACAAGGCGACAGCGACGCATTCGATCGGCTCTGGATACTCACAGTCCATCAATATCCATTCTATGTAGGGCATGACCACCTCCCAGCTGCTGAGCAAGCTGGGCGACGAATGGAACCAGGAGATCCTCGTCGTCCAGATGAACCAGCTGTCTTCCAAGAAATATGTCGACTTGATGAGCATCGGGAAAGAAACGGGCTTCAAGGCCCGGAACGATGACGAGATCTCAAAGTGAGTCGTTGTTCTTGAGGATTGAAGTGGTGGGGTGCTGTCTTGTTGGACGACATTCGCTGCGAGCTGAGATCAAAGCGACATGGCTGCACGAACCGAATACGATCGGGGTCATGTCCACTCATCGGACATTGTGATCGGAGAGGCAGTCCAAAAACGAAGCGATTTCATCGATCCGCACGCCATGGATAGCTATCCGGTCCCGGATGACCGATGGCACAGCCGCTACAGGAGTACAGATGGACACACCGGCCGAGACAATCCTCGGATACAGCTAATCCGACGCCGCCTGGACTTGCTGCCGACCACCCAGACTAACAGGAATGGATCAACAAGAGTATATCGTTTACAATCTCATCAAGGGCGTGGGCGACAAAGGTAATTTCGAGCGAGCGGTTCGACCTGGTACATGGCACAGGCCTGCTGCCTCGTCCCGCATAACACAGACGATAGATGCGAGCCTCATCCGGCCTATGACGTTGATGTGCAATGTGCTGCCGATGCCCTGGGATAGAGCAGAGCGCATTCCATGCACGCTGCGGATAGGACGATCGTGTGGATCATTGTGCTGCCCATAGATTATGGAGATGATGACGGGCACGCATCGCCTCACGATCGCATCACAATCGCTGCCAACATTCGCGTCCGGCCGTGCTGTGGCCTGCATAGGCGAGTTGTCTGAGTCATCACCGATTCTGCGCACCAGGAATATGGATCAAGGATATTGAACGCAAGTCCAAGGTGCACACCCAGCATCTTCAGGCCATCATCAAGAGTCTCGAGCGGCGGCAGATGATCAAAAACGTCAAATCCATCAAAGTAGGCATCTGGCGATTCGAGCGATGTGCGATCACGATTCGCTCAACCGAACGCGGGTGTATCGTGGCAGCCTGGAGCCATTGGAATGCGTCGGAACTGACATCTTCATTGGATCGCTCGGCACAGTACCCCACCCGGAAGACATATATGCTGTATGAGCTCGAAGCATCGTCAGAAGTCACTGGCGGACTGTGGTACACCGACCAGGAATACGATGAAGAGTTTGTGGAGGCGATCAGCCAGCAGTGCTACAAAATGATTCTGTCCAAGGTTTGTCATTTTTTGCTCTCATGCACCCGAGCGATATGCACATGATGAAACGAACGTTCCGATCCACTCGCCAGATCGCTAACTGTCACTCTGGATCCGAATCGCATCTGCCACCAGAGCTTCCCACACGACCCGGATGCCATTTTTCCAGCTGATCATAACGGATACGTGACCGCAACGGATATTCTGACCTTTATCAAGAGAACCAAACTCGTCACGGTCGAGCTGGGTCGGGGCGACATACAACAGATCCTCGATCGGCTGCTGTATGACGGCAAGATCACGAAGCGGACACGGGTTGCTGGAGAAGGAAGCGCCATGAGAGGAATCAAGTACGACACCCTCTCTGGCGGCGACGGCAGTGGCGGCGACGATGGCGAAGAGGTCATCGGGCACGTTTACGACGACGACGACGAGGATTTGATCATGTACAAGGCCGAGAGGGACATTCGAGGCGGACAAAGCGCCTGGGCCGATTTCCCGTGCGGCAAGTGTCCTGTCATCGAGCATTGCTCCGAGGACAGCCAGGTGTCGCCCTCGAGCTGCAGCTACTACAAAAAGTGGCTGCAATTCTGAGTGCCTCTTGCGCCTTTGGTCCAAAGTAAATCTGGAGCCAACATACACTTTATTCAGAAAAAAATGGGACAATATAGCCGTTTCCATGAACAGGTAGTATGTGCTGTGCTTGCGTCAAGCAAAGCCACAAGAAATAAAACAGATCACTTTGGCAGCCTCCGAGTGAAGACCGCCGGTCGCTCTCCGATCTCCACAATCGACCTGCATACTGTGATCATGTTGCGCGCCGCATTGACGTCGCGATTCCACACTGTCCGGCAGCTGGGATTCTTGCAGCTCCTGACAAAGTGGGAATTCGCAACACTGGGCGCATCGAGTCCTTCCAACCGAACTGGCTCCAGGCACTTGGAGCACACTTGCGAGGTGTTGAACTCGTTCGTCGAGACTACCTTGACGCTTCCATGATGGTGATTGGGACGGCGACGGTGGTGCTCGAATTGCTCAAAGTACCGAGCAAATCGCTGCCTCCGAGGGCTGGATGCATAGCCCTTGCCTTGTCGCCATGACGCATTGCCAAAGGCGATCACCACATCGGTCCGTATCGGGGCGTGCTTCAGGACGGCCTTGCACATCCTGTCGACGGCCACTTGGCGTCTCTTGTGGCCCGTGAAGCGATGGTGACGGGCCTTCTTGCCAAGGTGGAAGTCGAGCTGCACTCGCAGCTCCGGTCGCAGGACATGGGTGAGATGGACCTTGAAAGCCTCCGAGGACGACACCTTGGGCGAGGGAGTGGTCGACATCCAGGTCTCGATGCTGAGTCGATACTTCATGATATTGTGCCACTTGGTGTCGGACGTATGGCCACACATGTGCTGGTAGTGGCCATTGGAGAACGAGACCACCTCGTCTTGGTGGCCCGGTGCTTGGATGACCGCCGTGAAGATGGAGCCGACTCCAGGATCGATGCCAATCCAAGTGGTGCGATCGGGGTCTGGGTCGCCGATGTGCTCCTGGATGCGCTGCTCGGCAGTCGGAGGAGGCTCGATGGTCTCGGTGTGATCGGTTCGAGGCACAAACTTGACGAGGCCGATGGTGCATCCAATTCCATCGGTGCTGATCTCGTAGTTGAACAGCTTCTTGTCCCTGACTCGCTCTTGGAAGAGGGAACTACGCAGCTTGAAGCAACTGCGCCAGAGACGATCCTGGTTGTTGACACCGTCATCACCTTGTTCCTTGAGCATGTCCCTGGTGAGGCCAAGGCGCTTCTTTGGACCCAGGAGCTCCCAGAGTGCGACGGTGTCGATCTTGACATACTTGGCCTTCGCAGTACAGAGAGGAACTATCGTGCACACGGCCGGAGGAGTGTCGACGGCGAGCTGCTTGAGAGCCCACTTGATCCTGGATGCCAGCTTGTTGATCTTGGCCTTGGTGAACCTCTTGTCGTCGGAGGGAATGCCTCTGGCAGTGAGCTCGTCCAGCTTGGCCTGGCGCTGCAGCTCGGTGACTCGGAGGGCGGGCATGTCACAGTCGATCCACTTGTGGACATTGTCGACCATCTTGTCTCGGGCGAGGATTCTCACATGGTGTGAGAGGCGATGGAGGGCCCGGAAGCGGTCCTGGTCGCTGCTGTACCGAAACTCGTCCAGGACGTGGCCAAAGTCTGGATAGAGGAACTCGAGATCGGCCTTGGGTGGAGTCTGCCCTGGTTTCTCGAAGAGCTCGAGACAGGCCTCGATGGCTTCGTGCTTATGCTTGTTGGCAGGGAAGACGGCAGCGCAGAAGCGGCGAAGGAGTCGCCAGTAGGCCAGGTCGAGGTGGGTGGTGCAGTTGGTGGCATAGGCGTTGACAGCCAGTGTGAGAAGCTGACTGTGAGCACCATCAGGCAGACGAGGGGCCGGAGGCAGGTCTGCGTGTCGAGTGGTCTGGTAGTCGCGAAAGGAAGCGACCAGATGCTCGTTGTATTTCTCATTGTCCCCGGTCGGGGAGAGGGCACCGTCCTGGACGATCTTGAAGCATTGACGGATGAATGCAGGGGTGGACTTGGAGATGACGGGGACGGGAAGATCCTGCTCGATGCACCGGAGGATGTGCAGGTTGAGCAGCCTGGATGCCTCGAACTGGATCTGGGTCATGGCCTCGACGGTGGCCTGGATCTGGGTCATGGCTGCGACAGTGGCCTGGATCTTGTCGCGGAGAGCGGGATTGAGACAACAGCCATCCATCATCTGCTTGAAGCAGCTGAACTGAGGGGCGGATGACCTTCCATCCACGAGTGGGAGGACAGAACTCTTGAGGGGGTGATATTTTGGACACTTGCTAGTGTTGCAGCGTTCGTGATCGGTGCCATCGCACTGGCGACATCGCTTGCCGGTACTCGAGGAAGTAGATGGACCAGGCTCGGTGGGATCGACATCCATTGGATCTGTAGAAGCAGTGGTGGTGAGCGACGGAGCAACAGACGAACAAGCATGCGTGGGGTCAGAATACGAACCAGAGACAGGCTCCGACTGTGACTTGGCTTTCTTGGGCCTGGGTGGCCGAGGCTGGCCATCACCGGCACCCTTGCGCTTCGGAGGCATGGGGCAGAGGATGCTGGATGCCTGCCAGTGGTACTGGTCAGAGCAGAGACTTTTTTTTATCGTACAATAGCGCGATGATCAGATCAAGGCGAGATGAGGGAAGAAAGCAGCAGGACGAAGGTGTGGCATTTATACCCGAGAGCAGGAACCCGTCTGCGCGGGCTGGTTGGGGAAGTGACCCTGTTCAAAAATCGCCGAGAGGTTCAAGCCAGGGATGTGAACGCGAAAATGGCGGCTTGATTGGAGGGAACTCAACCCCAAATTGGAGGAACTCAACCCCAAAGAAGTTCTCGATGGGATTGAAGTCGGGCGAGGCAGGTGGGGTGAAGATCACTGACCATCCTCGGCGCTCGATGCAGTCCAGGACAGCCATTGTCTTGTGCATGCTGACATTGTCCATCACAATCACAGAGTCGTCTGGGAAGGTCGCTCGCTCAAAGAACTCGACCATCGAGTGTGTCTTGAATGATGTGGGGATGTACATGCGATGCAGCACACCAGAGTGGTTGATGGCAAATGCAGCCGAGACAGACTTGTGCTTCATGTGATTGCGCTGGCGAAGCGGAGCACCCTTCGGTGAGTATCCGTAAAGAGGGAAAATGGATTTCCTGATCCCTGTCTCGTCGACAAAAACGAATCGTCGTGGGTCGATGGAGCGGGCCTGGTCCCTGAACTGTGCCACTCGCTCATCCAGTCGCTTGGACTTGTAGAGGTGTGTTGCCCTCTTGTGTGAGAGACCTGCTCGGTGGATGGCAGTGTGGCAGAGTGAGAGTGATACTTTCCTCTGGAGGATGGACTCGAGCTTGCATCGCAACACAGGACCAGTCTGGAACGGGTCCTGTTCAATCAGGGTGCGAATGACTGGACATGCCTGCTCGAAGAAAGTGGATCTGCGAGCTGGGACCCGGGATGGGTCATCCAGCTTGCATCCTCGGTGCCATCGATGGATGGTGCTCTTGGATACACTGAATATGGAGGCGACCTTACGCAGGCTATGGATGAGGGCGTAGCATCGCAATGCGGCGGTGCGAAAGTCGGATGTGTGGCGAATGGTCATGGCCAGCGCGCGATAACATTGGGTAACAAAATGTTTGATCAATGGCCAAACCCTGGGTGTCCCGTTTTTAATTGGATCGCCCGTAATGCGAGCACGAGCCCTGGGACTGTGAAACGAACGACACTAGGATTTCGGTGTCATCACCAAGCGCATCGACCTTGTCACTGGTCCAAGATCGGGGAGGCGCTCTCAACTCCCCACAGCGGCTCTGGCCCGACTGACGGGTCAGGCTCTTGAAGCAGCTGGCTTGGTGACGACGATCGGATCCCGGAAGTCGATCAGGATTGCAGAGTCGATCCAGGCTCTGGAAACGGTGCTGCGGATTGCTGCGGCTCCAAGACGGATGACGGTCGAGACTCAGGCTCTGCCACAACGACTCGCGGCTGATACGTGGCCAGGACTGGTGCGAACTCATCAGCGGTACTTTGTGAAGATCGCTGGTAGTCCGATACGGATATGGCTTGGCGGAATGATTCTCCAGCAGGTCGCCGGACGTCTTGGGGCTCAGCGCACTTGCCTGAGAGGGCCGTCGTCCTGGTGGTGTTGCGAGAGTCATGGCAGCCCGTTTCGCCATGGTTCGGGGCGGGGTACTTGTCCTGCTGTCATATGCGGCCACATCGGTTTCAAACAGACCAGACATGGGGAGCATCAGCTGCCCGATCCGTCGACCATTGGGAACATCGCCTGGCAAATTGTGTCGGTCGATGATCCAGTTCTTCAGTGAGACGTCTGGATGCAGTTTCAGCACGGCATAGCGGCCCGATGTGGTGCGAACATGCGAGACCTTGACACCGTTGATGATCGACTTGGAGACCGGGTCCCGCTCGCTCTCGTTTCGCATCGACTTGAGCGACAGCCCCTTGGCCCCAAAGCCCTTCCACCCGTCCTCCTTGAGCTGCCGCACATATGTTGCATACGACCGCGGCCGCTCGGGGACCTGGAAGGTCTTTTGGTCCTGCCGCGAGAGCCTGCTCCGCACCGCATACTGCAGCACCACCGGCAGCACCTCGGCTCGGGACTTTGCCGAGTTTGGGAAGCCAAAGTCCCGCTCGAAGCGGGCGATGGCCAGGGCAAGACCCCGGTCGATGTGGCCGTGGATGAAGAGACCCTTGATCTTGACGACCGAGGCTGGCTGCGACAGGGGTGGGGTGTTCTGCAGCTCGTCCCGGAGCAGCTTTCGGCGTCGTCTCTCGGCACTGGCATCGGCACTGGCACTGGCATCGGCACTGGCACCGGGCTTGGATCCGAGACCAGCCTTGATGCTGGCTTTGATGCTGGCCTTGATGCTGGCCTTGATGCCGGTGGAGGGGTTGGCGGTGGAGCTGGCTCTGGGGCGGACCGCCAGACTCGGCGTCGATCGAGACTGGCGCTGGGATCCGGGGCCGGAGATCGGTGTCGACAGCGCCTGTGTCGAGCCGGATGCTGAGCCGGGTGTCGATACCAACGGCAGCACGGGCGAGGGATCGTTTGGACCAGGCCGTGGCCGCGGGTCGGTCGGCGAGCGGGCGGCCGAGGTGTGGAGCAGGTTGCGGATTCCCTGGAGGATCGAGTCGACGGCCATGTGGTGGTGATGGTGGCGATGGTGGTTTCGTCGAGTGGGTGTCAGCGATATGTAGTCAGACGGCTTGGAAAAAACACTCAAGATCGATGCTGTTCCACTCTCTCAGGCCCAGAGATCGACGTGGAAGATGACTGTTTCCGAGCCTCCCCGCTCCTTGGTGAAGTAGAGGGAGATCGGCATATATGAAGAAGACGGATATTTCCGAGATGTCATTGCAATGGTCAGGTGCTCTTCATCAATCAGCCGGTGATACAATAGTCTGTCCCGCTGGCCGGTGTGCTGCTCGGCTGCCTCGTCTAGAAATCTGTCGCAGTGTGCAGTTCAGTGAGCCAGCAGTCAGATTGGGTTTGGGGAAACATTGTGATTGGCAGGACGGCCAATAAGCAGCAGGCTCTGCATATTCCCTCCCTCCGGAGCGATTGCAGAGTACGTCATTCCGATATTAGATGCCATATTCCTTGGGATGCGGAGGGAGGGGCAATGGAGCACCATGTTGCCTTTGGTCCTTTCAGAGCAAAGGAGCGTCCAAATACTGTGGATGAGAGATACCTTGTTTCGTGAGCAGTGTCACTCAATGGAAGCCACTCAATGGGACCCACTCGATGGGAGTCCATCGATCGGGTCCCTTCGAATCGTCGCACCGCCGTCGACAATCCCGTTTCTCTGGTGCTGGAGCTGCTCGAAATCCACGAGGATTCACCGACAACGGGACTGGAGGCATATCCCTTGTCCTGCTTCGATGAGATGGACGATGGATGTGTATTCGATTCACAAGTAGCAACGCCGAATACACACTGGTGTGCCTCGTTCATGTTGCAGGCGCCGAAAGTGTGGTTCGCATTCGGCTCGATGTGTGAGCATCCAAAATACGACGGCAGCGAGTGCACATTTCCAGGCCTCGACATCACTGGGATAAAATGCGGCGAATCGTTTGTGTTTGACAGAGTTCTCTCGTCAACTTCGAGTCCATCCTCGATCGTGCCCTTCAAGGCTGTGTTTGGCGATAACTTGAAGGATGGCGGTCATTTGCTGCCATTCTTTCCCTATGTACTTGGCCGAGCGAGGGCGTGCTCTATTCCCACAACAACGGCGACGGCGCCTGCCCACGCCAGCAGGAGCGTCACCGGCCCTGTCCATAATCGGTCATGCTCGACACCAATCGGCATGCGAATTGGGCCATCGGAGGTTTGAACGCTCACTGGAAATGGGATGAATCCCCCGTGAGGAAGAAGCCCCATAAATGAGCCACGATACTCGGCTTGAGGAACATCAATTCCGAGCATTGGATCAGCGAAATGAGATCGCGTACAACGTTAGATTCTTTGGACATCCAATACGACAATGCAAACCCAGTGGAACTGGAATATCGGTACTGCACGAACGATCGTGATAATAGACCTGCGCGATACGCAGACATGTGCTGACATCGAAGCGTGTGTACAGCGAGCCACGACAGGAGTTGCTCGATCGACCTACCGCCTGGCATCTCCTGGAAGGCCAATATGGTTGGGAGTCCAACTTCAAAGTAGCGCTGGGTGTCGGACGGACGCTGGTACCGTTGGTGCAGCGGAATAGAAAATGCCAGTCTATCATAAACGAGATCTATTAGCAGATTGGAATGCGCATCACGTCCATGCTCATGGCCAGTCCAAAGTCATTAGAGCCATCAAGGTTAATCGGGCTTTCGAGGAGCATAAGCGCTGCATTACGAGGGCGATCCAGAAATCTTTGATTCGATGTACTGCCGAACAAGCTCACTCCAGATATGGCAGCGATTCGGTCGCCCGGATTGCACCCACAGTCAGCATGGCACTTACTGGCTCTGGGAGGCCGTTGGCGGGATGGTGATTTGACCCATGTTCGGCAGCGCTGCAGAGGAATACGCCGGCGCTTCGAGGTCGGGTCGACCAAAAACTTTGACCCTGATATTTGACGGAAACTTGACTGACTCGAGCTGATACTGATCCAAGAATAGGCTGCGGTCCAGAGCCACGAGGATATGCCAGCTTGTCTGCCGCCCAGGCTCAATCGGACGCGTGATGTTGAAGGCGAGGTTTGGATGAAAGGCAACGGTGGTATCGAGATGGACGAGAATATCCGGGGATCCGGTGCGCCTTTGGTCAGGAATAGCGAGCACGAGCCGACGATGGTTTGTCTCTGGATCAACATCGAGCCATGACGCTGTTCGTTCGTCAAAAATCTTGAGACTCGAGACTCCGGGCTGGACCTCGGCCTCGATCGGCTCCGGTTCGTAGTTGATGGGCAGGCGGATCTGCAGAACCTGAAACTGCTCCAGGATACCGTGTTCATATCGAAAGGTCGCCTCGATGATTTTGATGCTGCCGGCTTCTGCTCCTGGGAACGAGAGCAGAGGATCGACTGGCCCGAGAGCGGAGGCGTTGGGTCGGGTCTCAAACCAAACAGGTGCATTCCAATTGCCTTGGCCGCCCGAAAGCAGGGACATAGTATTGCCATGGAGAGCTGAACCACTCCACTTGAAGGGGCCGAGCAATGGAGTTGGGGTGCAGAAGACGAAGCTCCGAGTCAGAACGAGGATAAGTTGCGGGTGAGTCAGGCATCGGAAACGGCATGGCCCTGTGCCGAGTTGCCACTGCGAGAGTCACTGCGGGGGACTAGCAAGCTGGACCGGCACTCACGGCCATGTCCATGGTGTAGTTTGCGAGGGCATGGTGCTGCTTGAGATGAGCCATCGCCGGGTCGTCTGGGACGCAGTCGGAGGAGAAGAGGGCGGATCCAGCGAGCGGGAAGACCGATCCAACCGCGAGACACGCTGAGGCTGACGTATGGCGGCTCTTGGCAAGAGTTTCGGTCTGCTGAACCGTCAGAACCAGGGACCCGGGAGAGCGCCGATGGGCATGGATATGCAGCTCTGTTGCAGCTGCAGAGCCCACGGCAAACGAGAGGCAGAGCCAGACGAGGGACACGGACGCTGGTAGCTGCATGTGGCCAGTGTGATCTGAATTGTCTGGGTGTTGGCGGCGGCAGTCTTCTACTGACAGGATTTGGTTCAAGAACAGCACAGGGATGCAACGAGATTCTCCAGGAGACGGCCGGTGCTTGGATCAGGTCAAGAAATGAGCCGCCAGACGCGCGGGGTTCGCCTCGGATGAAGCGACAAGCCAGGAGGCACTCTGGGCGAACGGGCAGCAGTCCCAGCGCAGCCGCGGGGCGATGGCCATATCGATTTCCATCATGGCCCCCCCGCGGCGGTTATTGCCGTTGTTGTGATATTGGATCCTCCAGCATCCGTCTTGCCATGACACCATGCGACAGAGCCAGGCCCTTGCTCGGCAGCACACGTGACTCATTTAGGCCAAATGAATCGGCCTCCAGCCGGATGCATCCGGCTCGAGCCGCTGCCGTCCCGCCGACAGCAACCCTTGCGCCGAGATTCTCTTGGGATCTTGAGCAGCGGCTTTTTCTCTCTGCCCTGCACACCCAGCACCTCCCCTCCCCCTCGCAGTTTCCGAGTACACCGCCATGGTGAGGACGCCCGATCGAAGCGAATCCCTGCAGCCCGACAATTCCGGATTCATCCGATAGTCTTGTGGACCAGCCATCGGACGCATTGCCTCCGCTGGCGATCAGATCGCCTGCTTTGTTTGGAGGAACTGATTGGGGCAGCCATGGCGAGCGGCTGGCAAGGCTCTTCCCCCCCCCCAATCGACGATTCCATGGCCACAGCGGGCGGGGTTGCGGGCCGCCTGAGATCAGAATATGTGGCTAACGCACCTGATCCGCTCTTCATATGACGGCTTAACTTGCATTGGCCTCCGCTCGGCAGTCTGCTTTGGGTCCAGTCCAGATCTTCCAGGATAACGCCACGGAGGAACGAGCCGAGAACGCTCGCTTGGTAAGCGGTGTGCAGGCGGTGTGCAGGAGTCGTGGGCCCGCCTGGAATTCCCGTCCTGAGATCGGCTGCGGTTTACATCTCAAGGCTCCCGATGGGACTTTGGACGGACGCATTTGGATCGCTGGCGTCGTGTGCTGCCCTTGGCCATTCTGGCATGTCACTCGATCTGACCCTGTGCGATCTAATGCCGCCATTAGTCCGCCTTTGTTGGCGCCATCGCCGTTGCCGATCTCGTCAAGAGCACCCTTGGCCCCAAGGGCATGGTAAGAACCCGCAGATCAAATCACGCACGGCGAGTGTTGATGGCTTTCTGGCTGGCGCCCTTGTATTCAGAGCAGACACTGCTGAGCTGGGCTCACAAGCCCGGATCCAGACATACGATCGCCGTCCCAGTGGATGCTGTGACTCACGCAATGCCCTGACCTCTAGGACAAGATTCTGCAGTCGATGAGCACCGGTGTCCCCACCGTGACCAACGACGGCGCCACGATCCTCAAGTCTATTGCCCTCGACAATGCTGCGGCAAAAGTTTTGGTCAACATCAGCAAAGTGCAGGATGACGAAGTTGGCGACGGCACGACCTCGGTCTGTGTCCTTGCTGGCGAACTCCTGAGAGAAGCCGAGCGGCTGATCAACCAGAAGATCCATCCCCAGACCGTCATTGAGGGCTTCCGGATTGCCTCGCATGCTGCCTACGAGGCTCTGGAGAAGGCTACTGTTGATAACAGGTATAGCCCGTCCGCATCTGGCGTCAGTTAGAACAGCGTGTTTGCTTGGCTATCGACTCAAGCGGCGACCGCGCCTGGATATCTCGCTTTGCGTGTCTCATTGTCCCCTACCCTCGACAGCGCTGATTCCGAGGCTTTCTACAAGGATCTTCTGAACATTGCTCGCACCACGCTGAGCTCAAAAGTCTTGTCTCAGGACAAGGAGTACTTTTCCAAGTTGGCTGTTGATGCCGTTCTCCGTATGAAGGTGCGGTGCTGATTCGATGCACTCGTTTGTGCCGGGCTGTCAGAGTCTCTGTGTTGGATCACTCACCTATGCAGCTCTGCGTGCTGCTCCCCCAAGTTCTTCGAATTGTTCGGGTCGGCCATGGTTCTGACGGAATCCTAATCGGACACAACCATCGTTGCACTGCAGGGCAGCACCAACCTCGATAACATTCAAATCATCAAGAAAAGTGGCGGCAAGCTCGTCGACTCGTATTTGGACGAGGGTGCGTGCTGCAGACTGGGTCGGAGATTATCTGTATCTGAATCCCGAGGTTGACGACCGCACTGAAATCGCAAGTGATATTGACCTGTACGCTCCCCATTGTTCACGCCAGGCTTCATTTTGGACAAGAAGATCGGTGTCAACCAGCCCACCCGCATCGAGAATGCCAAGATCCTGATTGCCAACACCCGTACGTGCCGGAGCTCCGGATGACACGCTATCTGTGATAACTGTGCTGCTTAGCGATGGACTGGTTCTTATCTGTATTTTTCGACAGCCATGGACACGGACAAGATCAAGATCTTTGGTGCCCGTGTCCGCGTTGACAGCACTGGCAAGCTTGCCGAGCTGGAGCGTGCCGAAAGAGTAGGTCGTGCTCGGCGATCGCAGAGCGCGGGGTGATGTCGCAGTCATGGTAGCGGAAGTGTTGTTTCGCTCGTTGCGCCGGACACCCCCGCCGTCGTTGCGCTTAGGTGTGATGAACTGTTGCCCAGGGCCAGGACCAGATCCCTGCAGCGCGTGGATGCCTTATTGATGGACGCGGTTCCCTGCCGCGCTGCTACAGGAAAAGATGAAGGAAAAGGTCGAGAAGATCAAGGCCCACGGCATCAACTGCTTTGTCAACCGCCAGCTCATCTACAACTGGCCCGAGCAGCTCTTTGCCGATGCCGGTATCGTCTCGATCGAGCACGCGGACTTTGACGGCATCGAGCGCTTGGCTCTGGTCACTGGCGGCGAAATCGCCTCGACTTTTGACCACCCCGAGTTGGTCACTCTTGGCGAGTGTGACTTGATTGAGGAGGTCATCATCGGCGAGGACAAGGTAGGTTGTTTCAGAAGCTGCCGTCGACCTCCGGCTGGGAGGCATTGCGATGGATCGCTGGCCCGGCGGGTGCATGATCCCGACGAAGAATGTGCCAAGGAGAGAGCGCGCTGAGACTCACGATGCCTTTCTCTGCTTTGCAGCTGATCAAGTTTTCTGGAGTCAAGGCCGGCGAAGCCTGCACGATCGTTCTGCGAGGTGCCACTGGTCAACTCCTGGACGAGAGCGAGCGATCGCTGCACGATGCCCTCTGCGTCCTCTCCCAGACTGTCAAGGAGCCCCGCACTGTCCTTGGCGGCGGCTGCAGTGAGATGCTCATGTCCAAGGCCGTCGATGACGTGGCTCGATCGACCTCGGGCAAGAAGTCGATCGCTGTCGAGGCCTTTGCCCGCGCCCTGCGCCAGCTGCCCACGATCCTGGCTGACAACGCCGGATACGATAGCTCGGACCTGGTTGCGCAGCTGCGTGCTGCCCACAACAGCGGCGACTCGTTCGCTGGTCTGAACATGGCCGAGGGAACGATCGGAGACATGCGCGAGCTCGGCATCACCGAGTCCTTCAAGCTCAAGAAGCAGGTTCTGCTCTCTGCCTCCGAGGCCGCCGAGATGATCCTCCGTGTCGACGACATCATCCGATGTGCCCCCAGGTATGTATCCTCTTGTCGCTGCCACGTTTTTCTCCGCTTTGTCTGCGCTGGGGATATCTGCGGATGCGCGGTGTCCTGGCGTCAAGGCAGATCTATCGCGATCGACGACCATGCTCGAGATCAGGCTGGCTAATGCAAGTGCGCTCTCTTCCACAGACAGCGAAATCGGGAGTAGGCCATCGTGTATGCGCAAGATCCATCAATACACATGTATTTCGAGCCTGGACTGTTGCGATCGATCGCTCGACCGGGCCTTGGCGAACGAACGAGGCCAGAGCAAGCCGGGGCTGCTGGGCACGTGCGACGGGGCCACCGCGAGCCGCGGCCGAATCAGGCAACGGGGCTGAGGCCCGAAACGGCAGTGCCGGTCGCACGAGGCGATCTCGTGGCGGCTGCGCGAGGGGGGCGTGGGAGAGCCAGGGCACCACGCCGGCGCTGGTGAGCGTTGATGGCGGTGGAAGCGGATGGCGCTGATAGTGGGCGATAGTAGTAGTAGTGGTGGTGGTAGTGGTGGTAGTAGTGGTGGTGACTGTGGATGCAAGTGTCGATAGAGGCGGTGGTGGTGGTGGTGGTGGTGGTGGTGCGAGAGCCCTCCAGCAACGAGCGCCAACATACCAGCGATCGATCAAATCGACGATAACAGACCAGCAGCGCTCTGCATGCAAAGGCGTCCTTCGGCATCGCTGCTTGCACCTTTGGTCTCCATTCGCAATGCGTCTGTGCTGCGATTGAATGCAGATACTTGCGATCGCCGTTGCTGTGTGCGTCCCAGTGCTTCCCAGTGCCGCTGCACGACAGCGACCGGGCCAGCGTTCGCCCTCGCCTCGCCCTCGCTCCCCTCCTCGCTCTCGCTCTCCCCCTCGCCCGAGTCCGCGGCGCCTGGGCTTTTCAGCCGGCTGGCCTTGCACATCCCCTCTTTCCGCATACATCCATCGTCTCGTCAGGCCTGCTGTTCCTGCGGCTTCCTTCTGCACACCAGCCTCTCTCGATCTGCATCTGACCTGCATCCGACCTCCTTCTGCATCCGCCATGGCCTCCGGAGACGTTGCTAATCCCCTCAGAAAGTTCAAGCTTGTCTTTCTCGGCGAGCAGAGCGGTAGGCATTGTGTGTCGGTTATCCGGGGGCCCTGGAGGTTTGGCCGGCCCTGGCGATTCCGTCGGTGCGATCTCCTGGAGACGAAAATCGCTGGCGGTTCGGCTCGCTGCTGCCTCGTCGGATCCAGGAGCCTGCTCTGCACTCTTATCTGCCCCTTTGAGCGCTGCAGCCCCCTGTCCCAGCTTGCCCTTATTTCGCTGCACCGGCCTTCATGGCTCGCGTGTGGGGGCTTGGACTGCCCTGAGCAATCGACATCGATATTGACATTCACCTGCCGATACGTCCCGCTCCTCATCGATATCTCCGTTCACCCTCAGTTGGCAAGACCTCGCTTATCACGCGGTTTATGTACGATACCTTTGACAACACCTACCAGGTAAATGGCCGTCGCCGGCTCGATCGCTGGCGCGACGGGGGGGGGTTGAGAGCCATCCTGCAGCTTCGTTTTTCTTTCGCTTTGATCCCAGCGGCTGTTTTTGAAAAGCATCCTATGAATTACTCTGGGGAGGGGCCTCTTGAACCTCAATGCTCCGGCGACTGTCGGGATCTCCTCGGCCCCAGACGATTGCATACCCGACTTGGCCAGGGGCTCTAAGTGCGACGGCCTGTGTGTCTGTGTGCGGTCCTTGACCCTTCTTGGCTGCTTCCCAACACCTGTTGCTCTAGGCCACCATCGGTATTGATTTCCTCTCCAAGACAATGTATCTCGAAGATCGCACTGTCCGTCTGCAGCTGTGGGATACCGCCGGCCAGGTTCGTCTCCGAACGACATTGCCGGGAGTCATCACGACATCCGGCGACAGCGGTGCCGCATTTGCCTTTCGACCTCTCTGCGGGCAATCTCGTTGGTGGCTCACACTTGTCCTCTTCTCGCGTTGCTGACCCGTCTTCTCTGCTGCTCCCTGTCGCCCTCATCAGGAGCGCTTCCGTAGCTTGATCCCCAGTTACATCCGCGACTCGTCGGTGGCGGTGGTTGTCTACGACATCACCAACCGCAACTCCTTCATGAACACCTCCAAGTGGGTGGATGACGTCCGGGCCGAGCGTGGAAACGACGTCATCATCGTCCTTGTCGGAAACAAGACTGATCTGGGCGACAAACGGTGAGTGTCGCTCGTCTACGAGATGCCAGGATCATCGGCATCCGCGATCATGCCCACGGGGTTACCCGCCTGTCGGTTCCAGAAGTGGCCACCTGCAACCCTGTGCTCGAATGTTTGACGTGGTCTCGTACGGAGCGCTGCAGCACCAATTCGTGTCGCTAGCGCTTGCTTCCTGGACCCAGTCCCGCATCCCTCTCAGTTCATCGCTGCATTCTCGCTCAGAGCTACCACTTGGGGGCCTGCCTTCACATAACTCGGCCATGCCATCTAATCGGTCCATTGACTATTGTTTTGCGCGCATTCGGCAACCTGAATTGCTGCGCGGTGTGGCACACGGGTCGACTGCGTCTCCAACACAATGACCCCCATATTCATGTGCAACCCTGCAGCCAAGTCTCCACCGAAGAGGGCGAGAAGAAGGGCAAGGAGTTCAACGTCATGTTCATCGAGACCAGTGCCAAGGCCGGCTACAACGTCAAGGCCCTTTTCAGAAAGATCGCCCAGGCTCTCCCTGGCATGGAGAACTCCATGTCGGACCAGAACACTTCTCAGAGTAAGTGCACCGATTGCCGTGGTTTCTCCTCCCTATCTAGATCGCCTCACGGCTGGATCGTTGGCGGTGTATTTTCGGGCCGCACCATCCCGGGGCGCCGCATTCATACCGCCGGGTGTTTCGCCAACTGCTGGGTTCGAGGCAATCGCACCAAATGTCTGACTCTGTTTGGAAATGCAGTGATCGATGTGAAACTCAACCAAAACACCCAGAAGCTCTCTGAGGGCTCCAGCTGTGCCTGCTAAGGCGAACCCTTAACACATATATCCTCGAAGAAACCTCCCCCTCCCTTGTCGCCACAACCCACACCCTTTCTTTCTATTTGACATATATATATATTACTCCTGTTTGTTTGTTCGTTTTATTTCTCGCTAGCACCCCATGCGCTATAGAGGGGTGCATATGTATATGAGTGTATTTGTTGACTTTGTTTGATGAACCGACCGACCGGAGAGCTGGCTGTCGCTGGGATCCCGGCCGTCAACCACAGTTGATGCAGTACTGCCTGTGCTGGGGTCTGCTCCCACGCCATTCTCTTCGGCTCGGAAGTAGATTACATTTTTCAAGAACAAAAATAACGTGTGTCCGCTTGCAAGAGGCCTGTTGACAGCAAAAGCGTTGCCCGAGTTGGCTACGACATAGAAGCGCGGATGTTCCGAGTGCGGCCTGCGGCATCGGGATGACGGCGAGATCGCCAGCCTCAACGTCGGGTGTAGTATCGGAGTGGTGGTGATCGTGAGATCACTGGCCTTAACTCCAGGTTGCAGATCCTGGCACGACTTTGGCCGCGCTGGCGTTCGGCGGAACTTGTCCGCCCCGGCCATGATCTCACCATGATCGCCGCAGCAATGCCATCCGAAGAACCGGCTGCTGCCAGTACTGCTGCTGCTGCTCCAAGCAGGAACCAGGAGCCGTGCGCATTCATCGCCAGCGTCGAAGCAAATCCAGGCATCGGGCCGTGCTCAACCACAGGATCGCTTGGCACCCGCAAACAAAAGCGAGCCGAGAAGAAGAAGAAGGCACGATCCGAGTGGAGGAAGGCCTTGGCTCTGCATCGCATCCAGCTTGGCAGTCAGGGTATGTGCGCCGTTGAATGACCGCATCATGCTATCCACATCATCGGCGTGCCGGCAATGGCGTATCTATACGATGGCGATACCCAGTCCCGGCGCTGCTCGGCGCAATTCGATGCTGATCTCATCATCCGTCATCCAAAGATCCTACTCCAGAGGAGATCCAGAAGGAGGCTGAGGAATCCAAGAAGAGGTACAGAACATCCGTTCGTCTGAGCGATCCCTCGGGCCCAGGCCCCAGCCCCAGTTGCCGGCCGGATCGCTCTGCTCGCCGCCTGTCTGAACCAAGGCCTCGATAACCCCGACCTGCCGGGCCATGCTTGGGCCGCATGAAATCCTTTTTATTGTATTTGGCGATATGCCAACGGTGCGGTGCATCATCGATTCTTCGGGACTATCCATAACCCAACGACTGCGGGCAGGCAGGCACAATCCTCCAGAGACCCGCATTGCGACTCGATCACCCCCCCCCAACATCTCCACCCCCCACCCGCTCAAATACTCTTCAAATCGCTGGATTAGCGGCAGTACGAGTGCGAGTCGGCGTTGGCCGTTGGCCGTTGGTCATGATGCGGCGGTGGACGAATGCAACTGGTCTTGCTGCTCATTCACTCACAAAGGATTCGATGGACTTGACGCTTTGCAGGGCCGAGGAGGCACTCAGATGGGAGCTGAAGGAGAAAGAATACGAGCATCAGAACCGCATCCGTGCCGCAAAGGAAGAGCAGGAGCGGCTCAAGCGCGAGAAGCGGATGCAGATCGAGGTAGGGTCGCTTGCCCTATGGCTTGTCCATCAACATGACGCCCGTCTCATTCCGACGCCTCTGTGCTGTAGGCTGCATGGAAAAGCGCACTCGAATCGATCAGGATCGCCTCGAGCAAGCAAGCCGAATCCAAATCACATCATCAGACAAGCACACCGCCCTCGGTCAAAGTCGGGCGGCATGATGTGCGCTCCAGTCCTTCGCCGGTCCAACAGACAAATGCCAGTGTCCCTCCTGGTGACGCTCCCTTGACGAGTCCAGCAGATGATCCACCGTCCAAGGCAGCGACATCATCCCAGCCAGCTGCTTGCATGTTTCACCAGCGCACAGGGAATTGCCGATTCGGCCGCAAATGCAATCGGACACACAATACTCCCTTGGTGAGCCGATTCATCCTGGTTCGCGATCTCTTCCTCAGCGACCTCTTGCCGGAGCTGGGCTACGACTCATCAATAGGCCAAGGCTCGAGGGTAAACAGCCGTAGCAGTTTTCATGGGAGTCGGGATTGGATGGGTAGGCGCACAGCGATATTAACATGCTCCTTGTGGCAGGACCAAGAGGCTGAACTGAAGGCACAATACGACGACTTTTTTCGAGACGCATATCCCGAGTTTCGGCGTCTTGGCCCCATCGTTGTCATGAAGGTATTGCTTCAGCAGCCGTAGCATCGCCGGTTTGCCTTTGTCCATATCGCGTGATATTGGGCGACTGAGACAGCTGCATGTACTAGGTCTGTCGCAACCAATTGCCCCACTTTCGTGGGTGCGCCTATGTCGAATACCAGCATGAGGCCGATGCCTGCCAAGCATTCACGACAATGAACGGACGATTCTACAATGGGAGGCGGTTGACATGCGAGTTTCTTCCGCACATCGACTGGTGGCAAGCCGAGTGTCGTAAGTTCTAGTGCATGTGTGCTTGGTGCCAATGTGGCCTGCTTGGAGAGTGACTGCATGCTCCACGAGCTGACGACGACTGAAATCAAATCGAATCGTGTGGCCGTCGTTGCTGTAGATGCCTTCCAGCGTAATCAGTGTCCCGCATGGTGGCAAGTGCAATTACCTGCATGTGAGTATCGTGGGAGTATGGATCTGGGTCTGGACCAGGATCAGGACCCTCGATCAGGACCCTCGATCAGGACCCTGGGTCTGGATCGATGTCATCTGAAGCTGCACGGGCCTCTGAACCATCTTGACACTGACATTGCCTCGCTGTTCCAGGTGTTTAGAAACCCAAGGCTCTCTGAAGCCGAGCCCCAAGGTCTGCGAAGAGCCAATGAGGCGAGCGACCACAGCTCCAGCAGGCACAAAGAATCATCCTCGCCCCGCCCGGACCGACCATCCAAGCGGGCACACTACCATCTCCCGAGGCGACACAGTCGGGAGGAGATACGCCCACCGCGGAGGCTGCAGTCGCGGAGGAGGTAGTGCACCGGAGTGTCGATTGGTCTGCTGCTAATGCTTGCTGTAACACCTAGTTGCTGTGATGGAGACACTGACAGAGCCAAGTGACCATCCCATCGTCACGAGAATAGACCGCCGGGGAGGGGAACAGAGCACGATCTTTGTGTGGAGTTGTAATTTGCAAGGGGTTATCGATGTGTACCCTATTTTCCTTGTTACTTGCCGTCATTCTTCGATCATCATCCTTGGGCGACAGTGTTGCTGGCCTCTATAACCATCTATATCGCGCCGTCGGCATCTTCGCATCAGCCGGTCAGTCCGAATGAGCACAGTTCATTGACTGAGAGCATTCGCGGACACGTTGGGTGAACATGCGTATATTCTGAACACAGCCGCAACCAATATCCTCAAACACAGGTGTTCTCCTTCCATTTGCAAACGATGCAAGGAATTCCCAGGTTGTGCTGTTGACTTGCCTCTCTTGAATGAGACAGGCCCACAAACAACCTAGTTCCTTTCAAAGAGCAGGGGTATTTGGTCAAGTGTATGGTATCGATGGGACGAAGCGCATCGTGGGATGAGGGGCAATCAGCGGCGACTGCAAGTCTCTGCGAAAGCCCGGGATCTGTGGTTCAAAATGAGCATGCGCAGGTATAAGAATTCACCGCAGTGCCGAGTGGCCCAGACGCTCAGTGGCTGAGAAGATAGCGGGGTCGGCGCTGCGTTGGAGCAGGGAGCGCCTTGGTTTTGTTCATGTGCAGCTCCAGAAGCCCATGCTTCATCTTGCCAGTGACAGAGGCTGGATCGGTGTTGGGCGGAAGCTGGACTTGGCGCTGGTAGACGGCAAAGGCCTCCTCCACATGGCGAACGCCGTTTCGGGTGTACGAGTCCTTGAAGGACTGCTGGCCTTCGATTGTCAAGACGTCGTCGGCAATGAAGACACGGACATCTTTCTGCAGTACGGACCAAGCAGATGCCATGCGAGACATGTATCGCAAATGAATACGACGAGCATGTTGGAATGTGAGCTGGCTGGCACGGGCAGGTGGGGCTCGGAAGCGGAGCCATTCCCAGGCAGATGCACTATGCCTCTCCTATCACAGCTCGAGCGTCACGATGCTCATAGTCAAGTCGTTGGCGGTGGTGGGGCAGCCGATATCCGGTCCTTCCAACTGGAGCAAGTGCTCGGCAATTGTCGGCCAGCGGCACTTACCTTCTTGATTCCTGGCATCTCGGCCTTGACAATGACCGAGTTCTTCTTGTTGACGACATCGACCTCGGCCTCGAGATCCAGGCCATCATCTTCATCTTCATCCTCGACAAGGTCATCGTCTTCGTCATCATCGTCCTCTTCCTCAATTTCTTCATCGTCATCCTCGTCATCGTCATCATCGTCATCATCGTCATCATCATCATCATCATCATCATCATCATCATCATCATCATCATCATCATCATCATCATCATCGTCATCATCGACGAGCTCTTCGGCTTCGTCGTCGCCGTCAATGTCACGGTCTTCGTCGATTTCGTCGTCGTCGTGCTCGTCGTCGCCGTCCAGCATCACCAGGTCGACGTAGTCGTCGTCATCAGCCCTGGTTCGGCGGAGGCTCTGCTTGTGGCGAGCAAAGGGATCGAGCAAGACGCCGCGGTCAAGAATGGAGTACATGGTTCTGTGGTGAATGTGGGCCTGCGACTCGGGTGGCTACGATACAAAGAGAGGCGGTTGCCATAGAGGGCTGCTCAACCGCTCGGCGGGCCACGATTTATATCTTGCTTTGGCCTCTGCTCTCTTGGTGTGCTCCTGACCACTCGCACGGCTGAGGAACGACGAATAGAAGCAACGTTGCTTGTCGTCTTGGGCACGGGGAGGGGTAGTGGTCCAGCCGCCGACTCGTGCTGGATGGAAGAGCCGAGCATTGTGGCCGGACCGACCGAGTTGATCAAACAAACCTCTGGCGAGCGCATGTTTCATCGGCAGTGGACAGGAGGCCGCCTGCCGGACGAGAATCGATTGGCCAGGGTTCGTCCGGGCAGCAATCGGCAGAGGGCAGCTGCCCATGTCATCCAATCGATCCTCTGATCGGCGATCGCATTGGCTGGACTTGGGGCCACGTTTGCAAAAACTCAAATGCAAGCCCATGTCACCGATGCTCGCCTGGGGAGCGTCGGCCGCTCGGATTGCTGTTGGTGGGCAGCAGCGTTTGACGTCGATTGGCTGCCTGGCCATCGTGCTCGCTCGCACACCCCCTGATACAGGAGGTGGCCAGGGCAAACTCACGCCCCGATCAAAGGAGACGGAAACGTGGCCGGCCGTTGCTGCGGACTGGTCCCAGATCATCGACTGCGAGTGAGGGAGGTCCAGCTGCTCGCTCGACATGCGAAATGCAAGTGGCATCGCTTGTTCTTGGCCGGTGAAGGGGAGGGGCGTTGTCCCCGATTCCTATGTATTACAGGCAATCCAATAAAAAACGGGACACCCGGGTTTTTGACCATTCATCGAATATTTTGTTACCCAATGCTTATCGCGCGCTGGCCATGACCATTCGCCACACATCCGACTTTCGCACCGCCGCATTGCGATGCTACGCCCTCATCCATAGCCTGCGTAAGGTCGCCTCCATATTCAGTGTATCCAAGAGCACCATCCATCGATGGCACCGAGGATGCAAGCTGGATGATCCATCCCGGGTCCCAGCTCGCAGATCCACTTTCTTCGAGCAGGCATGTCCAGTCATTCGCACCCTGATTGAACAGGACCCGTTCCAGACATGGTCCTGTGTTGCGATGCAAGCTCGAGTCCATCCTCCAGAGGAAAGTATCACTCTCACTCTGCCACACTGCCATCCAGCGAGCAGGTCTCTCACACAAGAGGGCAACACACCTCTACAAGTCCAAGCGACTGGATGAGCGAGTGGCACAGTTCAGGGACCAGGTCCGCTCCATCGACCCACGACGATTCGTTTTTGTCGACGAGACAGGGATCAGGAGATCCATTTTCCCTCTCTACGGATACTCACCGAAGGGTGCTCCGCTTCGCCAGTGCAATCACATGAAACACAAGTCTGTCTCGGCTGCATTTGCCATCAACCACTCTGGTGTGCTGCATCGCATGTACATCCCCACATCATTCAAGACACACTCGATGGTCGAGTTCTTTGAGCGAGCGAGCTTCCCAGACGACTCTGTGATTGTGATGGACAATGTCAGCATGCACAAGACAATGGCTGTCCTGGACTGCATCGAGCACCGTGGATGGTCAGTGATCTTCACCCCACCTGCCTCGCCCGACTTCAATCCCATCGAAAACTTCTTTGGGATTGTGAAGCATCAGTACAGGAAGACAACAGCGCTGAATGCGTCCGAGGGGTTCAGAGTCGGGATGGTGACCCTGTTTGAGTCTGCCGTGCGGAGGGTGCTTCCAGATGTCTTCCCACGGCTGATTGAGCGAGCGATGCGCTTCTGGGGTTGAGTTCCCTCCAATCAAGCCGCCGTTCTCACGTTCACATCCCTGGCTTGAGCCTCTCGGCGATTTTTGAACAGGGTCACTTCCCCAACCAGCCCGCGCAGACGGGTTCCTGCTCTCGGGTATAAATGCCACACCTTCGTCCTGCTGCTTTCTTCCCTCATCTCGCCTTGATCTGATCATCGCGCCATTGTACGATAAAAAAGTCTCTGTTCTGACCCGTACCACTGGCAGGCATCCAGCATCCTCTGTCCCCATGCCTCCGAAGCGCAAGGGTGCCGGTGATGGCCAGCCTCGGCCACCCAGGCCCAAGAAAGCCAAGTCACAGTCGGAGCCTGTCTCTGGTTCGTATTCTGACCCCACGCATGCTTGTTCGTCTGTTGCTCCGTCGCTCACCACCACTGCTTCTACAGATCCAATGGATGTCGATCCCACCGAGCCTGGTCCATCTACTTCCTCGAGTACCGGCAAGCGATGTCGCCAGTGCGATGGCACCGATCACGAACGCTGCAACACTAGCAAGTGTCCAAAATATCACCCCCTCAAGAGTTCTGTCCTCCCTCTCGTGGATGGAAGGTCATCCGCCCCTCAGTTCAGCTGCTTCAAGCAGACGATGGATGGCTGTTGTCTCAATCCCGCTCTCCGCGACAAGATCCAGGCCACCGTCGAGGCCATGACCCAGATCCAGGCCACCGTCGAGGCCATGACCCAGATCCAGTTCGAGGCATCCAGGCTGCTCAACCTGCACATCCTCCGGTGCATCGAGCAGGATCTTCCCGTCCCCGTCATCTCCAAGTCCACCCCTGCATTCATCCGTCAATGCTTCAAGATCGTCCAGGACGGTGCCCTCTCCCCGACCGGGGACAATGAGAAATACAACGAGCATCTGGTCGCTTCCTTTCGCGACTACCAGACCACTCGGCACGCAGACCTGCCTCCGGCCCCTCGTCTGCCTGATGGTGCTCACAGTCAGCTTCTCACACTGGCTGTCAACGCCTATGCCACCAACTGCACCACCCACCTCGACCTGGCCTACTGGCGACTCCTTCGCCGCTTCTGCGCTGCCGTCTTCCCAGCCAACAAGCATAAGCACGAAGCCATCGAGGCCTGTCTCGAGCTCTTCGAGAAACCAGGGCAGACTCCACCCAAGGCCGATCTCGAGTTCCTCTATCCCGAGTTTGGCCACATCCTGGACGAGTTTCGGTACAGCAACGACCAGGACCGCTTCCGGGCCCTCCATCGCCTCTCACACCATGTGGGAATCCTCGCCCGGGACAAGATGGTCGACGATGTCCACAAGTGGATCGACTGCGACATGCCCGCCCTCCGAGTCACCGAGCTGCAGCGCCAGGCCAAGCTGGACAAGCTCACTGCCCGAGGTATTCCCTCCGACGACAAGAGGTTCACCACGGCCAAGTCTGAGCTCGGCACCACCAAGTCCAAGATCAACAAGCTGGCATCCAGGATCAACTGGGCACTCAAGCAACTCGCTCTTGACACTCCTCCGGCCGTGTGCACGATAGTTCCTCCATGCACTGCAAGGGCCAAGTATGTCAAGATTGACACGGTCACTCTTTGGAATCTCCTGGGTCCAAAGAAACGCCTTGGACTCACCCGGGACATGCTCAAGGAAGAAGGCGAGGACGGCATCAACAACCAGGATCGTCTCTGGCGCAGTTGCTTCAAGCTGCGTAGCTCCCTCTTCCAAGAGCGAGTCAGGGACAAGAAGCTGTTCAACTACGAGATCAGCACCGATGGCATTGGATGCACCATCGGTCTCGTCAAGTTTGTGCCTCGAACCGATCACACCGAGACCATCGAGCCTCCTCCGACTGCCGAGCAGCGCATCCAGGCCCACATCGGTGACCCAGACCCCAACCGTACCACTTGGATTGGCATCGATCCTGGAGTCGGCTCCATCTTCACGGCGGTCATCCAAGCACCGGGCCACCAAGACGAGGTGGTCTCGTTCTCCAATGGCCACTACCAGCAAATGTGTGGCCATACGTCCAATACTGAGTGGCACAACACCATGAAGTATCGACTCAGCATCGAGACCTGGATGTCGACCACACCCTCGCCCAAGGTGTCGTCCTCGGAGGCTTTCAAGGTCCATCTTACCCATGTCCTGCGACCGGAGCTGCGGGTGCAGCTCGACTTCCACCTTGGCAAGAAGGCCCGTCACCATCGCTTCACGGGCCACAAGAGGCGCCAAGTGGCCGTCGACAGGATGTGCAAGGTCGTCCTGAAGCACGCCCCGATACGGACCGATGTGGTGATCGCCTTTGGCAATGCGTCATGGCGACAAGGCAAGGGCTATGCATCCAGCCCTCGGAGGCAGCGATTTGCTCGGTACTTTGAGCAATTCGAGCACCACCGTCGCCGTCCCAATCACCATCATGGAAGCGTCAAGGTAGTCTCGACGAACGAGTTCAACACCTCGCAAGTGTGCTCCAAGTGCCTGGAGCCAGTTCGGTTGGAAGGACTCGATGCGCCCAGTGTTGCGAATTCCCACTTTGTCAGGAGCTGCAAGAATCCCAGCTGCCGGACAGTGTGGAATCGCGACGTCAATGCGGCGCGCAACATGATCACAGTATGCAGGTCGATTGTGGAGATCGGAGAGCGACCGGCGGTCTTCACTCGGAGGCTGCCAAAGTGATCTGTTTTATTTCTTGTGGCTTTGCTTGACGCAAGCACAGCACATACTACCTGTTCATGGAAACGGCTATATTGTCCCGTTTTTTTCTGAATAAAGTGTATGTTGGCTCCAGATTTACTTTGGACCAAAGGCGCAAGAGGCACTCAGAATTGCAGCCACTTTTTGTAGTAGCTGCAGCTCGAGGGCGACACCTGGCTGTCCTCGGAGCAATGCTCGATGACAGGACACTTGCCGCACGGGAAATCGGCCCAGGCGCTTTGTCCGCCTCGAATGTCCCTCTCGGCCTTGTACATGATCAAATCCTCGTCGTCGTCGTCGTAAACGTGCCCGATGACCTCTTCGCCATCGTCGCCGCCACTGCCGTCGCCGCCAGAGAGGGTGTCGTACTTGATTCCTCTCATGGCGCTTCCTTCTCCAGCAACCCGTGTCCGCTTCGTGATCTTGCCGTCATACAGCAGCCGATCGAGGATCTGTTGTATGTCGCCCCGACCCAGCTCGACCGTGACGAGTTTGGTTCTCTTGATAAAGGTCAGAATATCCGTTGCGGTCACGTATCCGTTATGATCAGCTGGAAAAATGGCATCCGGGTCGTGTGGGAAGCTCTGGTGGCAGATGCGATTCGGATCCAGAGTGACAGTTAGCGATCTGGCGAGTGGATCGGAACGTTCGTTTCATCATGTGCATATCGCTCGGGTGCATGAGAGCAAAAAATGACAAACCTTGGACAGAATCATTTTGTAGCACTGCTGGCTGATCGCCTCCACAAACTCTTCATCGTATTCCTGGTCGGTGTACCACAGTCCGCCAGTGACTTCTGACGATGCTTCGAGCTCATACAGCATATATGTCTTCCGGGTGGGGTACTGTGCCGAGCGATCCAATGAAGATGTCAGTTCCGACGCATTCCAATGGCTCCAGGCTGCCACGATACACCCGCGTTCGGTTGAGCGAATCGTGATCGCACATCGCTCGAATCGCCAGATGCCTACTTTGATGGATTTGACGTTTTTGATCATCTGCCGCCGCTCGAGACTCTTGATGATGGCCTGAAGATGCTGGGTGTGCACCTTGGACTTGCGTTCAATATCCTTGATCCATATTCCTGGTGCGCAGAATCGGTGATGACTCAGACAACTCGCCTATGCAGGCCACAGCACGGCCGGACGCGAATGTTGGCAGCGATTGTGATGCGATCGTGAGGCGATGCGTGCCCGTCATCATCTCCATAATCTATGGGCAGCACAATGATCCACACGATCGTCCTATCCGCAGCGTGCATGGAATGCGCTCTGCTCTATCCCAGGGCATCGGCAGCACATTGCACATCAACGTCGTAGGCCGGATGAGGCTCGCATCTATCGTCTGTGTTATGCGGGACGAGGCAGCAGGCCTGTGCCATGTACCAGGTCGAACCGCTCGCTCGAAATTACCTTTGTCGCCCACGCCCTTGATGAGATTGTAAACGATATACTCTTGTTGATCCATTCCTGTTAGTCTGGGTGGTCGGCAGCAAGTCCAGGCGGCGTCGGATTAGCTGTATCCGAGGATTGTCTCGGCCGGTGTGTCCATCTGTACTCCTGTAGCGGCTGTGCCATCGGTCATCCGGGACCGGATAGCTATCCATGGCGTGCGGATCGATGAAATCGCTTCGTTTTTGGACTGCCTCTCCGATCACAATGTCCGATGAGTGGACATGGCCCCGATCGTATTCGGTTCGTGCAGCCATGTCGCTTTGATCTCAGCTCGCAGCGAATGTCGTCCAACAAGACAGCACCCCACCACTTCAATCCTCAAGAACAACGACTCACTTTGAGATCTCGTCATCGTTCCGGGCCTTGAAGCCCGTTTCTTTCCCGATGCTCATCAAGTCGACATATTTCTTGGAAGACAGCTGGTTCATCTGGACGACGAGGATCTCCTGGTTCCATTCGTCGCCCAGCTTGCTCAGCAGCTGGGAGGTGGTCATGCCCTACATAGAATGGATATTGATGGACTGTGAGTATCCAGAGCCGATCGAATGCGTCGCTGTCGCCTTGTCCGCCGGTTGGGTGCTGAATAGGAGCGTTGGCGAGAGCGAAGGCGCACCCGAGGCTCAGACCGCAGGGTCTCCAGCAGAATCTCCTCATTTTCTGTGAGAGTCTCGATCTTGGGGGCGACGGGTTTCTTTGGCGGCATTGTCGACGGATGGATGCCGTCGGGGAGGGGGAGGGCAAGTGAGGGATTGGCGTGGTAGCGATCAAGCAAGACGAGGGGGATGGCGGCGGTTGTCGGATCAGCTTGGCCAACAAAAAAAGCGCAGCCCGGCCGGGCATCAGTTCCCACGGGCCAGATCGCGATGTCCCCCTGGATTCTGCGAATCTGTCTCCACGAGCCCCGCTCGCCACACTCTGTCTGCAGCGATGGGATAAGGATCCAGACGTAGATACCCGGGCGTGATCCCACGGACAACAATCAGCGCTGACGGCTCTCTCAATCAGTGCTGAGGACTCCCAATCAGCGCCATTCGCACTGCTTTCGCACTCACACGTCCTGGGCAGACTTTGCTGTTCATAAGCATGACATGCATCCAATGTCCACTGCATCACTGAATCCAATGCATCCACTGCAGGCCCGGCAGATGGTTGCTCTGGCCCAGCACGCAGCTCGTTTTGCCAGCCTGACATCACCCACCAGCCTGCTCGTGATCCAGTGTCGCATGTGTCGATGGCTTTGGACAGAAACCGCCGCAGTACAAATCCCTCGACTTGGCCGCATCGCCCTTTCCACCCCAACATCGATACTCGGCCTTGCGCGATGTCGATGGTGTCGATGATGCCTGTCGCGACAATGCTGTCCGTTGTTTCGACTGGCCGGCTGCTGGCCAAGTGCCTGCTCGTCCTGGCCCTGGCTGCATATGCAGCTGCATTCTCTGTCCTCTCTGCCTCGCCCAATATCTTCCCCATTGCCGGCGGCACAACCATCAGCCTCACCCTCGCTGGCTACTATGATCCCTCGAGAACCTACCGCGTCGCCGTCTGGAACCCTACCACCGGCCGGAGCTCCATCGCAACGGCCACATTCAGCTCCGCAAGCACTGGCGGCAACGTCAACACCACCGCCGTTGTCTTCCAGAGCCCCGCGATGGACGAAGGCGCCTGCGTTTTCAATGTCACGGACGGCTTTACCGTGAGCGCGGGTGTCGTCGACTCTCTGCTGGTTTACGATCGTGAGTTTTCCATCTCGCTGCCTTGTTCGGGCATCTGGGTTTGCTGATACCCAGGCACCTGAATCTGTTCGCACACACCGCAGCCACTCTGCTGCTGGCATCTCCGTGGGGATCTTTGTCAGTTGCATGCGATCACACGCTATGACACTGTTCCACCGCAGGCGCCGCTATAAGCCAGCGGTGCACACCATCGCACGTCGTAATTTTGCAGTCACGAGCTGTTGAGCTCCGTTCCTATGCTCATACTCACAATCGCCCCGATACACTCGACAGCCTCGCGTCTCAGCGGAGCCGTTACAGCCTCCACCCAGGGCCAAGGCATCAACGCTCGCTCACTGCTTGCCAACGGCGGAAACACAGTCATCATTGCCCTTCCCGCTATGCCCAACAATCTGCTCGCCTTGGCCAACGTATCCCCCGCCATTCGCATCGTCAGCGTGGTCAATGCCTCCAGCTACTACGACATTGCTGCCCAGCTCAGTGGCAGCACCCTCACAGGCTTCACCGACGCCGGCATCGCACAGGTGTCTCTGGGGCAGCAGGCCAAGGCCCTCATATCCTTTGACGGAAAGCAGACCTTCCACGACCTGAGCCTCGTCTACACTCTCACATGTATGTCCATCGAGCCTCATTCGCAGCGATGGTGCACACCGACACATTCGACCAGATCCTCGGTATCTGGATCGGTATCGGCCGTGGATGTCGCTACAAATGGCGTCGGTAGTTTTACTCATATTGCTTGTGCTTGCCATGCCACTGACAACTCGCCACATCCACGATGCTTGTAGATCGCCCACCGATCAACATCCTGCTGACTTGCTCGAGTCCGCCAACAGGTGCAGTCCCATTTGCGAGCCCACCCATAGCTGCCGTTGATTCAACACCCTACTCTGCCCGTTTGCGATAGCACTCGCGGTCCGGCTACGACACTAACCCGAGCGAACTGCCATGCTGCACCTCGCAGACTCTGGTTTCGGACACTCGCTCAACGTTGGACTCAATAACCTCAAGATTCAGTTCGGAAGCTCTATATCCATCTACACGCTCTTCAACATTGGCTTCAACACCAACTACCAGCTCATTCACGACACTATCCAACAAAACTCCATCGACATTGCCATCCTGGGAGTGACCATTTCCCAGCAGCTCAATCTCACCGTGACCTTGACCCAGAACTTTCCCAGCCTCAAGGTTCTCACCTGGACGACCTCCAACATCAACCCCATCCCGGCCAACACGCGCTGGTACTCCTTGCGCCAGGAGGAAGCAAAGTACTTGACTGGATACGCTGCTGGTCTGTTTGCCAAGAGCCGGTCGGACGTCAGCTTCGCAAATGGCAACATCCCAATTGGGTATCTACTTCCAATGGAGATCCCAAGAACGATGATCCACGCCAATATGTTTCTCTTGGGTCTGCAGAAGGCCATTCCTGGAGCGAAAATGATCACCCGAAGCATCGGCACATTCTACTATCCATTTGCCGAAACCCAAGGTGGGCACGCAATCCTTCGGCCACTCATTTGCGATGCACTTAGCTCACACACGCCTTACATCTAGTCTCGCAGCAGTTCCTGGCCGACGGCGTCAAGGTCCTTGGATACCAGACCGACACGGTCATTCCTGTTGCTGTCTTCAGTGAGTATGGACACAGTTCCGTGACACCATCCTGCAAAACGATAATGGAGCTTTGCTGATTTGTGCCCAATCGCCCGCTCACGCCCCCGGCGACCTATGCAGCCTCAAATGGATCCTACATCGCTGCCGCAAACACCGATCCCAGCGGCGACTATGGCAACCGCGTTCTGGCGACAGCTTCCTTTGACTGGATCACGATCTTTGGACCATTTGTTCAGAACTACATCGACGGCGTGCCGCTCAGTGACACCGCCATGGTCAACTCTGGCCTGCTCAGCGGCCTTACTTACATCACCGGGATCTCTGGCTGGTTCGACGTCAATCAGGTGGCAGCCATTCAGGCCGAAGTTGCCCGCCTCAAGTCGCTCCCGGACAACTCCCGGTACTGCGGTCCCATTTATGATGTAAGTGTTACAGCACGACCCAAACACCCAGAGATAAGCTGGCGGCAGTAGTGCAGATGAGTGACAATGGAGTGTCGCATGAGTAACGATGGGGTGTCGCATGAGTCGTTGCCAGCAGTCTGCTCAGGATAGAAGGTCTGCAGCTCCCGCACCGTCCACAGCGACGAGTCAGCTTGCCCGTGGTGCTTACAACCCTTGTCGTGCCGATTTGGGACTCACAGGTCAACGGCAACACCATCATCGGTCCCAACGACTGCCTGAACTTCACCTTCACCAACACGCTGAACACGTACTTCCAGGGCATCGTGCCCATGGGCCAGTTCAACCCCGTCTTTCCCTACGAGAATCGCCACCTGATCTCGATGGGTCTACGAATCGTTATATTCTTGATCACGGCCCTCAGCCAGGTTATCACCCTTGGCATCACCCTCCTCATCATCCTCAACCGTGAACAGCCCCAAATCAAGGGCGGGTCGCCGACGTTTCTGGTGCTGATGGGCTTCAGCGCCAGCATCGCCCTGTGTGGCAATTATCTGATGGGCATGGATGACAATGTCATCCAGGACGCCAATACGCTCAACGCCGCCTGCATGGCGACGCCATATGTGATTGTCCTGCCGATGATGCTGATGTTTGGCGCACTGCTCATCAAGATGTGGCGCATCTATCGCATCTTCAAGAACCCCAAGGCCGAGATCATCAGCTTCAGGCCGCACGAACTCTTCTTCACGATGGCTGCTCCGATGCTGGTGTCGTTGGTATGTGTTGGCGGGCGGGTGCCCGAATGTTCGTGTGGATGGGTTTGTGGTTGGATGTGTCGATGGGTTTGTGGTTGGATGGCTGGATGGGCTTGATGGACTGCAAGGGTACAAGCTGATGCTGCTGGAGTGTATCCGCATTGATGCATGCTCGCCTGGATGCATGCTCGAACTGACACCATGGATTTCGTCACGACACACTTCCAACCCCTGCCCGCAACGCCTTTGACACACGGGACAACCGCAACACCAGGGCATTATTCTCGTTTGGAACTTTACGGCGCCCCTGGAGTGGATCCGAACCATCATCAACACCGATTCGTTCGGGAACAGCATCGAGTCGTCTGGGCTCTGCAAAAGTTCCACCACGCTGAGCTTTGATCCATTCCCGATCTCGATCTTCTTTATATTCATGGCGATCCTACTGACCAGCTTCTGGATCGGGCACTCAACTCGAAATGTCCCGTCGCAGTTCAACGAAGAGAAAAACCTGAGATCCTCGGTAAGAACGGCACAACCGCCGCCTGCTCCAGTCGACCCCCGCTTGAGCAGTCTCTTGCCGTTCGTCCAGAACTACCGACTCTGTGTGAGTGCAGAGCGGCTAACCGTGCACATCATGATGTGAGGCCGGCGGCAAGATTGTGATGTCGCTCAATGGGGGGGGGTATTACCATCTTGATTCACACCTTCCACCCGGAGTCATGAACGGATGTACTGCCTCGAGCAGCGGCGTTCGCTCTGGTACCGTTTGTGGCGACCCGACAAAGCCATATCAAACAACTCCATGCCCACTTTTCCCAATATGGGAACATTCAGGGCACGGTAAACCTCCATACTCACCGTGACTCCTGGTGCATCCGCAGATCTCCTTCTGGGTGCAAGTTGTTGTGGTTTTGTATCCCCTCAACTACTCCTTCTCGGATCCGAGCGGCCTCTTTACTCTCCGATCGTTGATGAACGTCTCGGCAACCATGGGCACCACCGTTTTTGTCCTGGGATCGAAGCTTTGGGGAGCCTCCGAGGAGCAGAATCAACGCAAGGGCTCGGCGTCGGCAAGCACCTGGAAGCCCGAGTCGGGCACCACAACCACAACCACTGTCGGTGCCCATGGCAAGTCGCCCACAACCCGCCCGTCTGAGGCCACTGATCCACGCCAACCCCTGCGTACGCAGCCCTATTCGGCTTGAGTTTATTCGGTGTGTCGCAAGAGCCAAAAGCCAAAATGGCAAATCAAAGAACAAGGAACTCAACCAGAGTGGGCCAAGTGAAATGGAGAAGCAAAATATGTCACCGGTCGATCAGTACCGTCGTGATCGCTGCGTCGATCCTGGGCAAAAACTGTGAATACAGCATGTTCGGAGCGAAACGGGGAATACGCATCCATGAGTGCTCCTCCATAACAGTGATCGTCCTGGGGCGGCACTGATGACGGGTATGTGTGTGTGCAGGACCCGAACTACAGTCAATCCAACTCATAAACGGGTCACCCGTGATTTTGATCGTTGACCGAATAGTTTGTTTCCCAATACCATCGCGCGCTGGCCGTGACCATTCGCCAGTGTGTCCAAGAGCACCATTCGCCACCGGCACTCCGAGACCAGTGTACATGTCGATTGTGGAGACCGGAGAGCGACTGGTGGTCTTCGCTCGGAGGTGATCTGTTCTATTTCTTATGGCATTGCTTGACGCAAGCTCATCACATACTACATGTTCATAGAATGGGCAGTGTCCCGTTCGTTCAAGTGCAAAGTGCACTCCTGGTGGTTTCAAAGTCATATAAAAATGCATCAAGCGAACCAGGAGAGGGAAAATAGATTCGAGAAACAAGCAAATCTCGAGAAGGAAACAGACGGGAGTAGAGGCCATCGCGACCCACGCGTATTCATGGGAGCTTTGAGAGGTGAAAGATGGAGCGGGACAATTAGTTGGCCGGGCAGGCGGAGTAGAAAGGGACGACGCTGGCATACTTGGGAACCTTGAAGACGTTGTTGGGGAGGCCGTACAGACCAAGGTTTCGGCCAATGATGTTGGACATCGAGGTGCTGTAGAGGTCCAGGGCAGACGAGATCTCGTCCGCAATGCCGGCTCCATCGGCAATGCCGAACTCGCCAGAGATGATGTCCGCCAAGGTGGGCAAGAGCTGGTCGATGGGGGTGTAGAAACGATCGCCATCTCTCTTGCGTACAAACTCTTCGGCCAGATAGTTGGCGATGGTGAGAGGAAGGTCGGTGTTGGGGCCACGCTCCTCGGCAAGAGCTCCGACGAGGGCATCGATGCTGGTGACGTTGGTGTACAGAGACTGCAGGGACTGGGCAAGGGAGGGGTTTGAGGGCGTAATGAGCTGGAAGCAGGCAACCGACGAGATCGATTTGACGCACTCGGGGGCCGTAAGGAGATCCGAGGGGCCATAGCGAGCGCGAACAGCAGTGTAGCTGGGGAGGCCGTCGAGACGGCTGCGAAGGATGTCGGTGCTGAACAGGTCCAGAGCGATCGAGTTTCGAAGGGCATTGTGGATGATGGTGTCGGTTTCTGTGGCAGTGATAGTCGGCGGAGCATGAGCAGACGCAAAGCCGGCAGTGACTTGCAGGCAGAGCACACATGTGCGCGATCCAAAGCTGGCAGCTGTCGGCTACATACCGGCCTGACGAGACAGGATCAGAGAGGAGAAGATGTTGGCAAAGCCGTCGCCACTCGAGCCGGAAGCAAGCGCCAGGTATCTAGCGGCAGGGGTCTGTTTGCCACAACGTTGTGGTGGGGAAGGGTGGAAAGGGGATAGTATCAGTGAGTCCCAGAGAATCGTCGCTCTGTTCCGCATGATCACTCAGGAACGAGTGCCGTCCGGATGCTGGATGGACAGGCGTATGTTCCGCCCACCGACACTGTGGCCGCACTTACCATGACGTCGCGGCCCGAGCCAAGGACAACGATCTGGCCGCCAAAGGGGAAGCGGGTGGCGATCATGCCATCGGTCACGTTGACCTTGGTGCCAAAGAACGACTTTTGGATCTGCGGCAGGGTGCTGGTGGCGTTGAACATGTAGATGGGCTGGTGGGTGCACACATCCACGATGTCGTAGTCGCGGACGGTCGAGTGGCCATAGCGATAGATGGCACCGGCGAACAGGTTCGAAGTCGTGGGATCGACGCTCTTGTTGTAGCCGTTGTAGAACGGAAGAGGCTTGCCGATGATGGTGGGAACGTATTCGTTGAAGATGACGTACTGGAAACGGAGCGTCGATGATGGTCAGCCGGTGGATGCCGAGCGTCGCAGGCGAGCCTGAAATTGCATGGCTCCGGAGAGGGGCCGAGCGGGATGGTAGTCACCCAGTGATGCACTGTCCCGCCGCGAGTGCGAAGACATACCTGGTATTCGCTGATCGTGATGGCACGGGCAATCTGGAAAATGGTCTCGTCGCTGGCGGAAACCAGACGTCCATTCAGGACCTGCTTGACTGCCTTGGCGACGCTGAATGATTGGCACAAGGAGGCTGTTAGAACAAGGGCCGCAGATCTTGTCTCTGCCCCGCCAGGGTCTTCTGCTCTCCCACACCCTCATTCCGGCTCATGGCCAGCACGCACCTGTTGTGCTCACGGATCCAGAAGGAATGCAGCAGAGCCAGGGCCACGTTCTCGACGGCGCGCGAGTCGCCTCCAACCTGGATGTCCTGCGGGAACAGGCCAGGAGGGGTGATGGCGCCGTTCGAGCTGGTCAGCAGACCAGTTTGGGCCGTCGAGGGAGCCAGGTTGTAAGTGGTGATGTTGCCGACCAGGGGGTTGTAGGCACCACCGTCGCCGGTGTAGTTGCCGGTCAGGAGCAGGCCATCGGTGCCAACACGGAGCTTGGTGTTGGTGGCGGGGTCGAGACCATACTGGGGAGAGGGTGGGATAGAAGCGTTAGATGCCGCAAATGGAGGCCGGTCAGTGAAGACAGCCGCATAGTCAACCGCAAAGACAACCGCAAGGCGACTTACGATGGTAGACAGATCCAGGAAGCTGTTGCCGTTGTTGATGGGGGTGGGGACGCCGTTGACGAGCCGGGTGACGGACGACGAGGAAAACAGACTGGTAGAGTGACCGGGGTTCCAGGGGTTGTCGGCCGAGGGCTTGAAGAGGGGATCGTTGGAGATGTTGGCGACAGAGATCAAGCTGGAATGCAGAGACGGGCGATATGGTGGACATGGTCAGCCTCAAGCAACGCAGAAGCAGGACCGAGATCGAAGCAGTCGTTGGGGTACCGACCCTGGACGGCCGGGCGTGAGTGCATCGTCCTCGAGATCGTGGTTGATGAACTGGGAAACGAGGAGCCAAACGCAGCGATCGATGTTAGCGACAGTTCCATGAGAGCAGGCAGGCAATGGACGAGACGGTGATGGTGACATGCAGATCGGCGGTGGGATCTGGCCAGGGCAGCGCCCCTCCCCCAGTCATGGATCTGCAAGTTCGACACGAACCTGGCCAAACCAGGTCTCGAACAGGTTGACTTGGGCACGCGAGAGAGGCTCCTCCTGGTCCTGGTAGCCAAAGAACGTGGGTTTGGGCTGGGTGCCAGTCTGGACGCCGTTGGAGACCAGGCGGGGATCCGGCAGCCCCTGCAGGAACTGGGCCGGCAGGACATTGAGGTACGGGTTGCCGGGGGTGCCCAGGGCAGGCGAGTCTGGGTTGTTGTTGCTGCCCGAGTACGAACGGATACGGGCGGAACCATCGGCCCAGACCGACGAGGCAGCGAGCAGGGTGGAGCCAACCAACGACCACGAGGCTTTCATTGTTCGGGCTGGTGAGGCTGCTTGCGAACCAAGATGCAGAAGAACCGAGACGAGCGGGATGCGGAGAAGGCGACTCTCCCCCCCCCTGGAGGTATTTATGGGGACCCGCCCCTCTGCGTGTTGGACCACAAGCGAGGGGCGAGCTGCTCAGCAGAGTTTCATACCCAAGGCGATCAAGGAGGGCTTGTTGCAGCGGGGGAGATCGGCGCAGCCTTATCGACAAAGAATACGATCGCCGTGTCGGTGGGCGATGACGGCGACGGTATCGACGGGGCAGTCCATGGGATTACGGCTTCAGCGAGACACAGCCCGCTGGCTCGCGCTTATGGAACATGGGGACAGCGCAATGCGAGCGAAAAGGAAAGGCGGGTGCGTCCGATGCGGAATGCTTGGCGGGGCGGGGATTGCTTGCGAGCAAGCCTGGCAGCCCGCAGGGGGAGAAAGTCGCTTGTTCGTTCGACGGCGAGCACAGGCGATCGGGCACAGCTCCTTGTGGGCTGTGCGATTGTTGCGTCTGGGGCACATGTGCAACCAGCGCAGAGGCCCACACCGGCCGCCATGGGCCCTGTGCATCAGGACACACCCCGCACATGCGGTACAGCAGGCCCAAAGGAGCGACGACGCGCAGATCGTGGCTGTTGTATTCACAAGAGCGGACAGAGCCACAGGAGGCGCGCAGGGGAGAGCAACGGGCGGCAGGGTCGGCCCTGCTCCGAGCAAGTCGCAATCACGCAGGGAGGGGGGGAGACACACCCCCGGAAGACACACCCCGGGCAGCCAGGCAGGCGGGGCGGCATTACATTGCAATGCGGTCGATGGCATTCATCAGCCTGGTGATGTCGCCGCGTAGGTTGGAGGCGAATCGGAGAACCTTGTCCTTGGTGTCCAGGACCTCGATGCTCTGGGTGAGGGCGTTGTATCGCACAACGAACGGGCGCTCCATCGAGTTGGCGTATTCGCTGGCGGGTCGGTGGAGGGCCGTCCGGTGCAACATCGGGGTGGGGGAGGGCATGCAAGATGAATGAAATCGGGTCAGCGCGCAGGAAAATGGGGTTGTGCGCACAGGGCGGGCCAGGAACTGCGTTGTTCAACCAGCCCGAGGCGGACAGTGGCTGCATTCCCGGTTGCGCCCACTCCGGACTGGCGATTGCTCACCGGACTTGCTCCTTCATCTCCTTGAAGCTCTCCGTGACAAAGTACAGCGGCTGGTAGGATGTGATTCTGTCGCAGGGAGATGGCAGTCAGCGGCGGTCAGTCGGCAATGCCGTCGATCAATCAAGTGTGTCGCTGGGCGGACCAAACGCAAAACACCGCAGCCCCCAGGACAACGTTACTCACGGGTATTTGGTGTTGGCAACGACTTCGGGAACAAACGGTGCTCGGCTGGCCTTATCACTCAGACAGTACTATCGGAGCCGGAGGGGCAAGGGAGGGATGATAGAGTTTGTCGACTTGGGTCAGCATCACTGGCTCATTGGCACCACAGCCATCAGCCATTGCTGTTGGTGTTGGTGATGGACAAACATACGACTACCAAACCTACCTCGAGCTCGCCAAAGCTAGAGAGCAGGCCGGCTCCATAGGCTTTAACACCTTCACCCTCGCGAGTGACGCCAAACTCGACTGGGAGCAGAAGATTGATGTCGGCGTTAGTGAGAATGGAGGAGCATCTGCTGGAGGAGCAGTGGCCAGTGCCAGCAACCAGAGCAACCAGAGCAACCAGAGCACCCAGAGCAACCAGAGCAACCAGAGCACCCAGAGCAGCTCGCGCCTGCCAAGCCCGGATGCAGCGACTTACCAGTAAACCAGTAGATCTTTTCGGCGGGGCAAAGTACCAGGCAGGCAAATATACAATCGAGAACAACGGAAGGGATGGTTGTGAGTCCGCGGTCGGTTTTGGACTGTCAATCGACATGAGCCACATCCTCAAGCAGCAGCTGGCCCAAGGCGCTGGCTGTTGGAACTTACGGTAGCAAGCTTTTGGATATCCTGGTGGGACCAAGATCAGCAAATGGTCAGCGGGATGGAGACTCGTGAAGATATTGTGCTTTGATGGACTCTGTGGTTCTCCTGGAGCCAATCATGGGCTTACCTCGTCTGTAGCGCCAAGGGAAGCCAGCCCAATCTCCTGCGAAAAGTCAGCAAAGTCTGGATCGGCGTAGAGAGGCACATGGCCCAAGAGCTCGTGGCAGACATCGGGCTCGGGGGTGTACAGCGGCACGGAATGGTGACGGATATACTGGGTGCTATGGAAGACCCGGAAGGCAAGACCGTTGAGGAAGTCGCGGGACGAAAGCAGTCCGGTGACAGGGCGAATCGTCCAGCCCGTACAATCTGTTGAGCACAGGGGACCGTCAGTGGCACTTGCGGTGCAGTGGATACCATACTTTGCCACGATCCAATGCTCAGGGCACGGGCTCATGTGCAACAATTGCACACACCTTTCATGAAGCGGGAGACGTCCTCGAGTTGCGGAATGTTGTCCCGACGGTATCCGCAGTTTTGGATAAGCAGCTACATCCACAATATCGACCGAGCGAGTCAGAAGCAGGGCTGGGGACCGATTGGTCCACCACTGGAGTTGGCGTCGCCGATCAGCGGCTTTCGATGGGAAGAGAGTAATCGGATATCCAGCACCTACCGGGAAGACATACTGATGCTCGCGACAGGCGTGTGTCGGGTAGAGAGCAGTAAGCTTGTCAAAGACAGTCCCCCTTTGGCAGAGAGAGAGAGAGAGAGAGATGGGGTCGTATGTGAATGAGATGGACTGCTCGCGGGTGCCTGAGACGACACATGCCGGACTCACCAGGTCTTGACTTCGTCCGGGGTGTATTCGATGTGGGGAACAGGACGGCCGCTGGGAACATTGATCAATAAGCCGTATAGCGAGGTGGAGTCAGCAAACAAGTGGAGGAGTGAGGTGCATCCTGGGTCGAGTCACATACGCGGGGTCGGCAGGAGCGATCGCCCTCGCATCCCAAGATGCCGAGAATCCCACTGGATCTAGCACTCACTGGCGATAGGTGCGGGCGATCTTGGTGATCTCAGCTCGGCGCTCGCGGTACTTGTTGTCGGTGAAGCCCGGGTGATCGGCATCGAGCTCCTGGTGACGATTGAGTGTCGATATGGTTCGCAGTTTAGGAACCTGCCGGGGCCTTCATCCGCAAAGTGCGCTGCAGTGGGCCCTCTGCAAATTGAAAATGGGCTCGTGCACTGACTACTCACGTTTCCGTACGAAAGCACCTTGTCGGTGAAGGAATCGAGATCGGCGATTTTTCGTGGGAACCAAGGGACGGCAGACAGCACTGTGCCGAGCCAAGGTACACAAGTCAGATTCATAAACAGCCCAGCGACCACGACCATGCCGAACAGACAGGCGAATGAAAGGCCTTGGCCGAGGCATCAGCGCAGTCATGGATCTGAACATCGCCGAGGGCGAATCCGCACGCACCGGAGTTACTGGAGCCCGTGGAGACGACCTTGATTTCTTTGACGAGGTCCCTGAGGTTGGAGAGAGCGAGCTCGACCTCCTTCTCGGATTGCGCGTCAAAGTCGATGAAAAAGTCGTAGAATCCCTTGGTCTTGGAGGGGCGCGACTCGATGCGGGTCAGCGAGATGTTGAGGCCGCTGATCTGGGGAAGCAGATCGTCCAGAGCGCCGACTCGATCCTGGATCACAAAGCTGCGCGGAGCAGGAGGAGGGTTGAGTGCAATTGAACAAAAGGAGCATTGACGGGATGAGAACAGCGAGTTCGAACGGAATCAAGGCAGATCCAAGGCAGATCCAAGGCAGAGCAAATTGTGGGAGTCACATCCGCCATGGAAACAGCGACTCGGCACGCAAGGCGATACCCACTAGATCGTGGTCTTGAGGGGCACGCCGCTCGTGTACGAGCCAGAGGTGTATGCCGAGAGAAACCGGCGATCGACCGCAATGGTGGATATCTGATGGGGCATAGGGCGACCAAGGGCTGCCGAGCGACCGAAACGAGCGGCGTGGCTGGCGGCGATGGGACTGGGAGCCGCACGGCTCAGAGGACCCAGCACACCCAGACGAACAGGCTTGAAGCTACGCAGCAGCATTGGACGGGGACCGAGGCGAGTGGTGAGTGTCGGATGCAGGTGGATGGGTTGGTTGCAGCCTCGGGGCGGATCTTGGTGCGGATGGGTATCGTTTGCCAAGCGTGCGGGCGTTAAAAAGCCTGCTGGGTCGGTGCTTCCGAGGCGCGCCGGAACAGCGGCGCCGTCCTCATCGCGGGGTGGGGCCTGGTGGCCGGCATCCGCCTGGCTCGACAAACGACCCGACAGCGGCTCGACAACGACGACAAGCGGGTCTCGAATGGGGCATCAGCGCCGGGGCACGGTGCTTGTGCTTGCTGCCCGCCCTGTCTGGCTCGACATGACTCTTCGTGCCCATGTTCGGGACCCATGAGCGTTCATGCAGTATCTGTCCAGGACAACCGGGTCGCCCCGCTCTCTGTCTCGATTCGACTCGATTCGATGCGCCCCCGGGTTTGTCCGGCATGCACGTCGTTGACTGCCTCTCGGCACAGATCCCACCCAATGCCATGCTCCCTCCTTCCTCCTTCCTTCCTCCCCATCCTATCCCAGGGAGATAACGACAACGAGGGAAAACAGCGAGCTATGCGCCCCGGAGAGTGTATTTGCACTTAGGCATTGGTGATTACCGTGGGTTCGGCCTCGAGTGTTTGAGCTTCAGCGATCAGTTTGGCGTTGGCAATCACCTGCAGAACCTCCTTGAGGTTGGCCCTCCATCCATTCAGTCTCTCACCAAGGAACTTCCACTGTTCCTTGCCAAAGACGCGGTGGGTTGATCGGCTGACAACGACCGTCTTTTTGAGCTGGTTCATCTTGGCATCCACCAAGCCAGCGCGGATCACTACAGGGATGAACAAAGGGTCTCTCAGCGGGCTGCACGCACACCAGCCTGATTTCATCTGGCAGAGGCGTCGGATGAATCAACCCTCGCACCACAGCACCACCCATTCTCGCTGCCTACCATCAATAACCCAGAATTCAACCTCATCGTCCTCGATAGCGAGAGCCTTGGCAATTGTCGAGTAAGCAACCTCGTTCTCGACATGTGAAGCGGCCAGACTGGCGAGCGACAGCAGGCGAATCTTGTGGAGGTTATCTTCGTGGTTGAGACCTAGAGGGGTGGCGCAAGCAATCACAGTCGAGTCAGAGGCCAGCTCTGTGACGGGGAAGTGTGCAGGCATTGATGCTGGGCTACGTCGGCCTCGAAGGGAACGAATGGAAGGGCATACCCTCTTTCTTGCAAAAGTCTGGGTTCTTCTTGACAAAGTCCTGGTAGGCGGCAAGGTTATCGCTAAGGAAGATGTTGACCAGAGTGAAGATCTTCTCGGTTTTCAGTGCCTTGATGGCCTCCAGCTTGGCCAGGTCCTCAAAGTTCAGGACCTCGGGGATCGAGATGGCCTTCTTGACAGCCTTGATTGCGTGCTCTTTCGAGGTCTTCAGGCCAGCGGCATCGGCATTGTCAAAGGTGGCGAGGTATTTCAAAAGCTGCTCGTATGACTGCTGGGGGCTTTCCATCGCGGCAACAGGGGGGCAAGAGGGCAGCGAGGAGGTGTCAGCAGCATAGTCTGCACCTTCAACTGAATACAAGGTCACCCACGGCCAGCTGCAGTGGGAGTGGTCCGCACGACCTGTCAAGTGCACGGATACGCATCCAGATGCAGATCTGCTGGCTGCACCACGGATACTGAACTGCCCTCGCTTCTCATGGCAAGGCGGCAGAAGAACGACGGCTTACTGGCTGTCGGAGAGCTTTTCGCTGATGAGGAGATACAGGGCCCGGGTCTGGTTGAGAGAAACGCCCCACTCGGCCAGCCAGGCGTCGACCAGGTGCAGCTGGGGAATCACAGCCTCAACTTCGCCGTTCTTGGAGGCAACTTTGATGATGGCAACATAGGTGTCGTAGCGAACGGTGCTCGAGGTGGACACGGTGTTGAATAGGTTGCTCAGGCTGCTCGTGTGTCGGGGTCGGATACACAAGCATCCGTATGCACGAGCAGATGCAGTCGCCATTTGGGATTGCATCGGATCCGTTGGCAGTCGCAGAGTAGCCAGCCAAGCAAGTCGGCATAAGCGGAGAGGGTCATGAAAGTAAAAGCCTATTGTTAACAGAGTCATCGTAGCTGGCCGAGGAGCCACAGAGGTGACGCGACTGATGGTACTTCAGTCCAAGCGATTGCGCATCCGAGTGGATCGAGACGAGCAGCCATACACTTTGAGCTTGAGCTGGCCCTTCTCAGCAGGGCTGGCGACGACGGGATCGATGATTTTCTTGGCCAGGTCCGAGATGTTGTCGTCGGTGGCATGGGTGCTGATCAGCGCAATCAGCAGGTTGAAGGCGGCTTCAAAAGCTGGAGACCAGCATTCCAGAGAGAGAGAAAGAGAGAGATGTCAGGCAATGGGCTGCACAAAGCTCAAGCGCCGACCAAGATGCCCGAGAACTCGAGCACGACGAAGGACAGGTCGGCCCGATCCGAGAATCTACCCGCGGCATGGACAGACGTACCAGCGTTCTCGGCCTTGAGCAGGACAGCCACTTCGCCGACAAACAGGTCCAGGACAGCAGAGAGATCGCCGCTCTCAACGAGCGACTGGGCCTTGGTGAAAAAAGCGCCATCGGCCTGTTCTCCCTTCAGGTTTCCGATGAGACCGGCGAGGTTGAGGGTCTGTAGGATCCGCAAGCCGGACGCAGCAGTGTTTTGGCGTCGATTAGTAACGGGCCTCTGGAGATCGATGCGCCATCCGAATCCCGATCGCTTGTCGTTTGCCCGAGGCGAGAGTGCCCCGGATATCAGAGTGCAGATTGCAGGCTCGCAAGGCCCTCCCATCAGGCTCGCCAGATCCAGCGCCGGCCAATGGAATAGACCGGCGGAGTGCCGCCAAGCGAGCATTGTCCGTGTCGATCGGGACAACAGCAGCCAGGAGAGTCCGCTGGCCGCCAAAGGCGATGGTCGTCGTTCCCCTCCAAGCTCAACAAACGAAAGCTCTGTGGTTGCCGATATCCGACCTGCTGATCTTCGTAGAAAGCGATGCTGGTCATGACGGGCTCGGTACACAGGGAAGATATGCGATGCGGCGGGATGAGGTTGATCGATTCGAGCCGCACGGACGGACAGGGCAGCCGGTTGCTTCTGATCTGGGAGCCTCGAAGGAGAGAGCAGGACAATAGTTGCTGGAGCGAGCCGGATGTGCAGGACAACACAAGCTCAGTGGCCGCGCAGCACACAGGCCGGGCGCGAGCCTGACGAGAAGCAGCCGAGAAAAAAAACGCTCACGTGTGCGTGGCTTACATAAGCGAGACAGCATCACTCCCGGCATGGCAGTGACATGACATGGCAACGGAACTGGACATGGCAACGGAACTGGACATGCCAGCGGAGCAGGCAGCCCGACTATTCGCTCTGGCCCGCGACGGCAGTGTTGCGTCTCGCAAGCAAAGACCAGAAAGCTGTATTGCTATTGCTCTATGCATGGTGCCGCAGACAGATGATGGATCCCATCTGATCCATCGGCCGTGGATGCACTGCTTGGCCGCACAACGTCATCAACTCAGTGTTTCGAGCCATCTGCGTGCGTGTGCTCGACCTTCTTCAGATCCGAAATCTTGGTGGTCTCCACCGGCGTGCCATACAGGATGATTTGCTTGATCCGCGTCGTCTCGGAGCCGGACAGATTGTCAGCCACAAAGAGCTGAGCGTTGTCACGGATATGAAGGGTCAGATATGATGCAGCCTTGTTTCCAAGTGCGGCCGTAGGGAGGGCATCCGGGTTCGTGCACATACCGTGAAGCTGTGGACGTTCTGGTACTTGACAAACCTCAGGCCCACAATCGATGTTGCTTCGTAATCCCTTTCGGCCAACTCGATTGTCTCGACCTCGGGGCGACTCTCGGCGTCATCGAACGAAAGCGTCGTGGCCTGGTTGACAAAGGTCTTGATTGTTCTGGGTGCCGTTTCTGAAACAAACGCACAGTCGTGTCAGCAGGCTGGATGCGCCTTAGCGCCTTAGCGCCATCACCACCGCTGCAAAGGCTGTCATCCCGCCAGACAGAGGGTCCAGCTGGCAGCTTCTCTGCACAGCGATCAACTCTGACACCACCGGTTGGCTTGCCATCGTACGGGGGATTCACGCACCTTTGTCGGCGACAATCTTGATCGAGTGCAGCTTGACGGCCTGGTTGAAGGGAATCGAGATGATGAGCTGTTCATCGACATCGCTCTCGAGATAGGCGTCGTTCTTCTCGAGGATATTGCGGACAGTGTGTTTGTCGTTCTCGTTCAAGCATTCAACTTGATTCTTGCTTATAAAGTCACTCAGGTCGATCTGCGGTCGCAATTCGCCCAAGAGCGGCCCAAGTTAGTGGATGGGGCATTACGCGCAGATCCACAGCTACCATCAGCATGACAGTCTCGCAGCAACAGGTCCATCACAAACTTACATGTCCAGAGACAGCGGCAGACGGCCCTTCTTCGGCGGGGCCTTGATGTTGCTGGAGATGCGATGTTGGCAGATGAGACCTTCGTCATACGGCAGCCGGAGCTTCTGTCCAGGCTTGCCTGAACGCCATACTATCTTCAAGCGCACCATATTCCATCCCAACCCTCGGGTCGTCCAGCTCCCAGCTGCCCAACCAGCCGCGGCTCACAGACCCTCACTCGCCACGTTTGTTGCTCCGAGCGTACCTTGATGAGGTTCAGCAGAGCTGCTGGGTCAGCGCCCTTGAGCTCGCCGATCTTGTTTCCGGCCTTGTAGAACTGAAAGGTCGGCATTGCCGTGACCCCGGCGTGCTGGGCAGTTTCCTGGAGCTGGTCCACATCCACCTGGGCAAAGACAACGTGTCTACAGCCATCGAGGCATCAGACCCGGGCACAACACAACACAGCCGAGTGATTCATCCAATTACTATGCAACGGAAATCTCTTTGACTTCGGCAACTGCCTTTCCTGCTCTCTTTGTGCCAGCAGCGAGACATCACGATATCTTGACACGTACGTGAAGCGCTTGCTGTAATCCGCAAACACTGACGAGAGAACGATCGATAAGCAAACGAGCTGAAGCAAGAGGAGTCGTGCCGGAGTAACCGCCAAACCTCTCGGCCGTCCTCTGGGATAGTCGAAGAAACAGAAAAGGAAATGCAGCAGTAGCGAGGCGACGGTTGGACAGATCGGAGAACGAGGCCCATACCAGGCTTGATCTGTTGGCAGGGACCACACCAAGCCGCTGTAAAATCGACAACGACCTGGCGACGCACGGTATTGTGAGTTGGGGATGGGGCGTGGGTGGGAGAAGGGGAGGGCAATCGTTAGAGAGTAAAGCACGACAGCGATTTCGCGCCGATATTCGTGCAGAAGATTTGCGACGGGCTTTGACCGTGCTGCTCACCAGCTTGGTCGGCGGCTGGGAGGAGATCAGGCTCAGATAGTCCGGGTGCGAGGCAATGGAGCGAACAAGCGACATGGTGGTCAGGCGGGCAAAGGACGGCGATAGAGGGAGAGGCAGGGCTTTGGATGCAGGCAGGCGATCTGCTCGGTCTGTTCGGTCTGTTTGGCTGTTCGGTCTGCGGCTGCTGGGCGCGGGTCGGCAAGAGCGATCACGGATGCAGTTCCAAGGGGCCTCGATGGACATGAGCGCAAAGGCCAGGGCTTGATCCAGGGTCGACAGCCAGGGTGTGGCTGGCGACATAGCCACAACGTGGCTGTGTGATCCGAGGGCACGTGGACCGCTGCTGATATCAGAGCGAGCGGGCCCGCCCTCGATGGCAGCCGCATACCGCTTGCCCACAGCACAGGGGGCATCCGGGATCAGTTCCTTTGTCGAGCGCACGACGCCTCACAAGCACGGCAATGGCAGATGTTTCCGGAAGCAACTCGAATCTCGCTGCCGGCGGCGCCGAGAAGACCTCGGCCGCACAGGCTGACGATAAGGACCAACGCCGCAACTTCAACTATCCGCTTGTGCGGGTACGGCTTCGAGCAGCATCGGGGGAGGCGGTTGCGCACGGGAAGCATCGGTTTTCTTCCAGACGGGTGGGGCTTTGAGATGGGCAGCTTCGAGAGATGGGTCGGCCTCGAGTCAGCTCTCGCGAGTACTTTCACCCTGGAATGGTGCACCGCTTCGACAGCGACCATCGCGCTCTTGCATTTACGCCTCGCCTGATTTGCTCGTGTTTCGACCACCGCCCCAACTCAACAGAACTGCGATATGGTTGACGAACTGCGTCTTGAGGCCGTGGACATGGTCGTGACAGCCGTCGAAAAGCATCCTGGAAACTACGAGGTGCTCATGTGTGCCTGCTGCGGAAGCTCATGCTGTTGGAGGGCGGCACCAAGATCCCAGCAACCCTTCTTGGGCGACGGATGAATGTGGGATGGATCCAGCAGAAATCGTCGCTGCGACCGACCGCATCCATGCAGCTCGCTTTTGATCGACAGAAAAACGAGCGTGCTGCATTCGCTGCATCCTCACTCACCACAGCACACGCTCTCGCTATCGCTCTCACTGCCTCTGGGCGGCAAATGCAACACAGGCGGCTTCGAAATCCATCAAAGAGCTGATGGACAAGCGATGCGGAAGCAGCTGGCACGTAGTGGTTGGCGAAGGCTTCGGATTCGAAATCACCAACGAGATGCGCAACCTGCTGTATATGTACTTTGGAGGCAACATCGGCGTTCTAGTGTGGAAGGCTTCATGAAGAGCTCGCTTTGGGCGGTGCGGGAGCGGCGACGTGCCTCATGACGTGCAAGTCAAGCTGCAGCCCGCATCGCAAAGCGGATGTTCGACTCCGACGCCAGTGGCCATTCTGCGCTGGATGTCGGTTCCAAACGTGCATGGTGCCGCCTTTCTGGGTCATGAATATAGACAGGCACCCAGCCCACGAGCAGCTCTGTTCGCCAGCATCGCCGAGAGACGACAATCAATATTTGTGGCGATGGATGGGGGGGGGAATCTGGAGCTATTCAGGAAAACTCGGGACACCAGATACCAGCGCAGTTTGTGATGGGAATGAGTCCAACCGAGCCACAGGCAATCCAACAAACTACCTCGACAGTCTCCTGGGACTAGATGCATAGACCTTGCCTTGACGCCATGACGCACTGCCAAAGGCGCTGACGACCTCGGTCTCATTGGACAGTGTTTGGCCATGGCTGTGATGAGCGGGTGGGGTGTATTCAGGTACCGGAAAAAACAACCAACAGTCCTGGCTCAAAACAGGGTGTCCCGTTTCAAAGTGGGAGCGCTGTAAAACTACAATAGCATCGATGTCCCAGAAGGGTTGGGGCGACCTCGAGGGTCAAAGCAAAAGACATACGCGTGGCGCTTGGCGCACGTCTGGCTCAGGGACTAGAATGTACGGAATCTGAGGGGAAAGTTGGTGGTGATGGACGAGTCTAGAAGAAAAACTCTGATGAAAAACATGTCGCCGATGCTTAAAACTACATCTCAAAGTGGGCCAAAAAAAGAAAAAGAAAGAGAGAAAGGGGGATGTGCTGTCGTTTGAGTGGGGTGGTGGAAAAACGAATGTACTGAAGCTGAATCGACACTTTGATTGCAAAATAAGACCCATATCAAGAAAAAGACTGATGGATGAGGGGGGGGATAGAGCGAGGCCAGCGTTCTACTCGACAGGGCTCGACTTAGTAACGTCCGTGGGCATCCTCCATTCGGTAGGACGCTTCGACGGCTCGGCCGTTCTGACCACGGCCACGGACTGGTGCGTAGAGCGGAATGCAGCAGAAGCGCCGTTAGAGCACATGTACAATTCACGGATAGAAAGCGCGGCCACGATGCAGGCGGTGGCACTGTCTCGGTGAAAATACGCAATCGATGCCACCAGAGATAGCTGTGTGAACCCAGCCCGCGGACACTTACGCTGCTCCTTCAGACCCTTGCCAAAGTTGCGGTAGTTGAGGAAGGCAATCACAAATGTAGTGATACACAGAAGCAACGTGATCGTTTCTGAGATCGGCAATGGCGGAATTTGGCTCAGCGAGACGTCAGGCGCGGTGGCCGAGGCACCGACTGGTACCGGCATGCCGACATGCAGACATGGATGGAAATGAGCGGCGTCGGGAACACATACCAAAGAAAATCAGCGAGTTGCGCGAACCAATGTACTTTTCGACGTTGGTGGCGGCGTCATAGAGCTTGGAGACGATGTATCCGATGCCGCCCGACAGTCCCAGGAGGGTGAGCATCATCAGCCAGAAGGATTCAAGCGTTACCGCGTAGAAGGCAACGAGCAGGAGTCCAATGGTCAGAGGGAAGGCAACGCAGCCGTGAATGACCGAGTCCATGGGGTTGCCGGTATTGGAAAGCACAAGGGCGATAAACTGAGCCGAGAAACCGATAAAGAAGAACACATCGACCTTGAGCAGCACCATGTAGACGTGGTAGAGCTTCAGGCGCTCTGTTGAGCGAGTCACAAGCACACATGTCACCGGCGAGCCGTTGATTAGTGACGATATGGACGGCGAGAGGCGACGATACACGGTGCGTGATGGCATTCAGATCCTCTTGGCACAACACAAGATATACGTATCGAAAGGCCACCTATGGCGCCTGTTACCCACCTCGAACTTGGATATCGGCGCCGAGCTGCTTGAACACACTCCATCCAAAGACGCGATAGAGCTTGATGCAAATAAAGACCCAGCCGGTACAGAAGAGGACAAAGGTCACAAGGACCACAATATCCCAGATGTGGGTTTGATGCAGCGCAACGCCGCTGTTGGCGAAAAGGGTGGTGATATCGTCGTACTGTTTCGTCAGGGTCGCGCCTTGATAATATGCGATGGCCGAGTAGCCCATCGTGCCAAAGCTGAATGCAGCTGCAGAGGCAAGCTGGGTAAACGAGGCGTGCCAGACCTGAATCGAGGGCAACACAAATACGCGTGAGCACGACAGTATGAACGCTCAGCGGCCAAAGATGGGGATGGTGCCATCGAGAGTCGCCTCTGGCAGGCGGACGGAGGTGGCGGCGAAAACGCAGCTTCGGGGAGCAGCATCAACACGCGCTGGCAAGGCAGCTCCCGCCTCCAATGAATAACTTGTGCCTTCGGACAGAGCAAAGCAGCGTATCACGATGAAACACGACCGCTGCATGGGCAAAGTCGTCGTGCTTACCGCATCCAAAGCTAGCAGAAGCTGGAAGACTTGCGAGGCAATCAGGAGAGCCTCATAGACACGGATGGCGTACGAGTTTCGCATGACAATGTCGGCGTCGGATCCGGCGGTGGTGGGCAGCAGAACGGCCTGCTGCTGGGCGATTTCGGTGTTGTGGATCGAGATGACAATGCCCTCAAAGATGGCGACAAGTAGCAGCTGTGCGATGGTCCAGACCATAGCGAGCTTGGCGATGGGATGTTTGGGGATCTGCGATCGACATGGTCAGAGCAGGGATGCCCGGGTTGCAGGAGCAGGAGCAGGAGCAAGAGTGAGGAGGAAGGAAGGGAAGGGAAGGCGGATAGTAGAAGGAGGAGGAGAAGGAGAAGGAGGGCAAGGGGAAGAAGGGACATCATCAAGGCCGGTGAGTGGTGAATGCAACAGACCAAGACGACACACCACCCTTTCGAAGGAATGAAGGCTCGGCCACAAGCACGAACAGTTGCCGTGAGGGCCGATGCTGGCTGTCGTAGCAGCCAGCAGCTGGAAAACGGACTGCAAGACAGATAGCCGGGCGAGGAGCAGGGAATCCTTGGAGCACCGTCAGGGGCACACAGAAGGATGCAGAGGTGCAGAGACAGATGCCCAGAGACCGATGCAGAGACCGATGCAGAGACCGATGCAGAGACAGATGTAGCACCCTACCCATTCTTTTCTGCGGGGAGCCTCGCTTTGGGTTCGCGGCGAGAGCGTCGAAGGGCGCTCGATAGTTCGATCGAATTCCATCGGGGAGTTTTCGGGGTGCTTGGACGGGCGATGTGGAGCGACGGCGGCTGGCCGAGAAGGCGGATGCGGCTAGGAGCGAGATGCGCAAACGCACGGATACAAATGATCTGGGCCAAGGAGGGGGAGCCAGATGGGAGCCAGAGGACGGGCTGTCGTCAGCAAGCGGCGGCCGGGTGATCTTGATGAGGGAGAGAGACGCCGGGCGATGACGAGGGCGATGACGAGGGCTGGGACCGAAACGGCGAATTGCCGGAGAGGCGAGACAGGCGGCCAAGAATAGCGGCGGCGTCCGACAAACAGCGCGACAGGCCGGAGGGCGTGGGCGCGGGTGCGCGTTATATATTGGTCGCGGCGGGTGAGTCAATCAATTGATTGAGTCAACGGCGCGGGTCGGCGCGCTGTGTCTGTGGGCGCCGCTGAGTGTCTTTTTTCGGACACCCCACATCGCTCCTGGCTTCGAGCCCAGCACCGCCACCGAGGTGGTCCAGGACAACGGCCCAAGCCGACAGACGCACGGCGATGAGACGGAGCATCGATGCATGGGACGGTGTCGGGAGTCGGCCTGCGTACGCTCATGGCGGGGATGCTGCAGCCGCAGACAAGGACAGCCGCGACAGCATGCGGAGCTGGCCGACACGAACAGCACGATGCATATGCTACTGTTTGGCACTGGGCGGGAAAGGCGCCTCCAGATCCAGACCAGGCTCGACCGGGTCGTCGAAGAGCATCGACTCGCTTCTCTCCTCAACGATCGTCACGGGCGCTCTGATTCTCCTCGTCGTGCAAATAGCTCCCTCGCCGCCATGGGCAAGAAAGGAAAGGGAAAAAAGGGCAAGCAGGCCGAAGACCCCGCCCTGGATCTGCCGCTTCTCCCAACCGAGCGCGTCTTCTCCGAGCAGGAGCTGATCGTCCTCAACAAGCGCATCGCCAAAGGTGAGGCGCTTCATCGCCAGCAGCAATACGGCAAGAGATCCTGGTCTGCAGTCAGCCAGGGTCGCTGTGTATTGTGGCATTGGCTGCTACGGGCGATCACTTGGCTTCGCCGAGTGAGTAACAACTGACCCTCGGTACAATTGCCAGCCTTCGAGACGTTCGACCAAGCAAGCAACAATACTTGCGATGGTATGCAAATCAAGCTCCATCGCGGACTGCACATCGCTGGTTGCGGCGCGAAGCCCCCATTCGTCCAAAAGCACAACGATGGCCTGCTTGCCTGCCTGGGCTCCCATGCGTTCCCATGCATTCTCATGCGTTTTCATGCGTTCTCATGCATTCTCATGCCTTCTCATGCGTTTTCATGCGTTTTGATATACTCTGCACAGTCCGCGAAGTCGGAACAATTATCCGGTCCCTCGGCATCTATCCGACCGAGGAGCAGCTCCGAAACTATATAAAAGATGTGCGTCACATCGGCGGTGGTCGGGAAGTAATTCACCAGCAGACGGCTCGCCATACCAGAGAACAGAGCCCTTTAGGACCTATCATTCGCTCAGATCCCGCTTCGGAGCCACTTATCGCACCATACCGCTGCTCGCCATCGGATCTAGATGAGCGAGGAGGAGCCAACAGGCTACGTCACCTATGACAAGTTCCTCAACGTCGCCATGGGAATTTTCAAGAACCCATCGTGCCGACGCGACGATCAGGAACAACTTTTCCGAGCATTCCTTGTGGGTCCAGCGCTTCGATGCTTCCATGTTTCGACGCTTGAGTGAGAGTTGTGCGGATGTCCAAACGAGCAGCTTGGGCGCTGGCCCACTTGCGAGTAACTTGGCATGTCTCGATTCCGCTCTGATTCCGCTCTGATTTCCACACCATTCATGGGAACGTCCATCCATCCAGACCCTTGATGTCGACAAAAAGGGCTACCTGCTTCCAGAGGAGCTCAAGACGGCCCTCATGTCCGACGGCGAAGCGTTCAGCCAAGAAGAAATCAACGAGATGCTGCTGGTAGGTTTTGGTCCGGCCCTCCGTTCAGCCCCGCATTCGGCACCACAGCCCCAAGACCATGATCTGTGCTGTTGGCACCGTTTCTGTCCGGCTCCGCTCTGGCTCTGTGTGCAGGCGTTCGGCCATGAATCGGGAAAGCATCCGTCGGCACTGCATCGCCAAATATCGGATTACCGCAACTTGCGTGCATGTTCATTGCCGCACAGGCCTGCACCGATCCCACCGAGGGCAAAATCTACTATGAGGGTAAGCTTGCGGCCATTTGGGCTGCAGGATGCGCTTCGATTTCGCATGGCTTCAACCACAGGCACTCACATCGGCCCACGTCGCTTTCCGGATCTCCATCACTCACCCAGATTACGTGGCGGTGCTGGCAGAAAAGTAACTGCCTCGCAATGGCCTGCCTCCGTAGAGACTGCACCGAGTCGTGCACGTTGCAAATAGACATGCATCCGGCTTGTGCTGACTTGTGCTGGACTGCAATCGAGTGCAGCGAACTGCGATGGACTGCGATGCACCGATATTGGGAGCACCGAGATGGCCACTGGCCATGGGAATCGGTCGATGGTGCCGCTGTTGGCTCAGCCCTTGCTTGGCCATCTGATGAACGGGCGGACAGATACCGCCATGTTCATTGGCAGAGATTCGGCATTCGCCTCGAGCAGATGCCAATGTCCTCTCGGCATATTCCGAAAACACCAACTAGCCGCCTGATCGAGCGGCCGAGGAGGCCAGACGGGGGCCTGTGTCTGTCCTGGCGGGTGGCTCGCTGGTTTGGCAGCACATCTGGTCGCCGCTGCCGAACCAACCGGCCACCGTCGTTCGCTCAATCCATCAATCCATCAGTCCAACACAACTCCCCCTGCCCCGCACGCTGCCTGCTTCTCGCCCTGCTGCAGCTGCACGCTCGGCTCTGCCCACTATGAACCGGAGCATCTACCAGATCCTCTCCCGACTTCTGGACGAGCGGCTGGTGCTGCCCACGTCGGCGTTACCGCCGCCCGACACTGCTCTGTCTGGATTCCAGGACGGCAACTGGGTGGTTGCCCAGGAAGACCAGCCCGACCCGGACTCGAAAGAAACTCGGTGGGCTTCTGCTTCTGTGATATGCTGCCAGCTTGGCTCTTTTCTGTTCCTGTTGCTGCTGCGGCTTCTGCTGCTCCTGGAGGCTCGAGGCCATCCTGGCTTGACTTTGGCTTCGCGACCGTTGCTCACAGCTCTCCTTATAAACCTCGCCCATCCCGCAGATGGTTTCGCTATTTCAACGACTATTTCCTCGAGGCAGGGCACTCGGAACATAACGACGACCTGCTCTTTTTCGTCCGCCATCGCGATACCGAGGCCGCCGCGACCGATCCGCTGTTTCTGAGGCGAAAGGTCGGCAATGTTCTGCCACCCCTCACCGACCTCGTCGACTGGAAGGAGACCTTTTTCCTGAATCTCATCGTCCAGCTGCCATGCACCTTGACCGTGTCGGTCTGCAAAAGACAGCAGTCCACAGAGGCCACAGACGATACCACCGGAACCATTCCGCGCAAGACGAGCAGCTTGATCCATCGTCCGCCAAGCGAGAAGGTCTTGGGCGACCCGGTCCCAGTCCACCCCAGCCACTCTGCAAGCCACCGACGCTCGATCGCCGACCCTCCGATTCGCCGAGAGGCCGGTGGCCACTCAGTCTCGCCCGATCCTCGACGAGCGTCGCTCTATGGCGCATCTGCCGGATCCGATGCTCAAGGCAGGGCAAAGCCAAAGCCCAAGATGGTGGCGCTCAGACGAGTTTGCAAGCAGGTGTATGCCGCTCCATACAAATCCCGGATGGACGTCAAGGATGCCTTCATGAACGAGTGTTCCTATCCCCTGGTCTACTACACCATCAATGACTATGAGTCGGACGACCTGCATCTGCCCATCCGCGAGAACGAGCACCTCTGCGTCGAGCTGTCTGTCATGATGCCGCAATCCGGCGGCCTTGCGGCCCCAGCCGCCGGTGTGGAAGAGCCTCTGTCCGACTCGAGTCATTTCTGGGACAACCTGGCGGCCATCACCGTCGACCAAGACCCAACGCCTTTCCCGACCCCTGCGGGCTACAGCAAAGTGGTTCTCTTCCAAGGCGCCGTCCCCTATTCGTCACTGTCCGATATCTACCAAGAGAAGGGTATCATCACTCAGAACCCGATCAAGAGCACCTGGCACAGCCTCACCCGAGACGGCACCAAAGCCCAGTCCAACGGCTCGCTGGACCATCGAGGCGAGCGCATCGAGTATATCATGATGCGTGGTCCGAATGGGAAGGGCCAGTGCCAAGTGGCCATCACCAACCATCCCAAGTCGCGGTGGGACGGTGAAGAGGCCGAGGTCAGTCCTTCACACTCGCACTCGCACTCGCACCGAAAGAAGAACTCCATGTCGTTCGCCAGCCAGGACAGCCTGCGGGATTCGTCCGAGAGTCTGGATGGCGAGCCGCGAACCTCAAAGTCCAAGCGCGCCGCTCAGCTCTCGCTCGTCGACCGCATCAAAATCTTCAGCAGCAGCGTCGTGCGCGCTGCAAGTTCGCTCGGCACGAGCCCAACGTCGCTGGTTTCCCAATCGATCTTTGGCTTGTCGGAGAGCGACGACGCACTCGAAGCCGACACGCGGCTCGAGTGCTCCATGACCTATGTCAATGTCCCGTGGCAGTTTGTCATCAACGACCTTGTGGATCATGTAGCCTCCCAACGCAACGGGCTCTCGAGCTGAACGGCTCTTGGGACCGGGCGATTTTCGACGGCATCGGCCGATTCATCATGGGGTCCGCAAAATGAGCCAGGATGCCCTGTAATTCAAAGCTGACTGTCCCTTCTTTTTGGACCCTGAATATACATTTTCATCTGTCTTTCCGTCCATGTGCCCGCCCGAAGCGTGGTCATGGCACTGGCCGCAATCCCTTGGGTTTTGTTGGTTTGTGGAGCGTAGTCTTGCATCCATCCTGTCGATCTCCTGGGGCGACAATCGACTGGCATATCGATATCAAGAGAGTCGACCTTCGAGTCGTTTGGCTTCCAGGCACTGCTTGGCCGTCGCAGCGATGGATGAGTGGGTATTCAGGCCCAGAGATCAACGGCAGCCACAGGCGCAAGTCCAGAACGACATCCGGTCGCGCTCTCAACAGGCCTTGGACATGGGCAGCGTCGTACCGCACCGCCAATTTTGGGCAAATTACGGACCGTCGTCGGCCCTGCCTGCCAGGAGCATGTCCTTCGGACTGCCGATCGCTGCTCGCGGGCTCCTGGGGTGTCCTCACGATCCTCTGGCCTCATTTGCAATCCTGCCGAGCAGGCCGTCTGGACAGCCAATTGCGCGAGGCCATGCGAAGCAGCCCCGCTCGCCGCCGTCACCTCCAAGGCCCCTCTCGCTCGATCCTCGGCGACTACGCAGCCACACCGCCGATATCCCAGTCCGCACCACGATCTGTCTCACTCCCTCCTCTCGAAATACCAACTCGAGCCAGCATGACCCCAGCAGCACCTCCAGCCACCGAAGAAACCGGCGGCTCGGTCCAGGTTCTGCTCCCGCCCGACTCGCTCGTAGCACCTGTCTTCCATCATCCGCCCATGGCTGGCGCACCCCCCAGCGCATCGTCGGCGCAAACATCGATGCGCAAATACATGATCCAGACCGACATCAAGCCCACTCTCCGGCTGCTCCAAATGGATCAGCAGGTCGAGCAGGAGCAGGAGCAGCAAAGATCCAAACAGAGCCTCTTGCTGCGGTCACCGTCCAAGCCAAAAAAAGCTGCCCAGCAAGTCGCTCTGGCCGACTCGCCATCCCGATCCCGGTCTCCTGCTGCCAAATTGTCCCGGATCCTAATGAGCCCGTCCACAGGGTCGAAAAAACGAGGGCGTCGAGGCGGCAACCCGCTGACACCCTCCAGACGCTCCAAGAAGCCGATGCTGAGCCCCGGCGAGGCCTCCAAATGGAAGCAGCTCAAGATCTTTGAAGTCGGCTTGTTTTCGCCAAACTACAACGTCGTCACAAAGCTCATTCGTAACGTATCTTTGGCGAGGCGATCCTGTGTGCGCCGAGTTGGGCTATCTGCTGCATTTCGGGCAAGCCAAGCCAATCCCAAGGCCCCCACCGCGGTGTGATGCAGCTCAGGTCGGCTTCGTCTGACGAGCCATCGCCTCATCTTCCATCTAGCCCGAAAATCCTTGTCAAGGTCGTCAAGTGAGATATCCAACACCACAAAGTCACGAACCGACAAGATTCCACTAAAAGATTCGACCGAAACACTGAATCTCGTTGAAGATGGCGACGACGTCGACGATGCCCTTACGGACGAGCTGGATCTCACGGACGAGGCCAGCCCGGAATCGGAGAGCGATGGTCTTGGTGAGTTCACCCGATTGGCCCACTGCTCTGATCAAACAGCACGCCGCTGCAAGTCTCCAGTCCGGTGAATATCAAGGCTGACCTCTCCATGCTTTTGAAGCAGCCACCCGCGTCAAATCCGTCATCATTCAGAATGCCACCACCCATATGGACTCGGAAGATGAGGACGACGACTACGAGGCCGTACGAGACGAGTTTGACCCGTAAGTTGGTCAAAGTCGCCGCCTAAAGCCATTTACCGCTGGCCAGACCTTCTGTTGTACCTTCGGACCGGCCATCTCCATCGCTCATGGCAATGCTTCGCACCTAGATACGAGTTTATCAGACAGCTGGGGCCTGTCTGCCCAGACGATTTGAAGAGAACCTCAAAGCTACTGCCATCAAAGAAACCAGGCCAGAAGAAAATTACCCTGGTAACGATCTGCACCCCCAATGGGAATATGGAATGGCTCGTGTCTTGAACCTGTATTTTTGGGAATCTGCTCATTTGTGCAGACCCAGATCGACGCAACGCATGCTAACACCTGCCTGCGCACCGTTCATGTAAACTCGACACTATCGCAATTGATGGGGATTGAATCTCTACCAAGCTTTTGGATCTGGACGAAACGCTGGTTTGTATTAATCAGAAGCCTGGCAGCTAGCAGTTTGATGGACAATCTCCTTGACACTATCGCGCTGGCTGGCATGTTACCAACCGTGTCTGAATCCGGCAGGTTCACTGCAAGACCGAACCTCTCGAAAATCATGATTTTATGATTCCTCTCACGGTTGCCAGTGAGCACTACGAGGTACGCTGCTGCAAACAACGTCATGTTCATTTGCAGATGTCGCTGGGCACCCGTATGATAGTAGAAGAGCTTCTCGCGGTGGGGGGGGGGTCACTGAAGGAAGCCGGGGACGGAGCTGATCCATAGCTTTATTGTCGGATGGGGCAGGTCTATGGGCGGATCCGGCCATTTGTGGAGGAGTTCCTGGAAAAGGTCTCGCAGCTGTTTGAGGTTGTGGTCTTCACAGCGTCGCTGCAAGTCTATGCCGATCTCGTGCTCGACATGCTTGACAAGAAGAAGAACCGATTCCAGTAAGAGTACTCGACGCCTTCGACATCAAGCCGATATCGGTTTCCTGACAGCCGCTCTAACATGGGCGCACTCCTTCCTGCCGGCGCTGGTGCGTTTTTGACCCAGACACCGGCTCTATCGCGACTCGTGCACCATCGTCGACGGCGTGCACATGAAGGATTTGGAAAAACTCGGCAGAAATATCAAGCACACCATGCTGGTGGATAATTCCCCACAAGTATTTGCCCTCCAGGTGAGCGACGCCGTCACAACCCAGTCGATGGCAATACAGATAGGGCCAGCATCACGATGTGCTTTCTGACACGGGTTTTGTTCCCTGTCCCCATGCATAGCTCTCGAACGGGATTCCCATCAAGTCGTGGTATGACGATCAAGTATGTGGTCACTGTGTTCTCGTGCGTCATTTTGATGGGCGGCAACCTTACTCGGCTTGCAGCTGACCGGCCTTGCTTTGCGGGATGATATACCTAGGACGACCACGAACTACTGGACCTGCTCAAGTTTTTGGAGACTGTCAGCGATACAGACGACGTCCGGTAGGCCGACACCAAGCCATATTGCAACGACCGGATCTGACAGAGCCTTGCGCGAAAGGGAGTAGTTGCGGTGTGCCACGCCGACTGACTCGTATCCGGCTTTGGTCATCACCAGCCCTCATATCGATCGACAGTTCAAGCTCAAGGAACTCATCTGGCCAACAGATCCAACAACCTTCGAGGACAACGACGACTTGGCGTAACAACAACAGATTCGACTGCGCTTGGATCTGCACTTCCAAGTGACGTATCCGGCTGTCATGAGAGCAAGCTCTGTGACAACGGCGGAGCCGGGCCGACCACATCCGCCACGACGCCCGTTGGCGGCTCAGCCTTTGACTGCCATGCCCGACGAAGACGGACAAGAGCAGCCCTGCGGCCAGTGGGGAGGGTATGAAGGGTTGGGTCCAGGTCAAATGGGCTTGGGCCAGTGCGAAGCGTGATGTCGAAATACATGTGCCGTTGCTGCTGGCACGTTGCCCTTGCATAGGATTCATGGGCGTGTGGTCGGTGCCTCCAGCAGATGCAGCCAATCGACTAAAAACGGGGCACCCCGGATTGTGGTCGTTGGTGCATGTTCTCACTCAACACATCTCGCGCTGGCCATGGCCGTTCAGTAATGCGATTCTGGATCTGCATCAAGGACGCTTTCTCCATCAGATGGCTCTCCGCAAGCGAAGGTCGAGCATCTTGATATCGATACACCATGGAGTTGCCCAGAGAGTCGAGTGAATGCGTCACACTCACACATCGAGACATCAATGCCTCACGGAACATGATCTCGGTATGCCAGTCGATCATCGCCACAGGAGATCGACCGGGTGTATTCAAGACTGTGCTCCCGAAACCAACCAAAACCACTCGATTGCCAACCAGGACGGGAAACAATCTCACGGCTTGCTCACTGGGGCCTACGGCCAGTCAGCGGGGTTCAGAGAACTGAAGCCATAAAGGAACGGTCACGTTTCTTTCTGAATTGACTGTATGTAATTAGAGCAAGGACACAAACAATCCACCCTTCAACCAACATTCCGGCTCGCGGTTCCTCCAAGCGCGTGATGCGCTGTCTATCGGATCGGCAGATCAAGAGCCGTTCCTTAGTCGGCGGTCCCAGGTCAACTCAGAACTGAACTGGTGTCGCAGGGAAGAGAGGAAACGATGGCCGGAGCCCTATTGCGCCAGATCTCTCAAACGATTTAGAAGAGGCTCTGTCCCTGCTCGTGCTGTTCCTTCAAGAAGATTTCAAAGTACTGGTAGATGATGGTGACGGCAAGCAGGATACCCGTGCCAGAGCCGATAGCACCTATGCGAGAGGAACGGATGGATGTTAACAAGGCGCATGGGCATGGCGCGGATGAGATGGCGGCATCCAATACACATCCAGCGCACACACATGGAGCCAATCAAGCGACACGATGCACGCTTATCAGCAGGACTCACCCAAGAGGTCAGCGACGACAGAGAGGGCGCCAATGCAGAGACCGCCAAAGGCAGCAGCGGTGGGGATAATGCGCTTGAGCTCCTTGTACATGGATCCCTCGCGGTGGCCCCGGATGACGAGCTGCTGCTCCTTCAGCTGGCGGGCGACATCGCGAGGAGACGAGCCAGAGACTTCAATCCAGGTCTTGGACAGGAAGGCGCAGGCCGCAAGCATGAAGCTGACATAGATGACAAAGTGGATGGGGTCCAGGAGGGCACCGGCAAGGCTCTTGGGAGGCGAGATGTAGTACGCGAATCCACCAACAGCAGAGTCCTGAGGAACGCCATCAATGTTCTGCAGCAAGACGACGTGCGGAGCATCTGTTAATATACCGTGGCACAAGAGCACCGGGATTCGGCGACGCCCCATGAGGTAGCTGGCGCTCAGCGCACACCCAGTCAAGGTCCTTGCTCTTGGCCAGGAATCAATCAAATCTTACCTTCCAGACACCGAGGATGCGAACAAGAATGTTGTCAGGGAACCAGCGGTAGAGGAGCTGGGAAATGAAGAAGATGTTGGAGACGAGGGCCGACTGCAGCATGATGGGCATGTTGGAGGTGTAGAAGAGCTTGACGGGGTAAGAGCCCTGCTGACCGCGGAACTTGTTCGACTTGACGGGGATCTCGACACGGAAGCCCTGCAGGTAGATGACCAGGGCGAAGATGACGATGGTGGCGAGCAGGTTCATCAGGTTGGGGAAGTTCTGGCGATAGAAGGCCTCCTTGAGGGCGCGGAACTTGTCGTTGCGGGTGAAGAGCAGGTGGAAGAAAGCAATGACGGCGCCCTCGAACTCGGTTCCCTTGCCGGTGTTGTACGTGGTGGGCGAGAAGGCCTTCCAGACGATGGTCTCGCAGATGTTGGTGGCGATGAAGAGCGAGATGCCCGATCCAAGACCGTAGCCCTTCTGCAGCAGCTCGTCGAGGAGCATGGTGATCAGGGCAGCAAAGCAGAGCTGGAGCACAAGGAGGATGGAGATGCCGAGACCAATTTCCTTGGGGTTGCCGTAGACACCGGACCAGACCGAGACGGTGGCGGTGCCGACAGCCATGACCATAGCGAACACTGTCCACGGAGGCGAAGACATTGCAGAGACCAGATCAGACACAGGGTCGGGATTGGTTCCCAAGCAGCCTCGATATCAAGCGAGCCATTGCAGATAAAGCCAAGCCAGCCGCTCGCGACAGCCGAAGCGATCCTTGAAACTGCAGCTGGACACGATGCCGTGCGATACGTACGTTTCTGAGCGCCAGAGAAGAGAGCGCGGTCTTCTTTCAGAGAGTAATCGACCTCGATGATCTGAGCGCCGGCCAGGAGCTGCATGATCATGCCAGAGGTGATGATCGGAGTGATGCCGAGCTCCATGAGGGTGCCACGGTTCGAGGCCAGGATGGTGCGGATCCAGTACATGGGGTCAGACGACTCCGAGGACATGATGCCGTAGAGGGGAATTTGGGAGCAGACCAGGAAAATGAAGAGAGTGAGGGCGGTCCACATCACTTTCTCCTTAAACTGGACCTGTGGGTGGAGGAGGATGCAGTCGTGAGTACCGTGGCCGACAGACTGCGGAGCCAGGCGCCCAGAGGCTGGGCCAGGTGCTAGGCCGCGGATACTGGGCCAGGTCAGATGCGGGTGGATCTGGCCCACCAGGACCAGGATCAGGACCGACGATCGCTGCTTACCTTGCGGTCAGGGGAGGCGACCTCCGGCATCATCGAGATGAAGGGGCGCAAAACGTGGAGCAGTCGAACTGGAGGCAGCAGACGCGTCGACAGCGCATGTCGGCAGAGCAACGGTTAGCATGCCGCAGCCCTCGCAATCGCTCTATCGTGTTCCTGAACCTCGGCTGCTGCTCTATCAGCTGCGACAGACAGCACTGGTCCCGCGATGACGTCGTGGAGGAGCGGGGCAGGACAGGGCAGCCGAGGTCGTTCCGCAATTCCTGGCGCCCAGGTCGATCGCGAGGGAAGGACATAGTTACATGACGACATGGCTTCGACAGTGGCTGCGGTGCGAGGGGGGACTGAGAAAGACCGGCCGACAGGAGCGGTGCGAGTGTCGAGATGGGCAGAGTCAAGCGATCGAGATTTCGCTCGGGGGGTTTTATTGCCGACCAAAAACGCAAACGCACGGGCGAGGGCGCGCCGAGAGCACACCGAGGACGCTCTCGGCGCGCTCTCGCCCTCGGCCTGCGCCACACACCGGTCCCACCTTCCTTTCCTGGAGGCGATCTGCCAGTGGCGGGAGGCGATTGGCCCGAGGGCACACGACAGACGCCCGGCGCTGCGGCCAATGGCGTGTGGCAGGGGGGCCAGTGTTCCCACGGATTCCACGACGCACTGCCCTGGAAAGTGCCTCTGCAGCGACGATGGACATGCTTGAATTGCGGAAGGTCACGCATGTATTGGCGAGGAGCACCCCATATATTGCGGAGGGTCGTGCTGTGCCGCGCTTCGATTTGCACCCACAGCTCAATCGCGGCGGTTGTCCGATCGGGACGCCTCGGCCTCGCGAATAGCAAACATCACCCGAGCCGAGCAGTAGAGCGTTGCGAAGGCCGCCACGAGGAAGCCCGCGCCTGATGCCCATGCCGAAATGCACGGACGCAGCACCGATGGGGGCACATGTGTTTGGGGTCGTCGAGTCCCGGTTGGGCCAGCAGAGTTGTCGGCGCTTGGTTAATACAGGGTGCGACTGCGTCTCCGAGCACATAGCCAATCGCTCGGAACAAGACCCGTGCCGATCCCGAGTTTCATCTGCTGCTTGCATCGATCGCGCGATGCACGTCCAGCATCACCGGCTTACCTCCCCAGCTCCATACGAAGGTCTGTTTCAGCATCAACGTCATGCCCTCGACGCCGACGGCAAAGCCCACCAGGTTCGCCACGATCATGAAGCATATGTTGAAGACGGCCCCGATGCCGCAGATCGCGAGAAAGTGCCTCCAGCGGGTATACTGCCGCAGCACGCAAATAATGATCAGTGCCGGCGCAGCAGGTGGTGCTTCTGTCCTATCGATTATCAATCAAACACTCAACTGGTTCCCGGACAAACAGTCTTGTGGCCACGATCTCGGGCATGATAAACAGCACAATCAGCCAGGCCCAGGCCAGAAGCGTCATGGATATGTCGTGCCACAGAGCCACAAACGTGAACACGATCCACACGTTGTAGGCATAGTATTGGGCCCCGCCGAGAGGCGCATAGACGTATCTAGTCGTGCATGCCGCCATTGGCGGGAGGATCATTCAGTGAAGCCTTTGGCAGCAGCCTGTGCAAAACACAACAGAAGAGGGACCCGTGGATGTGGCTGCATCATTTGCTTGACCGTACCTGATCAGCCAGCGATTGAACGAGCGGTGCCACGATCGCCAGAATCCCATGGCCGAGTAGTTGTTGGTCATGCATCGATTCATGTTCTCGGTGGTCTCGATGCCGTCTGCCATCGCCCAGAGTCTGAAGAATCGCCAGATAATCAGGAGCTGGCGCAACGGGCAAAACATACTTGTCAGCAATGTCGGTCGCCTCGGTGTCCCGTGAGTTCTCGTCGCGCTGGATACACACATCGGCAACAAGGAGTTTGCCAACAGCAACGCTCTCCCTCACATACCTTCATCCAGATAAACTTGAGGTTGATGAATCCGACAGCCACGATCTGCGCGGGAGTGAACCCGTCCCACGCTTTGGATTTGGCAATCGCCACCACATACAGAGTGTGCTGCATCACCTCCATGAGCACGACGACGCCTATCCAGCGAGCAGCATACACAAGTGTGGCCTTGGTCAGCCGTAGAGACCAGGTTTTGGTCTGGTGCAGCAGAATTGTGCCAAATAACCGTGGTTAGATCGTCGTCAGCGGAATTGATCCTCTCTGCCACACCAACAGCACCAACAGCACCAAACTATCCTCAGCACTCCTCGCAATTCTCACCGGGCCCAACCGGAGCGTACCTGTGCGACAAAGTCGTTGAAGCTCAAAATCGGCCCCGCCATGAACAGGGGCACATAGAGTGCATACAGATAATAGTTGAAGAGGTTGTAGTCGGTTTCATTGAGGTGATCCTCGGACCGACCCCGCTGGCATATCCGTCCAGCCAGACATTCTTCGCAGTGCTTCCGATGTGGCTATAACCCAAGGAGGCCGTGAGCGGGCTTGTTAAGTAAGCAGCCGGCACTGGTGCTTAGAGGTACTTTTCGACAATCCGCTGCACACTCGACGCTACCTTCGGAGGGCCTTGGGGCTGTGTGCGACTCCAAAAGTAATCCATACTAAAAGATATCATTCGAAGAACCGAAAAGTTGAATGTGATCCACCATCGGCCCATCAGTCCGGTCGAGCGGTCCTATGATCATTCCAGTTCGGGATACGCCGAGTTAACCCCCGAGCCATATGTCCTTGGGTGTTGATGCCGACATTTACCGAAAGCCATCTCCGACAGCACACCAAGTCGCTCCTGACTATGCTGTGGATGCGAATACGGGTCCGGAAATTGATGACGGTAGGAGAGGTACACGGTTATCCATACCAGAGACGCAAGCAGCGGGGTCACTGAGGCAAACTTGTAGCCTTGATACCGGTCGTTCAGGAAGAGGATGGAGAGTCCCAGGACCCAAGCGCCAATCGGCGTCAGTAACGACCCCTTGCCCAGTTTGGCGATTGCATAGTTGGCCAGGAGGATAAGCAGGATCTTGAAAAGGCCATTTCCATGGAGCACATAGATGAAGACGAGCGAGAATGCCAAGGTGTAGATTCGTCTAACTTGCGCTGGCTCATGACGGAGTAATCGCCCACTGACGAGGCGAGCAGCCAGGGGAACCAGGATCGGCACCAGGAAGCTCATGAACAGATAGGTGCACATCACGGCCACTAGGACAAAGATGTTGGATCTGAAGGTGGCATACTGCCCGTCGCTGTTGTCCTAACAACGGAGACGTCGGGCGTGAGGGGAGATGCTCACTGGGGAGCCAGCCAGGCAGCCAGGGTCTAGCATCGTCAAGGCACGCCCACAGCCGGTCGATCGAGCCAAGCGTCTTTACCACTTGCAAGCCAAGCCATCCCCTTGAAAGACGGTGGGAGTATTTGTGGAAGTTTGGGTGTGATTCTGGCATGGGGATGTCAAGGAACGATGGGAGGCCGAGGCGAGGGATCTGTGTCGGTCATCCTGTAGACCAGCGTCCCAAGCACCACGAATGTAGACGTGGGGCCGTCGCAGCGATGCTTCATTCAACCAGCTATGCTCGCGGCCAAGGGCGATGCATGCTGGGAGGCCTGGGGAGTCTCTAGCAGCCCCAGAGACCAGGTCGAGGATCAGACCGAGGACCAGACCAACGACCAGCGGCTTACCAGCGCTGACACCGTGGGCAATCCAGAAAAGAGACGAGATGCCGACGACAGAGACGGTCAGATACCCGATGAACTCGGGCGATTTGAACCTCGACGGGGCCATGTCTGCGTCGGTGAGTCCTTGGCCGCCGATCATCTCGATGCTGTCGAGCGAAAGGCCAGCGGGCGAGCGACAGGGCGGCCCAGACCCGCATGTCACGGGCTTGCAGCTTTCGCTGTTCGGCTGGAACGCGTCCATTTCCACCAGAATGCCAGGGTGGCTGGCGAGCGACGACAGCAGCGCTGATTCAATCTCGACGCTCGCCGGTCTGCCCCATCGACATGACTATGCCGCAAGACCCGCAGCAACACGGCGGACGACTCGGCGTTCTGAATCTGTCCCCGTTCGAGTTTGAGACCGATGGGTCCGACACCAGCGACATTCTGCTGGTGCTATCCGTGGCAGTGGTAGGCCGCTTTACGGGAGCTGCAAGGCCAACCCGATCGACAGAGGAAATACGGCCCCAATCGTCGGCTGTCCATCTGCCGACCAAAGGACAGGCCAATGCACTCATGCGGATTCGCCTCTATGCTTCTCCACAGCTGTCCTGTCTGGCCCGGCAGGCAGTTGCCATAGTTCGGCCACAGGCTCCTCCCGTGGGCTTTGCGCTCGACATCGTGCTGATGGCTCTGCCGATGCTCATCTCCGTAACCTTTGTCGAGTGGATTCCACATACTGTGACGATTCTGTTGGCTGTGGTTACGTCGATGGCATTGCTGCGGAGTATCTCAAGCAAGGACGGGTCTTCAAGCCCAACAAGCACCAGGCAGGGCTCGGAGGGCCAGCTTCCACCGAAGCATGTACCATACTTTGTCATCTACCGAGCCCTGGTGCAGCTGTTGACCGTCGTCGCAATCCTCGCCGTCGATTTTTCAATCTTTCCGCGCATGTACGCAAAGACGCATCGGTTCGGTGTATCGCTGGTGAGTCGAGTGCGGCTCCGTCTCTCGGCGGCGCGGCTCACTGTCGCTCTGTTGGAAGTATAGCTGCGGAAAGCATATCTGCGGAAAGCATATCTGTTGGATGCGTATTTGTTGGATGCATATCTGTCAATTCGATGTTTGGTTTGCTGATGCATCGCTTCATCGATCGAATATGATCCCGCTTCCCTGGCTGGTTCAGATGGATTCGGGTGTCGGTGCGATCGTCTGTTCCGGGGGCCTGGTCGTCGGCGAGCGACTCGTCCAAGACAGGAGCCAGGGTCTGGTCCGTTTTGGCCGCTCGATCCGCACTGCTCTCCCCGTCCTGTTTCTCGGATTCGCGCGGCTGTTGCTGACGAGAAGCGTCGACTACGAGGTATGAAATCACTCTGTCGGTCCGCTGAGTATGGAGATTCCATGCAGTCCGATTGGACACGATCCCGGTCCTGCACTCAGCCGTCAACTCGACCCAGCCGGCCAAACCGCCGCAATCGCTGACTATGAACCAACCGACCTGTTTCCTCGTCCTCGGCGCGGCCGAACGATCTGCGATGTGACTTGATGTCCTGTTCGGGCAGGTCAACGTTTCCGAGTACGGCGTCCACTGGAACTTTTTCATGACGCTGGCGTTTATTCCCATCATTGTCTCGGCCTGCTTTGCGATCTTTCCGCGGACACGGCCAGGCTACTTTGGCATTCTACTTGTTGTCGGTATGTTCGGTAGACATCTCCGAGACCGGGCTCTGCACCAAGGCGGGGCATGGGGCACTGGTCGCTCATCCAAGCGCCGTTCTCACACGCCCCTTCCTTGCTCTGGTCGCCAATAACCCCCCTCCAACGCAGTCCACCAAGCGCTACTGAGCTGGAAGTTGGAGGACTATGTGCTCCATGCCCCGCGGACAGATCTGATCAGCATGAACAAGGAAGGCGTGGTCAGCACACTAGGTACGATGCCTTGGCGGCGGTGTGGACACAATGAGGACTTGTCGGGCTGCATATTGTGCTTTGCGGCTTGACATGCATATAGCGACGGCTGGGAGAATGGCTCCTCACCACTGAATCGGTCTTTAGGCTACGCATCAATCTACCTCATCTCGGCCGAGCTCGGCAGGCACTTTCTCACCGCTGGCAATGAGCGACCGCGAGATCAGGTCGTGGGCTTCCTTGTCAAGTCGTCGTTTGCTGCATGGTTTATCCATTACATTCTTACGAGTCATCTGGACATCCAGCCTTCACGAGCCATGGTAAATTTCTCCTCTATCTCTCCATTCGGCGAACGACAGATCGAAACATAGGTGGTTCCCACTGCAGAATGAATCGCATCAGATTGCTCACAATTGTGCCCCCTCTATTCTGCAGGCAAACGGTGCCTATGTGGTTTGGATTATTGCCATGGGTGTGACGCTCTTGCTTGGGATTCAAGTTGCCTTCATTTCGTTTGAGTGGCTGTTCGCCACGCCACCCGCTGTCCCGCTGATTCTGTGCGCCATCAACAAGAACCAACTGACGACATTCCTGCTGGTAACTGCGGTGCATGTGTGGTGCAGCGCACGCAACGGCCGAGGCAGATTGTGGACCGCCTGCTGCTTTGGCTCACTGTTTCGTCCGTACTTTCCTCAACCAGGCCAACATTCTCACTGGCCTGGTGAACCTCAGCTTGGACACCATGAGTGTGCCACCTGTGATGGCGTTTATCATATTGCTCATCTACGTATCCGTGATACTAGCCACCATGGCTGTCTTGCACTCGAGAGGTGTCCGGATCGCGTAGACTGCCAGTTCAGTGATCCGAAGCGTGATGCCAGACCTATCTGGCTCGGTGCCGCATGAGTGATAGATTCGCCGTTTTATTTCGACACAAGCAGCAGCGAGATCTCCAACATTGCTCTGCACTAAAGATGCCCGTCATGGGCCTCTGTCAGCGATAATGGACACCATGACCGAATGAACAGCATGTTGACAATGGGTTTGGGCACGGCAGAGGATCGGGGATAGCAGCGGTATGAAGGCAAAAAGGACGGAAGATGAGCATTTCATGCACAAACGGCTTAGTCGCAATCGCTACCACAGCGCGCACGCAATCAGCCATCAGTGCACAGATAAGTCTCACCTTTGGCGAAGCTATCCTCAACAACACCAAGGTGAATGATGCGGCTGCCAGACTCGCAGACTGGATTGACGCTTTTGCCGACAACAACGCCGTCTTCAGGAGCATAGTACGTTTCGACGAGGTCGCCAAAGAGCGAGTGGAGCTGGGCAATCATCTCGCCCTTGCGAACCCACGTGTAAATCTCGGGCTGCACCGTCAAAACACCGCCCTTGCTGGCAAAGATCCAATACGATCGACTGAGTCCGACAGGGTCGGGTGCGTTAGACTCAGCCCGAGGCGATTGGAGGAGGCCGGTGCAGTTTGTGCCATGATTTTTCCGGAATCAGATAGGGGCACAGGTCGAAACGCCGAGCATTCACTGGGCAATAGAACCCGCCAACATTACCTGCAGACAACCGGATCATACTCTGGTTGATCCACCTCATTGGGAATCATGTTAAGATGGCACAGGATGTTGGTCACTCCGAGAAGGGCATTCTTGACGAAGCGCTTCTGGAACTTGGAAGGGTCGCCAATTTCGACGGTAATGGCGGGAATATCTGCAGAGATCATCATCGGATGTCAGTATTGAAGAGACAGGCCAAAGGAGACAGTCAGATCACTCGCCGGATTCAATGCGCCTCGACCGACTGCGACCCACAGACTCACCGTTGGACATGGCGGCTCCGCGGAGACTGCCATCTGGACTAGTGTTGTGGACAATGATCTGCGGATTCTGGAGTATAGCCATCTTCTTTGTCTTTGGATTGATCATGTCTGCTCGAGCGTAGAGACTGTTGACACGGCCGGCCGAGGCCGTGTGGATATCAAGGAGATAGTCGAACTTTTTGATCAAGCGCTCCATCAGATTGTAAGCATAGACCTGCGGCGACGATCCGTTGGCCTTGCCGGGCATGATCCGATTCAAGTCGGTGCCGTCGCTGAAGCCTCGTTGGTTTCGCACATAGCCCGGAACGTTCGTCACCGTGGCAGCGACGAGGACGCCGTGAAGTTGCTGCGGGTTGATTTCTCTGAAAAGCCTGTGGATCAGGGGGATTCCATTCAACTCGTTTCCGTGCTGCATATGCCAGGAGGGCGAGGCAAGTGGAATGGACGCAACGATGGGAGACATGGGGCGGGAGGTGTGGGGAGGACATGTGAACATATAAATGAAGGGCACATTCGTATCCAGAGTGAGGGACCCATTCGTATCCAGAGTGAGGGACACAGGCATGCAAAACGTGAAAGGCATCAGCACATCGACGACAGCCGCATCATGTTGTGCCGAATCGTATGACAGCGAGCTCGGTCTGTTCTTACCAAAGCGGCCGTCATGCCAACCGTGGGGCCGTACTTGACGCCCTTGGCCACAATCACCGGGATTCGGATCAGGCTTCCGGTCCCATCCTCGTATACAGCCAGCCACAGCTTGGAGATTTGTCCGCCCGGAAGGGCGTCCAGGTCGAGCTTGGTGACAGTCGGAACATTGCCTTGGTCGGCAACGGGAAGGGCTTCGGTTGGCGTCAGAGCCATTTCGGGGACCGATTTGCGGAGCTCCTTTTTGGCCTTTGCCAGCAGCACCTGATCCAGCTCCGAGTTGGAAAAGAAGCGATAGGCCTTGATGACTGTCCACACATTCGAGACGTTGCCGTGTTCAATGTACTTTTGGAATTTCTGGAGCATCACAGTTTGAAACCGCCATCGGAAAGTAGCCGAGGTTTGTCAGGTCGCGGATCGCCAGCAACGGACGCTGCTTGGCCCGGCTGCGAGCACCATAGGAGTAGCCGCCGGTGCAGGCACCCATCGGCTTATGCAAGGGCTCACCTTGATGATTTTCTTGAATGCGACGATGTTGACCTCGCTGTACTCAAACAGCATCTCCAGGTTGGCAATTAGGTCCTCGATGTCCTTGAGCCTGGCTCGGACACGTGCAGGTATAATCGAGAGCAGAGAGACAGCCCGCAAGCAAGAGTCAGCCCAGTGCAGCAAATGCATGGCATACCCCACAGACCCAGTCGTGGCAAGGAAGGCATTCCACCCCAGTGTTTGTTGGCAGCCCGATGGCCCGGGATATTCCCTGTCGGACGAATGCCGGAGTGCATGAGGTCCTATGTGAAGGCGATGCGTACCAAACCTCGCGATTGACTTGTGGACTCTTTCCCTGGATGGATTTGGGTCAAGAACGATTGAGGCATCAAGCAAAGAACATGAGCGCAAGAGCCGGCGGAGTATATGCAGAACAGCACCCATGTGGTCGTTTCTGAGCGTCAACGACCGACACTGGCCGGACGAATCAGCCCAGGGCGAGGACACTTACACGGGCAACCAGCTCGGCCAGGCGGGCTCGTCCCTCGGTTTCCTTGATGACATACCATCCTTCGACCTTATCGGCCTCGACCTTCAGGAGTTCCGAGAATGTGTTTGTGAACTCGTCGATAGCGGCCATGTTGGGTGGCGGAGTGGGCTTGCGCTCGGCAGCGGGAACATCGGTATGGGACTCTGCCAATCATTGGAGAGGGGTGAGGCAAGCACGATGCCTACGAACCGGCCTCGAGTCCATGCTGCCGAATGGGCGGCACTTGTCCGGCTGTCGTCTGCAGCGTCAGCCACTCACTTGGATCGGTGCTGTCGCCGACACGGAAGGACTTGAGAGTGCCCTTGAGCGACTTGTAATCGACATAGTGGTCGTACCAGAGCGGCGAGGCTCGGAGCAGCAGCTGTTTCGAGAACTTCATTGCTTGCGTAGATGTGCCGAGTCCCGAGAGCGCGGAGCGACGTTGCGGATGGAGATGCAAGCGAAGCGGAGGCCTGAGCGCCGGGCGGATTGCTGGCATGGCCATCTGCCACCGGCCTGGGGTCAGCCGCGGCTCTGCAATTGGCACATCCTATTCCTGGATGCCGCGCCTGATGCCGCAGCCTGGCGCCGGGAATAGTGTGTGTCTGGCGACAGCCGGCGCATCCGAATGCTATTGTTGGGTCCTGGGCTTGTATTTGGGTCCCGGACGAGCTTGGGCACCTTGACAACGAGGGTAACGACCAATTCTGTCGGAGGACATTTGCGAGGTGGCGGACTTGCCAGTGGGGGTGCTGCCGCGCAGGGCGGCAAAGAGCGCCATCGAAAGAACATTTGCGTAGGGGCCCAACGAGAGAGGCTCTATCCAGCGCATATGGAGATCCTCCTTGGGACCGCCGATCCGCCGCATCGGTCTGCCCAGCACCAACACAAATCCCACGTCGTATCCCACGTCGTATCCCACGTCGTATCCCACGTCGTATCCCACACCGCATCCAACACCGCCACCACCAACACCGCCAAGACCCGCATCGGCGGACCAATCAGCAGCGGCGTCTTCGCGCCCTTGCCCTTCCGTGCTCGTTCCGTGTCAGCAAGGCGGCTGTGTCACGGCCTGTGGCCCGCCCAAACCGGCGCTTGCGCCCCCGCACTCCCTGATTCCGTCCTCATCCGGCCTCCCTTCCATCCATCCATCCATCCCGCCCCCGCCCCAAGAACCCCTCAACGGGCCATTCTGCGTCATGTCCACCGGCCTGGTCCAGCGTCGAAGAGGAGGAGGAGGAGGAGGAGATTCTGGAGATAACCAGGATTTTGACATCCCCTCCGCCTCCGTCCGGAAGCAGAGCTTCGAAACCCCCCCTGCAGCAGGCGCTGACAGGTCCACAACTGCTGCAAGCTATGACGAGGACAATGGCAAAGGCGCCAAGCTCGACAAGAACAAGCTGACGCTTATGGAGGAGGTTCTGCTTCTGGGACTGAAGGACTCTCAAGTGAGTCTGCGGTGCGCTTTCTGGTGGCTCGGTGTTTCGATCAAGACAATGTCCGCTCGATCCACAGCCACGAACGCTTTCTGGCCAAGCCTGTGTTCTTGGCGACAACCCCCAAAGTCTGGATCGATCGTGCTTGATCCTTAAGGGCCGTCGATTTGCTTCTTGCTCATCCTGCTGCTCATGTTTCCGGCTGTTGTTGTCGGAGCCGTGCGTCCTCTGGGCGCCTCTGGGCGCCTCTGATATCCTTGCCTGGGCGCTGGCCGCGGATGTTGCATTCCAAACGGCGCTGACCCCCAGTACCCATTCTGTTGCGCTGGCTCGCCAGGGATATCTGTCGTTCTGGAATGACAACATATCATATGTCTTGCGAGGCGCCATCCTGATGGAGCTCTCCTTCCGAGGTCGCATTGGCACTATAAAGGATATTCGCAAGCGCCCCTTTGTCGAACGCCTCGTCGAGGTCGTGGATGATCGAAGCACTGGCGAGGTCTTGTTGGACGAGGCTGTGAGGATTATGAAGCAAGACAAGCAAAGCGTTGGCAACTGGATCGACTTGATGAGTGGTGCGTACATTGTGCTGATCTACTGTCGCAGCCCGGCGACAACTGCACAGTAGGCCGCACGAAGGACCTGGCGCTGCAGCTCGCGGGTCGTCGTTCGACATATCATCCTCACGACCCATAATCCTCACCGCCTGTGTGCTCGCATCCAGGCGAAACGTGGAATCTCATGAAGATCGGATTTCAGCTCAAGCAGGTTCGCGAACGTATTGCCAAGGGTTTGGTCGACAAAGGTGTCTTGCGAACCGAGAAACGAAACTTTGTTCTCTTCGATATGGCCACACATCCCGTTGCCGACCACAGCGCCAAGGAAATCCTGATCAAGAGAATCGTCGATGCTTTGCTTGGCCGTGGCCCCATCCCGGACAGAAGGACAATCGCCTTGGTTTGCGCCGCCTATGCTGCCAATGTTCTCGAGAACGCCCTGGTTGGATTGAGCCATTCGCAGCGAGAGGTTGCGTACGAAAAGGTCGACGAGATCATCCTGGAGCACGCCTCGCTGACGGACAAAGCCAAGAGCATGGGGACAACAGAGATCATGGCTGGAGTGCTATCAGTGTACCAAAAGATGGACTCGATCTTGTAGTGCCTTTCCCGCACCTGGTTTTGGCTTCCGCGCTCGACCGTCTCTGGCTCTTTCTCTCCATCTCCCTGCCCTAATACGAAGCACCTGCCCGTTTCACAATCTGTACAAAGTGCAATTGAATGAAATCAAATGGAGTGATGCCAAAGCTGGAGGCTGGCTGTCGCTATTGCGTCGCGACCACAGCTTGTTCAGAAGGAAACGAGATAGTGGTGTCCCTGAGCGCCCTTCAGATCAGCTGCCGGATAGGATGATTTCTCGACGCCCAGATAGGTCGGGTCGCACGGGCCGCCCGCTGTGACTTTTTGGTCTGTTGGTGGTGAAACTGCTAGATCCGCCGGTTTACTCTTCTTTGGCAGCCATAGACCGAAGTACCGCTGCGTTCGCTTGCCCCGTTTCGTCGACCAGCCTGGAAAACTCAGAAGCCTTGTTCTGCAGCAGCACTCGCGGCGAGTCGTATTCGACCACGTTGCCAGTATCGAGCACCAGAATCTTGTCATAATCGACGATGGTGTTCAGGCGATGCGCGATCGTGAGTACCGTCGAGCCTCGGAAGTCTTCTCGGAGTGACGATTGAATGAGCTGCGCAAGGTGTATGTCTGTTAACATCGATTGGGCTGCAAGCCAAGAATCTCGAAATTCTCATGCCTGCGGCAGGGGCTTGGTACATCCATCCTCGCACATCTTCGCCGACAGGGGCCATTGTCGATGCAATACGCACGATATACTGGTCCTCTTACAGCCTGCGCGAATGGCTTACCTTGTCGGTTTCAAAGTCCACATTGGCAGTGCACTCATCCAGAATAATCACCCGAGGCCGGCGCAGCATTGCTCGAGCAAGGCACATCAATTGACGCTGTCCGACGCTGAGGTTCTCGCCCAGACTGGCCACTGTGGCGTCAAGTTTGCCGTCCATGGCCGTAACGGCAGCTTTCAGGCCGGAACGAGCCAAGACATCCCATAGGTCGCTGTCGCTGTGCTCCGAGAACGGGTCGAGATTCGTCCGGATTGACCCTGAGAACAGAATGGGGTCCTGGGGTATGATTGTGATCCGGGATCGAAGATCGCGCAGCGATAGCTGGCAAATATCGATGCCATCGATCAAGATGCGTCCTCCACACGGATTCACCATCCGGAAGAGCACAAACATGAGCGACGACTTGCCCGATCCGGTTCTTCCAACCTGGGGGAATATGCGATGCAGTACCCGGTGATCAGTACTCTTCAGACAAACCAATGGAGTTGCCATGGCTGCACATCCAGCTGAGCCTCTGGAGCAACCAACGCAAGCATTGCATTCGCTGGCAACACAATTTCGTTGGGACAGGTTGATCTCACGGCAATCTGAGGACGTCATCCAAAGCGTTGTGCATTACATACCACCCCAATCTTGGCCCTGGGCAGAATGTCGATGCTGACGGCATTGAGAACAAGAGGCATATCGGGCTGATATCTCATCTCGACGCCTTCGAAAGTGATCGAGCCGTTGCTTGGCCAGTTGTCTGGTGGATGCACTGTGGCAGCATCATCTTCGATAACGAGTTGTGAGGAATAGTATTCAAGGCGCTCGACTGCATTGAGCTGCATCTCGAGATCGGTGAATGTTCGCATGCACTGGTTGAGCTGCATGTTGACTTGCAGGCAGTACGAAAGCATGAGACCAATGACGGCTGAAGAAATGGTTGTCTAAAGAGACGGCGACAAAACATTAGTGATAGTGCCGATGGCGATGTCAAGAACGATAGATGGGGGGGGGTACAGAGAGCGAAGGAGGTACGAGGCAGGAGGAAGACGATGCCCACCGCGCCAACACCGCCAAAGCCACCAACACCACCTACTCGGAATATAACGGCATAGATAGACACGACAAGGATCAGGATCGATCCAATCAGATCGAGGCGGATCGACATCCATCGTTGGCCATGGAAGATCAGAAATTGCGGCTCGTTGTTGCTGTCGATAAGCGTGTGAGCCTTGGCTTGGAAACGGTCTTGCTGGTTGTAGGCCCGGATGGTGGTCATCCCCGAGAGCGTCATGGTAAAGTGGGCAAAGAGCGGGCTCTTGGAAATGCTCTCCATGCGTTTGAGCTGAATCGAGGACGTTCGGTAGAGCTTCTGGATGTAGTAATATAGGCCAGCCATAGGTGCCATCACCAGAATCAGCCAGCCCTGGGTCGAGACGCCAATTGTGATCAAGGTTGACAGGAGAGTGGCGACAGAGAGGGCGAAGCCGCTCGATACCTTGATCAAGGAGTTGTCCACAATATCTTGGTCGCGCGAAAGTCGGTTGACGATGCGACCCAACGGCGTGGTGTCGAAAAACGAAATCGGAGACTTCAAAACCCGGGTAAGGGCCCATTCGTGCATGGTTCGGGCAGCACGGACGCCACCCATGACGCAGAGATAGTAGTACACCAACGTGACGGCCGAGGCCGTTAGCCCCAGGGCGACATATATCCCAATGTAGCCATTTTGGGAGAGCGAGGGAAGCAGCATCGACGACCAAATCACAAGCCAGTAGTCGGTCGAGACGCGAAGGCCTTGAGTGAATATCAGCGTGACAATGATGGCGCCAAAGAAGTAAGGATGGCCCATTGCTGAAAAGTACTTTTTGAGGACAATGCGGCCGATGCCTCCAGTCATGCGTTCCTCCTCTTGGATCAGCTTCCGGCCGGATTTTTCCTCAGGCTCGTCGGTACGGTCGTCGATCTCAAGTTCTTTTCCTTCCTGCTTCTTGGACTCGGTTTGCTCCGATGGTGTCTCATGAACGCCGCCGTACTCCTTCATCAAGCCGGCCAGGACGCTGCTTTGGGACATGAGCTCTTGGAACGACCCTTGTTCGGCGATACGCCCTTGCTGCATGATGATGATGTAATCGCACTGCGGCAGACAATGGAGCTGATGTGTGACGAGCACCCGGGTCTTGCCGCCGAGCGCCTTAAGAATGAGGTTGTCGAAGATGTGTCGGCCGACGTGGGCGTCGACGGCTGAGAGCGGGTCGTCAAGCAAAACAATGTCGGCGTCGCTGTAAGCTAGTCGGGCAAGCGAGATCCGCTGCTTTTGTCCTCCGCTCAGATTGATGCCCTTTTCACCCACTTCGGTTTGATCGCCGCCGGGCAGGATCTCAAAGTCCCGCGTGAGTGCACAGGCTTGGACGCAGCGGGCATACTTTTCCCGGTCCATCTGCTTGCCAAACAGAATGTTTTCCTCAATGGTTGCGTTCATGATCCAGGCTTGCTGTGGACAGAGTCCGACGGATCCCGAGAACGTGACCGAGCCGCTGCGATATTGCATATCTCCAACCAAAGCACTGAGCAGGGAGGATTTGCCTGACCCAACCGGTCCAACAACGGCACACAGCGAGCCGCGCTTCAGCTGGATATTGACCGAAGACAGTCGCCCCTGGGTCTCAGGGGCCGCAATGGCATCGGATTCAGAGTCTGCGTGCTCTCCAGCCATCTCGGGCTCGTGATCCTTTCGATCAAAAGTTTCGCTTTCCAAGGCTTTGGCGGGGACGGCTTGCTTCTTCGGGAAGGCAAAGCGAAGCCGGGACTTGTTGTTGGCGGGCAGTGGAGTCGCCGGCTCAGCGTAAGGTGGGCACCAGACAAATTCACCGCGGTCGATGGAGACCGAAGGCTCCATGGCTTTGTCTACAGTGGGCTCGAAATCGATTTCGGGAGCCTCGAGGAACTCTTGAAGTCGATCGATGGCGACTTTGGCATCAGCAAAGGACCTGGATCATAGACATACATGTAAGCATGCGTTTGAGGGGCAAAGTGGACACGGCACAGTTGGCCAGGTGAAAGTTGCATCTGATTGCCGCTCAAACGACTGGGATGGTTGGCTTGTGATTCAGGTACATACGAAAAGATCATTGGGAAGATGAAGGCGGGAATGCGCAGAGCATTGAAGAGCGACAAGGCCGAGAAGATCTGCAAGGCATGTCAATGTCTCGTGAGCAGCGTGCCGAGTCCATTTTGGTGCTCGGCAAGTTTGCATGCTGAGGCAGCGGTGGTGTACAAAACGTGATGGGCGGATGCAGATTCAAAGCGATAGCCCATTTGGCTCCGCACCCCCCCCTATAACTGACCGTCGAAGCGTTGAAGGAATCGGTGGTCAGGGAATACACAACGAATGTGACGATACTTGCAGTGACTGGAACGACAAAGCCAATGGTGCTATTGACCCCTTCGATCATGCTGAGGCACACGATGGGGGGGGAAGGCAGAGCCAAGTAAGTATAGCGCGCAGTGGCAGCGTTGCTGTGGGATAGTAGCAGCGAACTGAGCTCTGCTGATGTGACCCCAGAGAACATAGCACTCGAGAGTAAGGCGAAAGCGACCAAAAACATCCAGAGCACAGACCGAATATCGCACATGCTCGACGCAAATACACCGCGTGCAGCGGCACCGTACATACTTGACCGATGCCACCTTTTTCAGCTCGGCGGAACGCTGCGAAAAGATTCGCTCAAGGAAAGTGGGCTCCCAGTGGAAGAATTTGACAACGCGAATGCCTTGTAGAATCTCTTGGGTGAGCTTGACTCGTTTATCGGTTATTTCAACCAGATCCTTGCGATACCTCATCCGAAGGGTGGTGATGAAGGCCTGGATCGGACCCAACAGGAAAATAATGACGACACCGGCTAGAGCCGATGGGCTGGATAGCGGAAAAAAAAAGGAGAGCAAGAGATATTGGAACTGCAATGTTAGCTGGCTACTCAGTCGCGGAGCTTGAGAAAGGGCGGGCCGGAGCAGTTCGAGTGGCAAAGTTAAGGAGAGGAATATGAAAACCACTTTGTGCTTGACAGCGTACCCGAGAAGAGCGAGCAGGATGCCGATGTTGGTCAGGATATTAACGGGCATGCACCAGAGATCATGGAACCAGCTGAAGAAGAGCTCGACACGGGCCACATCGGTGGCCAAGATTGTTGCAATTTTGCCAGAGTCGTATTTCTGTTGGTGGCGAGTCGATATGTCGAGGGCAAAGGCAGGAACGGGTCAGGTGTGATGAAGCAGGGGGCTGTCGAGTCGTCGAAATCCCGCAGGAGCAATCCAGGTCGACATCGCGATATCTACCTGACGAGCCTCCGGAGAGAGACGCATACTCTTGTGGAAGACGGCGCTGGAGAGCACGGAGCGGGCGGCCATACCCGTGACGGTGATTTGTGCAAAGTACCAGTTGAGGGTCAGGCTCGTCAAGATAGGAACAAGAAACATCCCAAAAGCAAGAAGCACGCCAGTCCCGGCTGGGGGAGGACTGCCTGTTTGGCTCGAGACCACAAAGTTGACCAGGGCCTGGAGAACCAAGGGGCTGTGAACAGAGAAGGCATGGGCGACAGGAGCGGCCGGGAGTTAAGCCAACGCATCGGCACGGGGTACTCCTGAGAAGCGAGTGCTTGAGACAGCGATGACAACATCGGCCATTGCTCACGAGGGAAAGGGAGGCAGATGCGGGCGAGGAACTAAGGTGGCAACGCAGACCTGATCAGGATTGAGTTGTCGCAAATCCAACAGAGAATGCCCACAGGATAGAGCCGGCGACCAAACAGCTTGTGCAGCGTCCAGACGACGCTCGGCGGCTTGATCTTTGTTGGCTTGACCCATGGAAAAGTCTTGAATGGGAAAGGGCGCTGCTGGTCGTATGCATTTTGCTGCTCACTCCATATACGCTCAAACTTGGCATAAAGCTGAGGGCCAATACAGGTCGTTGAAGGGGTGGAGGTGGCGGAGGGGCACGGTTGGTGATGAGGCTTGGGAGAATAATCGAACAAAGCGCCAAGCAGGGCAGAGTGGCGGCCAAAGGCGAGGGGGAAGGAAGGAGGCAAAGACGAACCCACCTCGGCAGAGCGGATATCCTTGGGGAGCAGATGCAGATCGTCGAAGGACAGAGGGCGCTTCTTGCCAGTCATGAAGACGCCGTCCATCCAAAACCATAGCAGCTTGGAGAGCAGATTGGCCTGCTCCCACTTGGAGGGCTGCTTAGCACGGAGTTGAGCCATTGGAAGGGTCCAGGAACAGCGCTTTGGAATAGATGAGGCTGCAGACCGCGAAGGAGGACGTTGGTACGGCTTGGGCGGGGAGCGGACAGCAGGCAGCGAAAGGTTTTATACCTGCCCAACCGACCCATGATCCAAGGGAGCAACGCTACAGGGCGACAAGCAAATCGGGCTGGGTCGCGCGGGTTGCGCAAGATCCACGACGGAGCAGGCAGTGCAGACACGAGCACTGCTTCCGTGGACATGGGGGACGGCAGCCACATGCCAGATCGATGGTCATGGACACGCCCATGACAAACACGGCCACGGCGCCACCACATGGATGCTGCCGTGGGCCAGCTGGATCGAATGGGTCGGCTAGGTGGATCGAATGGGCTCGTCGAATCACGTGCGTGGCGCCTGTTGTGGAACGGCCATGCCGCTCAGCCACGCTCAGCCATCGATCTGGGAACAATCCTGCACCGATCTCACATCATGCCCAGCCCCGATGGTGACCTAGCGGAAATGCCCTTCTCGGACTCGGCTGATCTGCCGGCGCAGATCCCGAATCTCGAAAACCCAATACCGTACACCTTAGGTACGCACCAACTCGCACTGGCCTGTCGGCGCTTCATTTACACCGCCCGCAACCACAGCTGCAACCCATCGCCGGTCGCAATCGTAGCTGTGCAGTCGCACGCTTGTTCTGGTGCTGATCATGTCTCTTTGGCTCCAGTCAACAGCCGTCCGCTCGACAACACCCAATTTATTGCGCCGTACGTGCCTTGCTCGCTGCAGGTTGTGCAGGCTGTCCTGAGATTCGCAAACATCCAGAGTAGCGATGTCCTTGTCGATCTGGGTAAGCCTTATTGTCTTGCAGTTGGCGGATCCGCTTCTCTGTTCTTGGATCTGAATCGAGCTCGCTCAACGCCTCGCTCTTCCGCCTCGTTCAGGATGCGGAGATGGGCGAATCCTCTTTGCCGCCCACGAGTCCGATCGGCCGCCGGCATTCAGTGTCGGAATTGAACTCGATCCCTATCTCGTCAAGCACGCCAAAGAGAAGGCGCTGCAGCTCGAGCGCCAAGAACGCATCGCTTTCATCGAGCAGGATATGTTCACCGTCAACCTGGATCAGCTCGAGCTCGACAGTGGTCAATGCACTGCTACCGTCCTGATTCTCTACCTCCTCCCAACGGGTCTCGACAAGCTCAAGCCGCAACTCCATCGATGGCTTAACGGAGGGCCCCTGCCAACCTCTGGCGATGCGGACTGCCATTTGAGCAGCACTCCTCCAAAGCTGACTCGATCGTGGTCGGAATCGTCGTGGTTGCTGTTCTCCAAGCTCTGCCGCTCGGTATCACTGGCCCTCCGATCCAATGAAGTTCGAGAATCCAGTTGCTCCCCGAACCGCCGAATTATCACCATCACTTACTCTATTCCAGGCTGGGAGCCCAGCGAAGCTGTCGAAGCCAAGGCAGCCGCCACTAATACTGCCGGAGGTACCCACGGCTGGAACGTCAACCACTGGTTGTTTCGCTATGACAAGACCAGCGTGGCCTCGACTCAATGACCGAATGTCTCGCGCATAACCAACCGTCACCCGAGACTGTTGGTCACGCATCCGGCGAAAGGCTTGATGCCTAGAGATGGAGGCTTATTTATGTATCTTGATTTTCAGTCGAATTCGCTGCAATCATAAATTCTTTGGCCGAGGCCACGATTATGCTGGTTGAGGCCGGTGAACCAACAATCCGGCGTGATTGACGGCCGCAAGCCCTGAGTACCGATCCCGGCAACCGGGGGTCTATCAAAGTCCAGTGATGGGGGAATGTGGCCGAACGGGGAGAGCGGAGCACCTCATCGGGCTTGGAAGAGCATCGCATGCACTTTGGTGGTGATTCCCCTGAGCAGGCGGACTCATGACGAGTGCGACTGAAACCAGGACGAGCTCAGGGTGACATGCTCATCACGTGATTTCAGACCGAGGAGCGAGAGCGCGGCGAGAGCGCCGTCTTCTCGTCTCCTGCATTTCGCCACCCAAGCCCAAGCCCAAACGCAGCCGGTGCTGGCCAGGCTTGATCTCCCAGCCGGCTCCACAGCACTCGACCCCGGCTCTCGGCCTCAACGGTACACCATGAGTGGAAGCACCACTAGTCTGCTGCGGCGGCACTCGATGTACGGCACAGAAGATCGAATCGTGCTGGATCTGGGCTCTCGATATCTCAAGTGCGGCTTCTCGGGAGAATCCAAGCCGAGACATGTTCTGCCTGTTGCCATTCCAGTCTTCTCTCAAGACGGCTCTCGGTCGGGAAAGAAGGTGGGAGTGGACAATGAAGCTACAGCTGGCTAACGAAAGATAGGGGGCGGGGTTGACCTTGACGCCAACCCGTTGAGCAAACCTGACAGACGCTCGTTTTGGCGGTAATACTTGCCGACCCGGGCCCGTTCGCCACTCGGGCGACATATTCACATAACCATCTCGTTGTAGATGGTGACGCTGTTTCAGCTCGAGAGCGACCCCGCAGTGCTCGAGTCCATTCGAAATGTCCTCTCGGACCTCTTTTACCAAACGTTTCATCAGTAAGCGAGCTGTGATTTGAAGCGACGAGGTGGCGCGGCGCTTGGGAATGATGGATAACAATCGCCATCATCCATTATCTCTTGAAATGAAATCGTTGGTTACCATGTCCCTCTTACATTATTACGTCGGCTCAAACACGGCTTTAGATACCTGCTGACAGATCCCAAGCAAAGGAGTGTCATCATTTGCGAAAACTTGTTGATGCCTATTGCGATTAAGAAATTGATCTGTGACGTGCTCTTCAACGAACTGGAGGTATCTTTATACGCAGTGCCTGCACTAGCTGATGCATGGTGACATGGGGTATCGTTGGAAATGATTTGGAGGAGATGTACAAAAGTCGATATCTGTGCACCGCCACTGGTTAGGGCGCCTGGCAGCCAGAAATGTACTAACTCGCTGCCGGTGTGGTTTGGCTTCAGGTTCCATCAATATCATTTGTGCCGTCACACGTTCTTGCGCTCTTGGCTTGCGGAAAAACAACAGGACTGGTGGTGGATATTGGTCACCTGGAGCTTTCGGTACTCCCGGTATGGTGACATGGGTTTCTATGAATCCATCAAGTGTCGATTGCTGAAGGCTCCTATCGCAATCCTTTCATACAGCGATAGCCTCTGCCGCCTGTCACCAACCATGGACTCGTCGCTATTGTGTCGGCCACTGCGACAACCTCAAACCATCCATGCTCACGAGAACGTTCTTGCTCTTCCCGGCCATATAGATATACGATGGACGGCCACTGCTCCGGCAAATGAAAACACTTCCAATTGCAGGCCACTCGGTCACAACAAGACTGAAACTACTACTCAAGAACCATGGCAAGGTGCTGCAAGATGGGGTGGACATGGTCCCAATCGAGGACAGCTTCGTAGAGAAACTGAGCAACGAGTTTTACGAGAATTTGAAGGCGCAGGTCTGCTTTGTGGGAGCCTTTCCCACATTTGAGGACGTGTCTTTTGAGAACCGCGAGGCAGCATTTCCATATCGCGAGAAGCTCTACGAGTACACCGTCTACAAGAGCGAAACGCGGCCCGTCCATGTCACCGTTGACTCGAACGACAAGCTCTGGGTGCCCGGCTGGGTGCGTGAGCGTAGCGCCGAAGTACTATTTGAAGGTGACGACGACGGTGTGTCAGTTGCCAACGTGATTCTGGAGGCCATCATACAGGTACGAGAGGATTTTGGCAACATTCTGGGTGTGTAGGAATCGATTCGACTTCCTAGTTTGGGCACCACCATGAAGAGACTAGAGCAGTTAGTGCCAAAAGCGTGGTGGAGCAGTCGCATCCATGACTACCCACACGATCAAGGGCACAGACTAATGCGTATGCATAACTACCAGTGTCCCCGGGACATTCGCATGGACCTCTATCGCAATGTGCTCTTGATTGGAGGAACCTCGATGTTGCCAGGGTTCCATCAACGATTGCAGGAGCACATCTACCGCCTACTGGAGGAAAGCCCACGTTACAATTGGAATCGCAGATCACAGGCCAACTGGTCCATCATCAAAACGATTTTCAAGGCCAACTGCCTGGCCTGGACAGGTGGATCGCTGATGGGCGTGATGAAATGGACAGGCCGAGGAGAGCTAAAGCGGGAGAACTATGAAAGAAATGGCGAGATCCCCGATTGGAGCTGTCTTTCAACCGAAGAATAGCACGAGAGGCTTTGAAACGACATGTTGGTTGGCGACAAGGTGGGCGTATTGAATTTAGGATTTCAAGATCACACTCTGATTGTTTGCAAAGTATGGTTGGCATTTGGGGTTGGCTGTTGCCACAACGAAAGGGGGGGACAAACGAGGAAGCGAGAGCGGGAAACTGGCGGGAAACGGGACAGACAAGCGACTGGAAGGCGACGGTGAGCACGGGCGGACTGGAAGGCGAGTTGACCAGAATGCTCCACTTGCTGCGCCCTGCCAAACATGAGGGCATCACCATTGATATATCGTGGGAACTAAGTTAATCATGGTGGGCCGGCGGGTGAACTTGCTCGCTCGCGTGCGCGCCCCGACCATCGCAACATGTGGCAATTGGGCCGAGTCGTCACATCATCCTAACCATAAACTACTTTCGAGACCGGGTGAGAGACTTGGCCTGTCCGGGTATCGCTGATGGAGCTGTTGCACCATGTGCGGGACTCTCTTCAGATTTTCGAGAGATTCCCAGGCGGACTTCAATATTGGGTACGCCTTCCAGGTAACCAAGTACAGGATCACACACGGGACTTTTGCGAGGATAAATTCCTTCGACTTTATGCTCGATGTGTCTTTCAGCTTTGGTTGAGGAAGGGGGTGGAGGGATACGATGAGGGATGCGTGAGGTCACGCGATGTCGAGCAGCAAACATGAAATACCTAAAAGATCCGATAGTGGGGTGTGGGCTCAAACTCACAAGCAACTTTATGGACCATTCTCTTGACCATTTATGAAACGAATGGGTTCGGAGTCCAGCTTGTCATGGGGGGAGTGGCCTTGATATTGAGGCGGCGCAAACTGTCACGGACGAGCAATGACTTGGGTGGGTAGGACGGCAGGCGAGCAGGGACCGAAGACGGATACAGGCCGAGGGTTTTGAACACTCAGGATGGAAGCGAGGCGGAGGCAGAGTGAGAGAAGTTGCTCGTTAATTGAGAGATGCGACAGATTGTCACAGATCGCTCTGCCCGCCTAGCTGCACCGTCGCACTTGTGTCACTGTTTGCGTCGCACACTTTCCTTTTCCTTTGTCCTGTGACGCCTTTCCTTTTTCCTTGCTCTCATGTTGCACACGCCGCTCTGTTTTCCCTGCATTTGTCATCGACCATGCATTAGTCAGACGCTGTGTCACCCGCATTTGTCAGCCACCGAGCATTTGTCAGACTTTCACATGTTTCTCCGGTTAGCCGTTGCTGCCTGGCTGCTGTCCCGCCGCCTCCGCTGCTTCGCCCCCGCTGCGGCAGGCTTCGCCTCCGGGACCGCCAGACAGATAAATAGCCCGCCTTCACCCGCTCATGTTTCTGGTCATCACCTTCGACCCCAGACACACTTGACTCTAGATCCTAGCCTCGCTAAGATCAATAAAACCCTTCTCTATCTTTTTCTTTTGATCTCCTCTTGATCCCGTGATCTGACATGGTAGCATCGGACGATCCCGCCGTCAATGCCTGTCTCCAGGCCCTTGAACAACTATCGCTCGAGGACCGCGCCCTGGTCCTCTCCGCCCTGACTGCCCAGCCGAATCTCCCCACGGTCCCTCCCGGTTTCAAGCGTCCCAAGATCCCGCTCCCCGACGCCTTCACTGGCGAGCGTAAGGCTGCTGTCGTTGACGAGTTTGTCTTCTCAATGACCGAGTACATTGCCTTCCACAGTCTCGATGACGCCACCGCTGTCGCCACCGTCGCCATGAACCTCAAGGGCAAGGCCAAGACCTGGTGGCGCCTCTGGTCCCAGGGCAAGCAACTCGACAACCTGACCCCGGCCGCCGTCCTGTCCCTCGTCCGCGACACCTTCCTTCCGTCCACCTCGCTGCGCACCACCGAGGATGAGTTCGAAGCACTGCGCCACACCGGCTCCGTCGAGCAGTTCAACTCTCGCTTCCGCGATCTCCTCCTCGAGCTGCCCCACTTCAGCAACAACCGCCAGAACCTGCAGCGCTACCTCACCAAGCTCAAGCACAGGGTGCGCATCGAAGTCGAATGGAAGCTTGACTCCAACACAGCCACCCTCGAAGATGCCATGGCCCTCGCCGAGCGATACGAGTCCATTATGGGTCAATCGCAACCCCTGATGCAGCAGCCCGCTCGCACTCAGTTCCGCGATCAACCCTTCCGCGAGCTCCAGTTCCAGCGACCTCCTCTCTTCCGCGCTCCACCTGGTCAGCCGCAGTTCCGCCCAATGGTCCGTCCTCCTCGTCCCGCCTTCCAGCCGACCCAGCCTCCCGCACGTGACCCCAACGCCATGGACCTCGACAACGTCGACATGCGCCCGATCAAGAAGCTCACCGACCGCGAGAAGGAGTACCTCCGCCGTAACGGAGGCTGCTTCCGCTGCCGCAAGTTCGGCCACATCGCCTCGCAGTGTCCCTTGAACCAGCCCCGCATCAACGCCATCGTCGAGACCGCCGACCAGGCCACCTTCTACGAAGATCAGGGAAACGACGAGGCGGCAACCCCTGGATACTACGACCTCTGAAGGACCCGGCGAGTTGCCGCCATCCGACTCCGACCCCCGACGCTGAACTATTGACTCTCGCCACCGGACCTCACCTGATCAACTCTCTCATCGACGAACCCCACCGCATTGCCGCCAACCACGGCAAGGGACTGCTTGTGATCGACGCCACCCTCAACGGCTCCCCGATCACCGTCCTCATCGACCCTGGTGCGACCAACTCGCACATCTCCGAGACCCTCGCCTCGACCCTCGACCTTCGAACCAAGACCACCGCCAACGCCGTCACGATGCCCAACGGCAAGTCCTTCCCGTCCTCCGTCACCGATCCCGTCGACCTCACCATCCACGACTACCACGCCCGCATCAACCTCTTCACCGCGCCACTCACCTGGGACGTTATCCTCGGCAAGAACTGGCTCGACCAGACCAACCCCGAGATCGACTGGCCCTCCAACCGAATCAAGTTCTCGATCGACGGGAAGCACCACACTTGGACGGCATCGCGACCCGACACCGGAATGCCACTCACGACCCTCGAACTCCGATCCCAGTACCACATGTCGACCCAGCAGATCAACGCACTGGCTTCGACTCCCGGCGCCGTGTATGTTTGTACTCTGAGCAGTGACTTGAATACAGTTGCTGTTGAACCCTACGACCCCGTTGCCCAACTTGCCCGTGTCCTCGAACCACTGACCCCCGAACACCGATCCATCATCGCAAAGTACCGCGATGCCTTCAACGAACTCAAGGAACTCCCGCCTCACCGACCCGGCATCGACATGAACATCCGACTCGACGACTCTGCCAAGCCAACCTGGTCGTCGCTCTACCAAATGTCGGCCGAAGAACTCGCTCGTCTCAAAGACGAACTCGACCGATTGCTCCGGATCGGCCACATCCGCAAGTCCGTCTCGCCCTTCGGCGCACCGATCTTCTGGGTCAAGCAGGGCGACAAGTTCCGACTCGTCTTTGACTTCCGCGCCCTCAACAAGATCACCGTCAAGGACCGCACCGCGCTGCCCAACATGCGCGAGATCATCGACCGCCTGTCCAAGTGCCGTGTCTTCTCCAAGCTCGACTTGCAACGCGGATTCCACCAGATCCGCATTGCCGACGCCGACACCCCCAAGACGGCCTTCAGGACCAAGTACGGCCACTTTGAGTGGCTTGTGATGCCCTTCGGCCTCGCCAACAGTCCCTCCGTGTTCCAAGCCGCGATGAACGACATCTTCCGCGAGTTCATCGACGACTTTGTGTTCGTCTACATCGACGACATCCTGATCGCATCCGAGGACGAGGACCAGCACATCCGCCACATCGAACTGGTCCTCGACAAGATCCACCGACACGGCTTCAAGATCCGACCCGAGAAGTGTTCGTTCTTCAACTCGACCGTCACCTATCTCGGCTTCATCATCGGCGAAGGACGCATCCAAGTGCATCCCTCGCGCATCGACGCCATCAAGAACTACCCGCGACCAACGACCGAACACGAACTCCGCAGCTTCCTCGGCTTGACCAACACCATCATGAGCTTTGTCCCTGGCTACGCTGCCCTCGCCGGTCCACTCTCGACTCTGATCACCACCCGCTCCGCCAACTCGACCAAGTCCGTCGTCTGGGACGACAACGCCATCGCCGCCTTCGAGCAGCTCAAGTTGCTCTCGCCTCAGTCGCTGCACATGGTCAACCCGGACAAGGACATTCACCTCTTCACCGACTGGTCCGAGTCAAGCGCATCGATTGGTGGATGGATCGGGCAGGACATGGACGGATCCGGCACGGTGCGCCCCATCGCTTTCAACTCGCAGAAACTGCACGGATCCGAACTCAACTACTCGCCCTACAACGGCGAGCTGCTGTCGATCACCCGCCACCTCGACAAGTTCAAGAACTACCTCGTCGGCCGCAAAGTCTTCCTCCACACCGACCAGAAGGCGCTCAAGCACATCCTCGACTCCAAGACCCTCAACAAGCGCCAACAGCGAGCCATCGACACGATGCTGGACTTTGACCTCGAGATCCAGTGGATCCCCGGCTCGTGGAACAAGGTCGCCGACGTGCTCTCGCGCACACCGACAGCCATCTCCAAGGCCGTCCAAGTCTCGATCATCAACGCGATTGTCAACCTCGGACCCCCGCCCGACGATCTCTTGGACACCATCCGCACTCAGTACAGCTCCGACCCGATCCTGTCAGCACTGATCTCGGTCCTCCGCGACAACTCGACCGACGGACTCAAGCCGTGGATGAAGGCACAGCTGCACCGCTTCTCACTTCGACACGGGATTCTCTACTTCGACTCGACCCGCATCTGCATCCCCGGCAAGGACCTCCGCATCTCGATCATCAAGGACCACCACGACTCTGTCTGTGCAGCTCACCCCGGCACCAACACGCTCTACAAGGCCATCTCGACACACTACTACTGGCCCGCCATGTCCAAGGACATTGCCGAGTGGGTCTCGCACTGCGACATCTGCCAGCGAGCCAAGATCCGACGACAACAAGCATACGGTCACTTCTCCCGGATCCCTGTGGCCACCCGCAAGATGGACACTGTCGCCCTCGACTTCATCCTCGGACTCCCGCCTGTCACGGACTCACTCTCGGGACGCACCTTCAACTCGATCACGATCTTTGTCGACT